CTCGGCGGCTCCTACCGTCCTAGTGCCCAGATGAGGACTTATGTAACTAGATTACTTAGTGGACGTTAATAATAAAACAAACAAACAAACAAACAAACTGCTGCTTGAAGCAATTCTCACGGAATTTGACAAGAATGCAGGCTGAAGCAATGTAACGTGTCAGCAATGGCGTCCACTTGTTCATTGGCTTGTTGACGGATAAGCAAACGTACTTTTGGTTGTTTATTGGCTTGTTTTGACGGATAAGCAAACGTACTTTTGATCGTACTGTATCTATAAGGCGCTATCTTTCAAGCCATCCGCCCTCAACCATCAGCGATCAGTCATCAATATCAATTAAATCTGCCAAAGCGGCATTGCGGCGTACGATGTGTGGAGACTGGCGGTTTTTGTGGTGCCGGCTCACTTGGTTGCCGAGGGGCCGGGCAGGCCAGGCTCGGCCCGGATAACCAAGCCAAACATCAACACAGAAGGGCTTTGAATGAAAGATGCAGAGTGACAGGTCATTGTCGTGATTCTACTACGGAGTGCAGTGGGATAACAAACAGACGCCGGGGGACGAACCCCGCTGATCCACGCAATGGGTTGTTAGTCCTGTGTCCTTGTCCTCCATCTGACAGCTTTGCCCCTGCAACTTCCCCTTCAACCCCCTGCAGACCAGCGTTCGCAGACGAAGCACATACTCCAAACAAGCATCCGATTGTCAACAATAAATCTGCATAGCGTGCGTTCTCCCCTCCAAGCCCCCGGCATACAGAAAATGGATAGGGGACGGAGAAATTATTCAGATTTTGCTCTCACGTCTCCTGGCATTAGTGCTAGTTTTTCTGATGCAGCTAAAGAAGCTCTTGCTTACACCCGCCGTGGTAATCTCTCCACAGAGTCGGCCGTCGGACGCGTGGCGTTCCGCATAGATGCCGCAAAGCTCTGCTACGCGTCATCACGGAACTTGCAGCAATCGCGAGACAGGCCGTAAAGTCCCGGTAAGTATGTATGAGATTAGGCTCCTGGAGCTATAGCGTTGGGATCATGGGTCGTCGATGTAGGAGACTATCTAGTATTGATCGATTGAAAGGATACGTGAGCCATCATAGTCCCATTGCAACTCGAATAGCTTCATGTAGCAATCAATCGAAACAGTCCTTGTATCGCAAGCTATATTAGGCATCAGAGCAAGATGAAAAATGTATTCTATTTATTCAAGTCTATTAATATCTTATTCGCCTATTGAACCGAGCGTGGTTTCCAGATTTTGTTTAAGAGAGCCAACAACCCATGTATAGGATGGATAGTGCGCCGTAACGATATGCTCAAGCTGATCGATTAGTTTCCGTAGTTTCGTGATGCGGACTTTGATCAGGTGCCGTATAATCTCAATCTCGTCTTCGTCGTCGAGTCGCCACCCGCCGGCTTCCAAGTTTGCCTTGGAATCCAGATCTGGTTTCTCTGAGCTTCCACTTTGCGTCTCGGGCGAGGTAATCGACTCCAAGACTTTGACGCAGCTCACCATCTCTCGACACATGGAAATGACCAACACAACGTAGTCCGACCTCAAGCTGCACTTGCTACACCCCAGCAGCGTCTCGCAGCTAGTCAATACATTCTTTTGACACTGAAACATATCATCAATACTGGATGTGCTGAAGCAATTGAGCGAAATCCCCCAAACTGATTTAACTAGCATTGTCGCATTCGCGGCGAGGACTAGGTCCACGCAGAAGCATATATCAAATCCCTGTAACTCGCTGCCTTTCAATGATGCTTCTGGTAAGCGATCACGAGCAACTGTGCACATCTCTTGGTCCAGGCTAGGTGTCCAAGCAGTCAGGTCTGTCATGAATTGAGGCGTGCCCAGCGCTGGATCGATGAATGCCGAGTAATGATCTTCGTCACCGTTGATGGATAAAGATGTGTCGGCTGCGTTGAAGAAAATGGAAAGGTAAGCCGATTGAAGCAAAAAGGAGGTTTTGACACGCCACGTACCTTTGCCTATTGATGGCGGCGAGCTATCACTGGAGCCATTGAAAGAGGCTCCAGACTGGGAAGATGTGTTATACGAAGAAGATTTGCTATAGGCTAACGTCCCGTCGCTACTTGTTGACATGTCGATTTCCGTCATATGGTGATCTGGTGATGGTGAATTTCGACTTCCCGGCTCCCCCGTAACACGATATGAGCATCTCACGCCGCGTTCTATGCACTTCTCGCAGCTGTCTGCGTCGATTATACACTTTAGCTGCAGAAACAGGTTAATCAATGGCTTGATCTACGTTATCAAACAAGGAAACAAAGCAACAAGTCCACGTACCTTTTTCATCTTGCATCGTGTACAGGCTGGCTGTTTTTTTGTCTTTGCCTTGTTGGATGCTGGAATAGATGATCGCACGATATACTCCAGATCGCCCAAGCCTCTGTTCTGAACTTTGAGTGTTTGAAACATTGTGACTGATACTTGCTGTCGTATTCACAAGCAAAAGAAGTTTGACTGGATCAAAATTACCCAAAAATAGTTGCATTTGTCCTTATATACGAAAATGCACGCAAACGCACTGATGATACGCTACGTCTGTTTTGAGTATTAGTTTATGAAGTCAGGGACTATCAGGGCAGTGTATCAGATCGAATGCCTAAAAGGTCTGTGAGGTACGTACGCCAATGTACCAGATGTCGATCCGATTATGCTGGGAGATAAGTTAGGTCTATTTGGGCAGGTTGACATGCAACGCCGTCTCACCCTACTCTAAACATGTGAGACCTCGTATTAATAATATTCGATATTCATTGCAATTATGCAATAAATTGGCTGTTTACTGATTTCCTAACATGTTCCAGAAACAAAAATTTACGTCCTCATTACTCTATGTTCCGTTAAGTAAAGTGGATTATTGAGTTGTGTTTGTCTGGTTCCTGGATTGCTTCTCGTTGATGTTCTGTGTTGTGATGTGATATTATATCGGCCTTAGGGCTGTCTCTATTAATAAGCTAGTCGATTCGTGTTATTTTAGTGAAATAATATTTTGTCCTGGACCTGCCGCGAGCGACTCCAAGCTTAGTCGTGGATGTACAATCGTCATAAGATTTTAGCGCTTACAGTGGCCATCTTTTTCAGGAATCAAATGTATTGCTCTTGAACTAAGCGGCAATTGAGGCTCGGTTATGTAGCCGGCTATGTATCCGCATGAGATTGGGGAACATCAGCTTGAGCAGACACGATAACTTGACAGCCCCCCGCTGTGGAACCAAAGCTCCATAGCCCTAATCATATGGATACTACATACTTAAAAATGACGTGCGTAATTGGTATGTGTTCTCCTTGAAAAACTGGGGGCATACCGATTTAGAAATTCCGAGCACAGTGGGGATAGCTCCAGGTTTTCGGCTGTCGTCTTGCTTGTATATATGCACAGTGGCATTGTAAATGGTGGAAAATTAAGAGTTGTTCATCTTTAACCAGAGGTGATTGTATTCCAAGGCAGTCGATCTTCTCGACTTGAATCCAATCATGTTGAATATTCCCACGGCGTTGATCTTCACGTCGCTGCTCCTGCTCGTAACCTATCTGTATCAGAAATGGGCCACTTCGAGAAGACATCATGTTACGGCTATGCAGCACGGATGCCAACCACCTGCGAAATACCCCCATAGAGATCCATTCTGGGGCTACGATCTCTTGATACAGCGTATCAAGGCCGCGAAAGATGGACGGCAACTTGCCCTCTACATGAAGCACTTTTCAATCTATGGCAAGACTTGGGAGGAGAATTTTCTGGGCAAGAGGGTCATCAACACAATGGAAATGAAAAACATACAACATGTTGCCTCTTCGGGCTTTGAGGATTACGGCAAAGGCTCTGCTGCCATGGGGAAAAAGTTTCTGGGAGACGGGATATTCTCCCAGGACGGCCCTGAGTGGAGACACTCTAGGGATATGATCAAGCCCATCTTTTCTCGGTCCGAGCTGTCTGATGTGGAGCGCCTAGACTTTCACATTGATAGATTGGTTAATCTGATTCCCCGTGACGGGAGCATGATCGATCTCCAAGACCCGATTAACAAGATGGTAAGAAGTTGTCTGTTAATTGAGTTGAAAGCCCCCCCGCTGACTTGGCAACCAACAGTTTATCGACTCCTCTTCCGAATTCCTCCTTGGCAAGTCAATGGATCTTCAACTAAATGATGACGACTCCAACGAAGCCGCCGACTTTCTTACTGCTTTTCAGGCTTGTCTAGTGGGGTTGGGGAAACGTCGTTTACTTGGCCACATGCGCCACATCTATGATCTTTTTGACAAGAATTGGCCGCAATCGTGTCAGAAAGTGCACCATTATACCGACATTCAAATCAAGCGTGCTCTGGAGGAGATTTCGGAGCCACAGGGGAAATCAGAGCGCCGTTACCTGTTGATCCATGAACTGGCAAGGCAAATCCCGGACCCCATCAAGCTACGATCTCAAATCTTGCAAATTTGGGTGCCGTCTAGAGATACAACTGCCTTGGTCGTCAACAGCTCTATATTTCAGCTTGCTCGAAGACCAGAGATCTGGGAACAGCTTCGAGTTGAAAGCCTTGCCATTGGCGACGAACCAATCACTTTTGAACTCTTGCGGTCACTCAAATTGTTCAAGTACGTTGTGTACGAAACTCTACGACTCCAAGGGCCCTCCTCGCGGGTGCAAAAGGTCGCCGTCCGGGATACGATTCTCCCCGTCGGGGGCGGCCCCGATGGTAAAGCTCCGCTGTTTCTGGAGAAGGGCACCGATATCATTCTAAACCTTTGGGGGCTTCACCACGATAAAGACATCTGGGGTGATGATGTCGACCAATTCAGGCCCGAGAGATTCGCCGACAAACGATTTACATGGGACTTTGTTCCTTTTCTCGGCGGACCAAGAATTTGCCCGGCCCAGCAGCAGGTCCTCACGCACTGCGTCCAAGTCCTTGTGAGGCTGACGAGAGAATTCTCCAGGATTGAGAATAGAGACCCGGTGCTGGAATACGTTGAGATGTGGAGATTGCTTCCAGAGAGCCGAAACGGGATTAAAGTTGCGCTGTTTGTTTAATTTAGAGTATCCAGTGACACATATATACTACGTAGAGGGTCTTGCATATGCTTATTTCGCCGAGTTGTAGAGCCGTCGGTCAGAATCTGACAATGGGGCTTTACCAGCAACCTTAACCCCCTGCTTTAGTGAATACCGAGAACTTGTGTAGCACCATGGATGGACTACGGCCTTGGCAGAGGCTATGTATGACTACTAGTATTATTACCTACTACTAGTAATAGTAGTACATACCCGAAATGAGTACCTAGTAACTGCTGAAAGGGGGCAACGGTCATAAGGTACTTGCACATGCTAAATACAACGAACTAGTAGTGAATAGTATATATAAGTAAGCGATCTCTGCCGGACTAGAGTCCAGTAGGGAACCAAGCCAATTGAATATCCATTTCAACAGTAACATTGTAACCTGGGCCGTAGTTACGTTGTATCATACTAGCCTAAATTGATGAGAGGTTTCGCAAGATAGAGCCTATCCAAGAGATTCTAACCATTTAAGATATTCAAATTACGTATATTAAAGCGCAAAGAAAAAAACAAGAAGAAGAAGAATAAGAATGTAGAATGTAGACATAGCAGCATCTTGGTTCTCTGCCGTGAGATCTGCAGTAAAGGCTGCGTGGCTCACGGCGATCCCCGGCTGTTTTCCCGCAATGGTGAAACCCCATCATCAAGGGATTGGTTGTCAGAACTTCTAAACACAAAGTAGTGATCTGCGGCAAACTTTGCCGACATGCAAGTCCCATTGGTGGACTATTAGTCAGAAAGGGGCACCGTGTAGCGCAGAATGCAGGGATACAGGGCTTGGGATTGGACAAAGTAACAATAATTCGGTAAATAAATGCGAATTAACAGGAGCGGTGAGGACAAAGCACTCGCCATCAGCATTCTCCGTTTCTCATAATCCGCATGAATTGTCCGTCAAACTCCATCAGCGTCATCGTAGCATCGCAGCAGGCCACAGTGGGTTTCGTGCAGTGGCCAGAGGATCCATGCATCAAGGATTTTCCTCTCTACCGGAACCAGGCTCCATCGGGCAACTTTGGCCAGCCGGAGAGATCGGCATTAACCCCTGCTTCCACTGTCAGCCCTGTCAGCGGCGAACGCAGGAAGACGGCCGCAGTCTCCGTTGGCCGTGGGCTTGGTGCTGTGAAGATAGCCCGTGGGTGATTTAAAGAAGTCCGGCTGTCCGTCGGTGTTTACACAATGAGTAAATGTCTGGCATAGAGTACAGACATTCATGACAAATGGCGTTATTTATAGTTGCCATTTTGCACTGACAGGAAAACTTAATCCTGCGTCTTTATGTATGACAAGTTGTTTCGTCTCTGTGGTGTTACTAACTGGCGGTGATTTTCTGAATTTCAATCTGACAACTACCTATTATGCATAGAAAGGATTTCAGTTAGAGGTAGGCTATTCGCTATTTCAACATGCCCGAAAAGAGCAGTGCAAAACATGTTTGACAGTGACTAGGGTAAGTCTGTCAACTTCATTGATGCATCTCACAAAAGCTTTGAACCACTACTTCACAACAATCTCGTAAGACTTGTCAATACAAAGTTGTCAAAAGATGAGCTGAGAAACCCTCTTGTGTCTTGCAGCAATGCCTTTGAGCGTGTCAAGCCAGAAGATTAAACAATACAACCATGTCGTCAAAGCTGGGTTTAGACCCAATCACCGCGCATCATCAGGCCGATCTCTCCCTTAAACAGCAACTAGAAACGATCGCATGTAACGATAGAGTACGACGTGACAAGTTGTGTATGCTGCATGAAGCTAAGCATGTTAATTACTTATGCTTAATTGTTGATTGTAGAATCACACCTTTCTACGTCATTCTGCAGACGTGCCATCTGGTTTAGAACTGAATGTTTCTTCAACCATCCATCTATCAACCGCAAGTGTCATACAGTGAAATTCAGCAGACAGAAACTCGCCATTTGCCTACCGCATCAGCAATTCCAACATTGAGGTTGTCAAGGTCAAACAAGACAACTTTATCCTCGGCAAATGTCTCTTTAAGGTTCCTAATGATCCACTCTCTGTCGCCCAAAGTTCTGGGCGAAGATTTCCAACTCCGGAGTCCCTGCACCAACCTGATGCTTCAGAGACGGCAGCTGAGAAGCCTTGGCGCACGGCACAGAATAAAACGACTGGGTTCCGTTATTGGGGGCTATAGAAATATCGAGCGTAGCCTCCGTTAGTTGAACCAGACGGGCATAGCTGTTGACTGACACGGGGGCGCCACGGCCGAAACTTGCATAGTCAAAGCCAGCCCCAGATGCCGTTTTACTGAGTGGTTGCGATTCGTTGCCAATCAGGTGCTGCGTTACCAGAAGGGCCCAGTAGTTGGGGATTTCAAGGGTCGAAATGCTATCTATGACGTTGACTTGCAAGTTGACAACGCTGTCATACCACTGTAGACTACCCGGCTGAATGAAACTTGCATGATGTCCCCCAAGCGATTGAAGCGCATCGTTGCCATTGCAAAGAGACCACGCTGGTGCAGTGTTGCCAAACATACCGTTGTAACAGTACAGAAACAACACAACAGAACTGGAATACACCCCTTGTTTTCAAAACTGGTAAAAGCTGGACTATGTCGAATGATTATCCGTCTTGAAAACCGGTGACAATACAAATACACCCGTGAACGGGAATGCCTACTATATCATTAATCAGCACCTCGGTGACATTGTGCAGGAAGCCGCGTCCCTTGCCTTGTCCACCCCTTCTTCCAAACTCAGCACCTCCAGCTTGATGCCCTTCTTCACTTCCAAGGGTTGTTTCAGCTCTCGCGCGGGGATCTTGTTCGTTCTGCAGTGGTGCGCAAAGGAACAGTCCTTGACCTACAGCTTACAAGACGGCGGCGATGCTTGCAGCGACATCATCAACAAGGACAAAGTCGAAGCTCCCTCGCCACGAAGACAGATCGGGAATCGCATGGAGACTGAGAGAGTGCTTGATGAGATTCTGCATCAGATCAGTCTCGGGAGCATGCTCTCTTGTGATGCTACTAAGCTGATAAACCCATATAGGCAGGTTGGAATTTTCCGCAATTTCTTTTCAAATAGACCTTGCTGGCCCGTTCGTTGCTGAATAGCCATTCGATCCATCAGTTGGAAGTTCGTGTTGAGAGACTGAGATGATGGAAGGCCATCTAGTCCGATAAACTTGACCATCCCAGCGGACAAAACGTGGTGTAGCGGAATTTCTCGAGACGCGGCAAGTGAAACAAGTGTTTTTGTCCTCTCGAAATTAGGAGCTCGAAGGGAAGAGTAAGACTGCAGGATAGGGACCGTCGCGCCGTTGTGAATAATACGGTGGACACTGTTGGATAAGGTGCCGAACTCAGTTCCCGATAGACAAAGTAACTTGTGAGAAAGGTCACCGGTATGGTATACTAAATAACCTTTTTTGACTCTATAGTCAGCGAGTGAATCCCACGGAGCGCGACACAATGCACCTTGGAAGCCCGCTTATCGGCCACAAGCTGGCGAAGAATACATGATGTGAGGAATCCAGTGGTGCCAGTAAGAAGAACCTCAAGGTTATCAGACACTTGCTCAAGGATGTTGCCATCCACAACAGAGAGAGGATGAACCGAGGTCTCTTCTTCCCTGTTAATCACCTGATCAACATTGGATAACTGCAACTTGCTCGCCATGTTACTCAAACCGCTGAACTGGAACAAGGCAAACACGGAAATCTCAGTGTCGAAAGCTCCCCCAATCAATCCACAAAGCTTAACCATGAGCAGAGAGTTGCCACCAATGGCGAAAAAAAATTCGTATTGAAAAAATCCGTATTGGCGCCAATCGTAGAGACATGTACACTTGGCACGACCTCAAGGCAAAGGCCCCTCAATTTCTCTTGTGTCTCGGTGAGGCAGCCTCTCTCACTCGTCAAAGAGATGCTGGGAATGGGCAGCTTATCCAAAGCGTAGCGATCGCGCTTTCCAGGGGAATTGACAGGCAACTCATCAACGGCGATGATTCTCGCGGGACGCATGTAGGCGGGAAGAGGCAGGTGGATCGAAGTTGTTCCAGTAACCCATCGGACACAGCGTGTTCCTTTGCGGCCAGAACGACAAAAGTGGCCAAGTCGTCCTCAGACGAGTCCTGCCCCCTTCGGCGATACGGCCAAGGAAGACGAAGCAGCCATCAGGAAGAAACTGGCCTTGTCTCCCGTTCGATACAAGCGTCCAGGGCCATAAGGATCAGGCGGGAATTTTGCAGTGGTGAGCTCATCGCGATCGACGAATCCCTGGGCCACGACAAGACCACTTACGCAAATCTCTCCTGGAAATCCGACTGCAACTGGCTTCAAGTTCTCATCGAGGATGCAAGTAGAGTAGTTGGGCAGTGACTTGCCAATGGTCGGGTTTCGAGTGTCACGCGGCGCTGACGGGCTCAGCTCATCCTCACCGAAGCAGTTGCTAATGGTGATTTCTGTCGGACTACAGCCGTTGAAAAGGCGCAAGCGGGGCGCTCTAAGACGGATATAACGGCTTAGAAAATTGGACGACATGAATTCTCCGGCTGAGAACGCAGATCTCCAATGGGAAGATTGGCGGAGATAATTGGAGCTGTATCTCACAATCATGGAGTATTCAGTTGATGTCATCCGAGTGTAGGTAAATCTTTTCATCAAGCATGAGTTTGACAATTTGCACGGGATCTTGTCGAGTATCCTTCAAAGCAATGACAAGGGTGCTGCCGGAGAAGAAGGCCTGGCATATCTGCGTCAGAGACAGATCAAATCCAAGCGAAGAGAGCTGCAAAACTATGTCCTGTTCCAGGCCGTGCTTTTTATAAACACCGGCGATGTGGTAGATGAGATTGGAGTGGGAAAGCATGACTCCCTTTGGAATGCCGATCGTACCACTTGTATATAGGATATAACCGGTAGAACCTGGATCAACCAGTGCAGCATCAACCAGTGCAGCATCAACCGGTGCAGTCCCCGAGGCAGCCTTGGAGATGGAAACCAGCGACGCAGAAGTTTCAAATCGCCGAACAAGTGGCTTGTTTATATCATGATCTACAAGTAGCGACGGCTGACAGTCCTTGTGAATCAGGTCCAGGCGAGGTACCGGATTCTGAACATCCCATGGTACATATATGTAGCCAAGTTTATGAATAGCCAACATGTCAAATAGCATCAATACTTGGCTCGCAATAAGAGCCGATTCTTTGGCGTGTTTGGGCGTCGGCTTTTTTCAACAAGGCTGCCATGTTATCAACCCGTGAGGTAGTATCTCTGTATGAGAACGTAGCACCAGAGTCGTCCCTGGTTGCAATTGCATCAGGCTGTTGATCAGTCTAATGATCAAGTCAGCCAGGTAGATGAAGGATAGCTGGCTCACATGTCTCGCCACAAGCAAGCTGTAGGCTGAGATCTTGACTTGTGGGGGGAGAAAGCTCAACCGCGTTCACATTCATGTTGAGCTCGCGCGACAAGACATCAAGGAGATGTGTGTAAGTAGCGAAGATAGTCTGCAAATCATGATCGGTGTTGATTTGATCTGGGTTGGGATGTGATCAGGGAGCTGCTTTGCCAGGGCTGTAGTGTTGTACTCGGTAAAAGGGATGCGAGCCTTGGTCTCAGTAAACCGAACAATGGCAAGGTCTCCAGCAGTCCAGAATACACAGGGTTCCGGTACTCAAGATCATCACTCCATGTGAGCGTCTTTTCCCTGTTGGCGAAGTCAATATACCAGTGCTTCAGATGGCTCAAAGGTAGTCCTACATAGGCCATTGCCAAATACTTAACCAACATTTGGGCGCTGAATCCATCAAAAGCAAGGTGATGGAAGCCGAGTATGAAGAAGTGCTTGGAGTGTGACTCTGCAATGATAACAGCCCTCATGTTTTCTCCGTTCTCAAGGTCGAATGCATGATTGCGTATATTCGAAAACTCACGCTGCACTGTTGTGCCCGTCTTGTAGTCAAGATCAAAAGTCACATCCGAAAAATCAGCCTTCAATGGGACGTTCGTCTTGGAAAGCAACTCGAAAATCGTTGATCCGAAGACGGCTCGTGATCCTGTAGGAGAGCGTCACGTTGTACGTCGTAGGATCTTGGAGAAATTGGCGTAAAACCCACAGTCGCCGCTGGGCAACCAACATTTCAGCCACTCTTTCGATCTTTAATTGCTCCTGCTTCACCTTTGTCTCGAGTTTTGTGACATCAGAAGTTGAGCAAGGAGGCGACTAGAAGAGGAACTCGATTCGTCGAAAACAGACGGCGTAATTGAATGGGGGGAGTAGACCTTTTCAGCGACAATCGTTGGTGGAGTCACGTCATTGCTTGCTCCAGAACCAAACGCTACCTTGCTGGCAGCCTTTTTGGAGAGATCCGTCACTGAGGCCCCGCTGAGGATCTTGAGAACTGGCACGTCAACATCTAGCTCCTTCAAGAACCAAGAACCAATCTCTACAGCAACCAGGGAATCGACACCCAGGTTCATTAGTGATTGCGACACCTGGATAGATCCCTTGGCTGCTTGTAGCATCCTCTCAAGCTTGGTGCAGAAACTTTCCTGAATGAGTCCCTCAGCTTCCTCAGAGCTTGTTGCCTGGGCGAGCCGCTGCGCCAGTGACATGTTGCTTGTCGTTGTGGATTCGGCCTGGCGGACTTCGCTGAGCGTATGACGGCAGAACTTTAGATCCTCGAGCCAAAATGGTCGATGGACATCTTCACGTCGGCTGTAGCGGTTCAAGCTGGTAATGAGATCTGGTGAGTTCTCAGACTCCAGCCGGCCAACCACGATCGCCTCGGAAAATATATCGAGCAAGTCCTGCTCCGTGATTGGCATGTAATTGTATTGGCGCAAGGTCCTCTCGTAGACGCCAGTTGATGACACGTAGCCAACTCCCAACACCATGCCAATGTGGATGACAGATGCCGCAAGCCCTCTTCGCCTCCGCTGCTCGGCAATGGTGGACAAGAACAAGTTTGCCGCGACATGGTTGGACTGACCACGGTTACCGACAATACTGACAAGGGACGAGAACATGATGAAAAAGTCAAGGGGCTGATCATGAAACAGCTCGTCCAAGTTCTTCGTACCGCTTGATCCCTCGGAGACCTTGAAAACGCAAGCAAAAGTGACGCTAATGGTAGATCCGTGAGTAGTAGACAACGCAATGACGTTGATGGCAGGGTTGTGCTCTAAATGACCAGCGGAGAGGAATGCCGTGGTCGAACCCTTCAGTCGTACCGCCGGCGCTAGAGAGTGTGACACCTTTACCTTGACCAGACCAGCATCGACAGGACGGAAAAGGATAGATTCACGGGTTGACAATACATACCGGTCTCCCACGGTGGACACGTCGATAGCATCTTTTGTAACGGATGCCGTGTTTTTGATGGTCGTCTTGTGAGCGTTTAAGCGATCGTTGAGAAGCTTATCGGGCAAGATTCTCAGCATCTAGAGCTTGCCATCTTTGATCAACAACTCGGGCTCATTAGTCCAGATGATCTCATCATTGAACTTTCTCTGCGCGGCATAGATGAGTCTGATGACTGCTCCAGCAATCACTGATACAGATGTGTCGGTAATGTCATCATCAAAGTTCATGTGCTGCACAGCCACATGGGGATACTGGTAGATAGACCTCTGCAGAGGCCAACCGAAAGATTGCCATATGGATTGTCGGAACGAGCCTTGTACGAAACCCACAGTAGTTGCCCAGGCAGAAGTCAACAATGGCTGGCGCAGAAGAGTAACATCGGAATCAACGGCCTGTGAGATCATGACCGATGTCATGTACTTGGGCTCGTCGACAAAATCGCTGATAACACGGTCGACACCAGAGAAGTCCGTGTCTTTCAGGAGAGAATCCCACTGGTCCCTTGTAATGGTAGGGCCATGTCGTCGACCATCGTCACCTCCCAGCCGCCAACCTGACAAACCGGCCATCATCAGTTCAACACGAACGATTTCGCTAGTGACTTCGAGGAGAAGCAGTTGGCCACCGGACTTGAGCGGTCGACAAACGTTCTGCATCGTCTCAGACAAGGTCTTTGTGGCGTACAGCACATTGGAGGCAATGATGAAGCCGTACGTCTTCTCCTGGTAGCCCTGCTCAATCACATCCTTTTCCGCATTCAGGCGCTTAAAGATCATCTCATCAACCCAGGGAGCAAAGGCCTCTGCAGCTACTTCGAAGAAACCGGTTGAGATGTCGGTAAACGTGTAGCTCTCAAACGTTGTAGCGAGGGGTCTGAGGATTCCCTCCCACAACTGTGATGAGCTGAAGATCAACCTGGCCGGGGAATCTGGCTCTTTGCTGATCCAGCTACTCATTCATATCCGACTTACACTCTTTCGGATGGTAGGTAGGGCGGGCGCCCGCCTCGATCCATGGGAAGAGAAAGTCGATCCACTCGAAGATGCGCTGGAAGAGCCACACCATAGCCGGAAGCTCGCTTCGATCGATCTTGTCATTGAGCTGTCAAAGGTAAAAGTACGTAAGTCTCTCGCAGATATGAACCAATTCCAAGTCATCAACGTTGTCACCGCGACTAGTGGGCAGAGAGGCCACGGCACCGGCGACTTCCAGCTCCCACTGAGGCTTGGTGTAAAGCTCCTCGTAGTCTCTCGGACCGGGAGGGATAAATGAGGTACAGGTCAGGCCTTGTAACTAGACAACACCCTTGTTAGAGCCACTCTCAAAAATGTCAAGATCTGCTGTCAAGTTCTGACCTGACGACTCTGTGATGTAGGAATCAACTTGAAAGGATCGCGCCGACTCATCAAAGCGTCCATTGACGATGCGAAGTTTACGCAGCTTTGCGGGGACGAATGAACCTCGCAGCGTCCCATCTCCAGGCCAGCAGAAAGCAGCAAAGATGGACTGGAAAGCTGCGTCGAGGATTGCTGGGTGGATAATGGCGGGCAGTTCCCCGACCACGGGCTGAGTAGTGGTTGAGCTCGACATGCCCGACTTTCGGTGGATGGTCGCCAGGGCTCGGAACGGACCAGTCTATTTGAGGCCAATCTCGGTGAGGGATGTGTAGAATCATCAATGTAGACATCGCTGAGAGACACAGCAGGAGCCACACGACGAGGCAGGACGTCGTCATCAGTCGCTCCAAAGACAACGCGAACGCTTCCTGAGGTATGGAGCGTTTACATCACCTGTAAGAGATTAGCAAGCCTGTTTTGCAGTTGTAGCTCCCGACTTGGGGTCAAGCTCTGCCGGCTTCAGTGAAGAGAGTGACGACACCGGGAGTATCCTGGAATAGAGGAATGGCGTTTCCAATCTCTGGCGACCCAGAGCCAATGCACTGCGCTGCACGATTCCAGCGCCATCACCAAGTATCCAACCGCAGGAGAAATGACGTGTCTCTCGGCTCTGTGGCCGTCGAGCCATAGCAGCTCCTCGATGCGCAGGATGTTTTTCCACACCATCGACTGGTCAATAGCCTCGGCTGATCCATCGTCAAGCAGCGGAAGTTGGGTGACTTGCGTGACTCTTTCCAGAAGGATTGCGACTGATGCCACTGATATGCGGGAGGATTTGGTGCAAGATTTGGTGCAAGCTGAGGTGAAGAGTCGCTGTCAAAGGCTTTGGTGAAGTGAGGTTGCGGAAGTTGATGCCTGAGGACTTGATGCCTGAGGAACCAAGGTACATCCAGAGGAACCCCAACGTCTCGCTGATACACTCAACATCATGCTTCCCACATGCCAAAAACTTGCTGATACGGCGGTACTGCAGCTCCCGTTTGCTTGTAAGTCTGCGTGAACAGCGCCTTGAGCACTGGATGCGGTCCGACTTAGGGGCAACGTCGAAGGGAAGCTCACCGTTGGCAGCGAGTTCGACCCCCGTGGAGACGAGCACTGGGTTGGCCATGTTGTCTTTACAGTATTTCCCGGCCAGAGACTCGATTATGTCGCCCTCCATGCGGTCGCCGTACACGCTGGAGAACCAGGTGCAGCCCTTGCGAGGCTGCTTCGGCTCGATCTTGCAGGCTGCCGGCGACTCCATGTAAGGCTCTGAGCAAGGCACCATGTGGGAAGCGTGATGGGCGATGTCGATCAGAAACAGACGGGCAAAGGTGCGCTGCGCTTGGAAAACAGCCTAGGCTTCTTCGATGGTGTCCTTGTCAGCGAAGATCTGGTCCTTGAGCGTCCATGACTGAGCATCAGGAAGGCTTTGCAGGGAATCTTGTAGCTTCTGGAGCATCTCAACTGCAACAGCGTACAACTTGGGGATTTCTGCTCCCATTGTTGGCCACTGGGCTCGAGTGAGTCGAGGCAAGGAAGTCTCGCGTAGTGGACAGCATGCCAGTCGATGTTGCAGGGAGTAGCAGAGGATTCAGGATAATCACCTCTGGTTTCTGAACTTCGGGCCTGACATTGCTAGCCTCGTAGCTCTGAATGATTGCGTGCGTGTTTGTTCTTTCAAACCCGAAAGAGTTGACACTGGCTCGACACGGGGCTCTATCCTGCAGCTCCGGTCAAGGCATCGGCTGTTGAGGTACTTTGAGGTTCCTGCAGTATGGGGTGATGCCAGGGTTGAGTTCTTTCAAACAGCCTTTTGGGAAGAATAACACCCTGCTTCACGGCCTCACTGGCCTTCATGGTCCCCGACTGGGGGAGAGTAACGGCAAAGGTGCTAGACTATCTGGAATCCAAGCTGGCGGCCAAGCACAACATTGAAATGGATCGAATTGCCGTGATGGTAGCATCACTGGGAGGATACTTGCTGTTACGAGCAGCTATCGAGTGAAAGCAGCCATCTAGGTATATGGATGCTGCATGCATGAACATGGAATTATAACATGAGCTTCGGACGATAGTCCACCGCCACATGTGCCAGCCCCATAGAATCGTATACTCGGCATAATGAGCGGGCCATCATGTAACCTGGCCGTTGCAGGAAAGGAAAACAACTCATGACATGATGGACGAGATTATGGAAAATAGCGGCAACATCGTTGGGGTACACTATTTCTCTCTCGTAACAGGTCTTTGACGAGTAGAGAGAGCCTACAAGTGTCTCACATAATGTATCTGCTAGTTCTACCAGGTCTGCAGACCTTTTGATGGGTGTTTGGATAACAAGTCAGCCGCAATAGTCGAAATACAGCGTTACATCGAGTCCATGTCCAAATCACGTCTTCATGCGAGGCCAAAATCTCACCTCTATGGAATCCTAGACAATAAAACGCATCTCGGTTTCACCCTTCTGTCATAACCCCCCCCCTTCTACAACTTTGAGGTACCCACTGATCCAACCCGGTACAGATCCCCAGCTTACAAGGCGTGGCATTCCACGTTTTGTAAATGTTTAATATGCATGTTGTACCACGTTTTAATCAGGGGTATGGTCTCTGATCAGCATACAAAATTCGATCTCTAATACCTGGTCTTCTCCACGCGTGGTAGGACGGACCGTCTGAGATACAGCTGTTGACCTGCTCAAGAATATATCTCAAAGGATAAATCACAAACTACCGGAGGTTAGAAATGCGAGCCAAAATAGTTTGTCAACGCTCACTCACACTCATACAGAGGGCACTTGGGAGCTCATGAGCTGTCCTAACAAAGACACAAACTAACTCAATTAGACGTTTACAGGTCGCAGACACATTAGGATGTGTCAAGGCTACAAGATACAATCAACAACATCATATAAATGGTGCAAATCATTTAAAATCTCTTATTATTCTACAGTTGGGGAAAGAAAGTCGAGGCTTGGAATGTACCCATCTACCCAAACGTCCCAAGAGCGGATTCAGGTGCATCCCTACACAATTTCGATGAATAACCCCAATTTACAATACGATCCCTCCTCGGCCAATTGTGCCAATTCATTTCATATCAAGACATTTTTTATCGCAAGCCAAAACACCAGTTCAAATTCGCTGTGGTTGCAGATACCCTAAAGTTCCTCGTACATATCAGGCAGCAAAGTAATCTGCCGAGTACTTTCCTAATTATCGAGTAATTTTGGAAAATAGTTACCAACATAAATCTCTTTTTGGAAGAAGATTAACCCCCGGGCTGGTCATATGTGAAGTGCCTTGGTAGTATTGTATAGTCGGGTGACAGCAACATATGACATCATTACATTCCTGAATTAACACAACCAGCCACAGTTGGCTAATGATTCACTTGAAGAGAATATACCGGAATCTTTAGCCTATTAAAGCCATCTTGAACAAGACTGTTTAGTCTTTTATCACGATTTACTGACAGCAAGTGAGACAAACAAAGAATGCGATATCCAGGTGCTCGGAAATCTAGCATATCCAAAATGTGTACATCTTTTAAGAGTCACGTTACGGCATCGAATTCTGCAAGTAAATAAATGATGAATATTATTGTTCATTAAATCCTAAATCATACTATATACACTGACAGACATGTGTTCTACTAGAGGTGGACAAAATAAGTGCCATTTGGCTTGCCATGCTCATCAAACGAGGTCATTGTAATGGAGCTCTGCATGGGAATAGCCTCAATCTCCTTGACCTTGGGGCTCAACGAAACCTTGGGCTTGGGTCCCAACGCACGACGGGACTTTTTCGAGCCAGACATTGTCACGGGAGCGCTGTCCGTAAGACGGTGGGTGCAAGTTCCGCCGGGGATGATGACATCGCCAATGTATCCCTCGAGGGTGGCGTACTGGTGGAAGATGGCCTGCCAGTTGGGCTGGATCGTGCCAATGCCGCCGGGCACAACCTTGTCGTAGATTGAGACGACAGTCTGCTGGGCAAAGTTCTCCTGCTGGCTGGACTGCGCATAGGGGTCGGGCACGGCCGAGTCGAGGTTGTAGTTGGAGACCCAGACGTTGCCGGTGGAAAAGGGCACGCCGTATGACGGGTCAAAGGCGTGCGAGTCCAGGCTGTGGCCAATCTCGTGGGCAAAGACGGTAACGTCAACATCGCCGACCATGAGGACGTTGTCGCCGTTGGAGCCCGCGGACTTGTTGCCGGGGACAAAGACCAGGTGGCGGACAAACTGCCTCATGCGGACGGGCAAGCGGCCAAAGATGTCGAGGATCTGGATCTCGCTCAGGGGGGAGTTCTTGTGGCGGCAAAAGGTCCAGGACTGGGCGCAGTCGTCGTAGTGGATGTTGAAGGGGATGATGTCGTTGGGGGAGAAGCCGGCTCCCTGGACCATGGACCTGCAGTCCTGGGGAATCCATCCGGCGCCCCAGTCATCCCAAGTCGAGTGTGTGGGAGCCAGGTGGTCCATGAGACCTTGGCCTAGGGATGCCAGGCCATTTCCGGGGAAGTTTGGGGTTATGACGGGCTTGTTGAGGTTGGCCAAAACAAAGGGGAGAAGAGAAAGGAGAGCAGCCTTGGAAGCCATGTTGAATTCTGTGGTTTCTACTACTTGGAACTCTTTGAACCGATGCTTTTCAGCTAATCTACAATACGACAGAGGGATGAAGACTCCTCTTTATATACAGCAACTCATCCTAATATAGATCTGACCGAGGAATCCTACATCATGGGATCCTAGAGCACCAGCCTCGATTATGCGAACCAAGTCCGGCAGGTGGCACAAGAAACCATTACTCTTTGGGCCATGCAGTCTTGGCATCAATGGGCGCTTGACTTGTAAAAACAAAATGACTCTTCTTCAGCTGTAGGCTTGGAAAGATTAATAATCCCCCCTTGCAATAACGATAACGATCAGATCCAAAGGATATCTTGAAACATCAAGTACATTACGAATAGTTTCCTATTTAATTGAAACAAATAACACACTGATCGACAGCAACAAGAGTGTAGTTTCAACAAGTCACCACTGTTTTTGAAGGATTCTGTGAATAAACGCCTACGATGTTACCTTGAACGGGTTACTTCCGGAACCACTTTAGCATTCCGAACTAGGTTTCTTAAAGTAGAACCTTTTGTATATAGTTATTTTTAAGCACAGCACGATGCTAAACGTAATCAGTATGACCGCTGGTCTGGTCTAGCGGCTTGCAAGAGTCAGGATGGTGGTATGAACTATTGCTTGTTTGCTGTCAGGATTACGGGCTGCCTTTCTTTGCTAGTGCTCCTAGCCAAAGAGAGCATCTTCCACGACGGGCCACCAACCAGGAACCCCTGTTGGAGTTGATAAACGCGTGAGCGTTTGTCATTTCTTTGTAGGCCCCTCGGGTTACCGCTATTAGAATGCAGACTCGCGTAGATTTTTGCACAGTTGCAGCCTCGAGAACCGTTGGTTTGTTCCGCACCAATAGTTTATTAGAACCTACTTGTAAATACCACTTCACCACAACGTTGCATGGAATCCTACGGGGCAGCAGGACCACCCTATACGCATTCTCTGTTGAAGCTGATTAGGCAAGTTGTGAACCGGATCTCGCATCCCACCCAGCCATGTCCAACGGCAACCCTCGTGCAGGAACCCACAAGAACAAAACACTTTTGTGGGCAGTCAGCGACGTGATCATGGCCAGTCGTTCTCGTATGAGCAGTCTGCTACGACCATTTGCGAAAAGAGTTCGCGTCCGCCAAGAAAGGCCGTCGAAGACTTTTAGCTTAATGGTGTCTCCGAGAGGCAGGTCTGACTGATCGTGAATAATCATTACCCAGCAGAGAGCCCAGCCACTGGCAAGACTCTGCGGGCTGTGCAGCGGTGAGTAAACATTGTGTGAGCAGATGCCGCAGAGACCAATCGTTCAACGCGGTGGAGATGACAGCGACGCTCCCCGTCTATTAGTGGAAACTGTATGGGCTATCCGGATTGCTAGAAACTCTGCCTCCCCTACATGGTCTGTTGCCTGGGAACCAATAGTCCTCTCACTAGTCTCTATTTCGAGAAGACACGGGAGGCTTGAGCTTATTCGCGCCATGCCGCAAGTCCCGCTTCAGCCAATGCTTGCCGAGCGATCGTTCCGGGGGAGCTACTGCTAGTCTGGACATGGCGCGTCATCAGGAAGCACCAGGTTGTTTGTACGTGACCCAGCAGCTTGGAGCTTGGAGATGGAGCATGGCCACTGCAGGACCGCATGCAAAAGGAGAGCGCATCCGGAGGGGGGACGGCTTATGCGTCTATGAATAGGTATTGGTCAATCTTGCCTCATCATGCAGTCAATACACCACTTTGATCACGCAGTCGAACGAACAAGATTCGGAGCCTAATTGAAACTGCCTTGTTCGAGACCAATAGGAATCTTTGGCTAGAACGTTGTGTGTTGAGATCAGATCATGGCTCTTGTCGTGGGATTTGTCAATTGCCTTCCCTGGCAGTGATTAGTGCTGACGGAGGTGATTTACGTGAGTCAACCTGGCCAACCCGAGCTCGATAAAGACCCTGGCTAGCCGTGTTCTGCTCCGTCGGTTTCTGCAAAAGCAGTTAGTGATGCTCCGCGTGTGTGGGGGGACTTGCTTTTCCTAAATGCAAGAGTCTGTTTACTGTTGCCTTTCTTCGAGTTTTCGAAGCTTGGAGTCAACAGTTGTGGTTACTTTGGTCTCTCTCACCGGGGTTGGGTAGTATCGCCATGAGATGCAAAGAGCAATATATTGTGCGCCGAGATAGGCAGCTGCTACTATTCAACGGCATAGTATTGTATTCCGTTAGTTGTGGTTTGTCACGAGTTGAAGATTTCTGCTAGCCAACGAACGTCTTCTTGGTGACACTACGGTACCCATAGTTTCTTCTGGAGGAGAAATCCTGGTGAGAAAATGGCACAAATATTGGTCTTGAATCATGGGAGCGTAGAGCGAGATTAGTGATTGTTGTCAGTTGGTTACCAATGCTCTCTAATGAAAGAGTATTAATAGGAAATGCGAAACCCAACTTGGTGCAGGGTAAACAAGTTTGAGTGGCGGCTTACTCTTGGGACTAGCCGGGCTGTCGGAGCGCCGCGGATGGCCGATGTTGAGTCGTACTTCAACGAGGCCGGTGGCTATCCAAGAGTTGAGCGTCTGATTGGTCCCTTGAGCATTATGAGATTTGCAAAGAGGTGATACAAAGTGTCCGAACACTACTTGGGTAGCTTGTCAGCTTGTGGCACACAAACAGCGTAACTGAATTAAGAGGTACAAAGAGCGTGAACGACTCGAAAAACGAGCCATAATCTGTCCACGGGGAAACGAAAGTAAAAAAATCGAAATACATGACGAAATTAGACATTACCGGGTAACAAGTCCCATTCTCAATAATCCCTCCGCTTCCCATTACTTCACAGTCTGATGTAAACCCGAACCCAAACCTAAACATTCGTCAATTACCTAGCTGGAATGCTCCAGCAACCTTTTATTCGCCGTCGATCATGAATGCCCTGACCAAACCTGTGGCCTCTGCGCAATCCTCGTCGTCGTAGAACTTGAGACCGTACGAGAACATGAACGTTGCAGAGTTCTTGTAGTGCTTCTGGATCCAAGCCAATTCTCCGTCGTTGAAATGATAATCTGCGAAATGAGCAGTCTCGTCATCATCGTCGTCATCGTCATCGTCTTCCTCTTCTTCATCCTCTGTTCCGCCTTTGTTCTCATCATCATCTTCGTCGGCGCTCATCATTGCACGCACAATGGCTCGGCCTTCTGCGTAATCCTCTTCGTCGTAGAACTTGAGACCGTACGAGAACATGAATGTTGCCGAGTTCTTGTAGTGCTTCTTGATCCAAGCCAGTTCTTCCTCGTCGAAAAGATAATCTGCGACGTGAGCAAAGTCGTCATCGTCATCGTCGTCGTCTTCTTCCTCTTCGTCTTCCTCTTCTTCATCCTCGTCGGCGCTCATCATTGCACGCACAATGGCCCGGCCTTCTTCCCGGTCCTCATCATCGTAGATGCTCAGCCCGTGCGACCTCAGAAACTTGTATTCTCCTTGGTAGTGCTTCTTCAGCCATGCCTTTTCCTCCGCCGTATATGGCTGCTCACCGGCCCATTGACGCGGCTTGGTTTCTGTGTCGACCGGTTGGTCTCTGGCATTCCATCGGGCTCTCTCGCTGTCTGGCCACACAACCGTCAGGATATATGCCGTTTTGGGGTCAAAGTTGGTCGGCGCTAGTCGAGGGCCGACGGGAGGGCCGCTGAGTCTGAGACAAAAGAGCGGCGAGTTTGGTGAGAAGAAGGCGATACGATTGCCGTTTTTATCCGCCAAACTACCATTGCTTTTCGTGGTTGGGTTCATGCTGATTTGTGGAGCAAGCTCATAAAGAGGCGAACCAAGAATGTTGAATCCCGAAGAAGGAGTGTAAAGCACGTCTGTGAGGCGGAGAACGTGGTGGGCTTGCGGTCCGCGTTGGTTGGGATCTCGCTTGACGGGCAGATTGACGACTCCAACGCCCTCGACGGCGATATCCCCGGGGAAGTATCGATTCGATGCGACGCTTTGGAAAGGCGTGAATTCGGTGAACCACCTTCGATCGTTGCATATGCTGTCGTGCCACGAGTCAGTAACGGTGGCCAAAGGATGAACGCTGGCTGAGAGCAACCCACTGCACGTTGGAGTTGTTGGAAAAGACCCAGTCGGCGCTGAGGCCTTGCGGCGAATCTTGCCAGCACATGGGAGCTTCTGCAGCAGCAGCACTGGCCATGATCTTCGTTTGTTGCTCTTGTTCTTGGACGGCAGATGTGATGGGCGCTTGTTGTTCTCTAGATGCTTTTCGTTTTGTGGGAGGATTGAAGCTCGATACTTTCTAGGCAATCAAAATGTTGTTGTTTGATGGAGGGAAGCGCAGACGTCGCCTTGATAGCTGGAGCTGATATGCGGGGTAGACGCTAAAGGCGGGGTGATTTCTAGGGGCTAGGCCGCTGCCAGGTACCGGGAACAGGGCCTGAAGCTCGATACAGGCGCCCCCTAGAGCTGCCAACTGTTGGCCCGTCCTGCAGATCAACAGTGCCAATTTGACGCAGCAGAGAGAACCTTATACATACTAGGTAGGTATGGAAGCTAATGGCGAATAATGGCCTCGCCATTTGGCTCAAATATAGATAGATATATTCCAGTCTGTTGTATGTGTGCTACGGTTGTATCCGTGCCAGCCCGGATACTTGCTTCGTGTTGCCAATTCACTCAGCTACGCCGCCCTGCTTTTGTGCCACTCGCCCTTGTGCAAGTTTCTCTGTAGGGAGAGGGAGTCAACTCTTGTTGCATGTTGACGCACGACCGTGAGAAAATAAAGAGGTGATCCAAATTGAATCAAAGGTAGAATTCTTTACTACGAACTTCTCGCTAGGTATCAGGATTGTCTTCAAGAGACATGATGCTCAGCCGGCGTATCCATGTACTCAGTACAGTTGGCCCGAAACATCCGTGTAGCTTCAAGTGTTGCATCAACCAGATGACTGCATTTTCGATGGCTTAATGCTGGTCGATCCAATGAAACACCAGTGGACCTGATTCCACGCGAGCCGAACCGTATCGATGTTCAATCTTGGCTGAGCAGTGATCGCCTTGACCATCGCCTCTTTTCTTGGTCTCAATAGCATGTAAGCAGACCATCACCCATACTGACCTACCAGTATCATCACCGAGTGATCCATGTGCAAATTCATGTGTGCATTTGCCATTGAGACCTACCAAGCAATGATTGGTTTGCGCTGGGCAGCGACCAAGGACATGTACCAAGAGGTTGAAAATTTTGATTGTACACTCAAGATATCTGCATCTTCAAGTACTTGTCCAACATTGATTCCGTTTGAGCATGGGATATCTGTCGTTTGTGGCCTAGTGGTCCTGCAGAATCCGTCATGGGTACAATCACGAGGAATCTCAATCTCACAAGATGCAATTGAATACATGTATATTTCATCGAGGCAGATGTAGTCATATTTTTGTTTATCTGGTAGTTCACCCCAAGAGAAGCCTTGCGACTCGATGTAGGTAAACGTTGTTTAGGTACATGAGGTCAACGCAATTGATGCATTTCTCAGGTACCCCCGCCTCTGCCTCCACATCTCACGCGATCAAATCAATCGACGAGCAACGTATCCGTCAATTATGATGAACATTGTCTCGATAACAGAGCAGACAAAGCCGCAGTCTACCTATTTCCTGAACGAAGAGTTCACTATTGCAATCAACAAGGTGTCTAATCGGTTTATCGATATGCTGCTATCACAAGCGAGGCTGACGTAACTGAGCCCGCGTAGGTACATCGCTACAACACAACTTCCTCTGGCCCCTCAGGCATCTCACTTCCTGCGATAATACATTGCCTCATAATTCTCACTTCATCTTCTGCCAGCGATCCGACAATCGAGTGCTGAAGCCCGCGATTGTGGAAAATGACAAAGTCTCCCTCTTCCCAGTCATGCGCATACACTAACCGTGGTGCAATTCCAGGTCTCTGCAGCCGATACAAGATGCCACGAACTCGATCCAAGTCGTCAATCACTTCGCCGTTTGCGAGATGCAGCCGCCGTGCAACAGTTGCTTGTACCTGAAGCGCAAGACGTTTTGTGACGGGGTTTCGCCAGCACATTGGCAGAATCTGGATCGAGGCTGGATCAACAGGCGGCAGTTGATCGTCATCCAGCTCTTTGCCCTCGGAGACGAGGCCTAGACCGGTGGGATGCGACTTGGCTCGACCCATCCAGATGTACGGATGAGCGGCATACTCGACCCTGGTTGATCGAACAAACGCCTTGTCCTCTTCCGACAGCAAGTCGTACGTCGTCTCTCCGCTAGCAAACGCAATCGTACCGAGCGGAACCGGTAGTTCATCCCCTGTGCCGTCGTCGTAGCGCACCGTCTGCATGCGTCTCTTGGGCAGCGTGACGGCCAGAATTGTCGTGGCAACAGGAGGCGCATCGTCGTACAGAGCAGCATCAACGTGCCAGCGGTAGAAGCGGGTGAATCCCACGTCGTCTTCGTCAGCGATGGTGGTGGAGTGTGACGAGCGGTGGTGTGGATATCGCAGCTTGAGATTCTTCGCACCTTGATGCTCGGGTACGAAGCCGTTGCCGATGATCTGTACCTGCGGCTGATGGGGAACAGTGTTGAGGTCTGGGCTCAAGAGGAATCTCTTGGGGTTCTGCTTATTGCCGTGGCCCATTGACGCAGCCCAGTTGAGACGTTCGGTAAACTCATAATGGGCTCGTGGCGACAGGTGCTTTTGGTTCTTCAGCACCAGGACCTGGTACTTGTAACAGGCTTCTGCGAGAACGGCCATGTCGGTTTCTGGATGCGAAAAACGTCAGATACCATCCATCTTCTTTGCTGTTCAAGCCCTTTTACCTGATGTTTTTTCCAGATCGACATTGGAGATGTGAGCTCCAAAGCTTACGCCAGAGTCCTCTTTGTGGATCATACGTTCAACTTGTATCCGAGAAGTCATTGCGGTTGTATGTGAGTCTTGGACAATCTGTTCAACTTCTGGCTGTTTTTTTGTCTGCATTGTGTCTATTTAGTGACTGATGCTCTGCTTTATATCTCTCCATCGTCCATCACGTCGGCACTCGGCCACAACATCGGCAGCTCGATACGCTAAACCGCCTCGTGAAGCTAATGCTTAGCATCCGTTAGCGAGCAGCCACAAGCTGGGGTACTGTTGACTGGAATGCTTCTAGTGGCATCCCACCAGATGGAGGCTCCTCTAGGACTGTTTCCTGGAGCTTCATCGAATGACATCAATCACGATTTGCCCTGTCTTCAATTGCAAATTTGGCTTGGAAATGCAGAGAGGAACACTGGTTGAATTACTAATAACGGTGATAGCTCGGACATCCTACGTCGAATGCCTGACTCAACGATGCTTTGTCGGGCGTGTTCAATGTCCGCCCATTCATGTTCACAGCGGCATTTCCGTTGATGCTTACAGATTGGAGCCAGTCTTTGATCTTTCTTCGCCATACACAATAGCAAAGTCCTTTTCCAGCTCTTCCCTTGTGGATACACCAATTCGCTCCTCTACCGAGAATCTGTCCTCCAAATATCGTTGCAGAATTTCTCGCTCGGCGACATCTCCGTCATTGTTGGCGTCGACATGCAGCAAAGCCGCCATCAAAACTTCCGTAACGGACCACATAAGGTCCCTGCCCTTGCCGACAAGATCGTTTTGAGATTCCTTGGTAATGCGGTTTCTCTCGCTCTCCCACCTCTTCACCACTTCTCCGCGATGAGAGTCATCTCCATTCAAAGAAAATGCCTGTTTAATGAAGCGGTCCAAGGCATCAAGTGACTGCACTCCTGATTCAGGACGCTTGAGTGCCCTGATAAAGTCAGTGCTCAGCAAATCGGTTGTACCCTCCCAGATGGGTAGCACAGCACAGTCCCTATAGAGACGCGCAATGTTGAGATACTCTTGTTCCTCGTTCAACAGATAGCCCACGCCACCGATGGACTCCATACAGGAATACAGCAATCTCAGGGCCGAGCTGCAGACATATGCCTTTGTCAGCGTGGAGAGGACCCTCAGAAGCGGCAAGAGATCCTTTGATGGAGGCGTCAGTGCCTTGAGGGCCGGCGTTATATCCGCGCCCATTTCCGTCGGATGTTCTGACAGCCCAAGGATATGCACGGTAAACATGTGCAGAAGCATTATCCGTCTGTACTCGGCAGTCATCCGCGCCAACGTCTTCATATGCAGTGAGCTGTCGGTCAGTCTCATTCTAGCGCCTCTACCGGCCCCGACTTCCCTGACCCTTGCAAATGCTCGCGCGACTGCTAGGCCACGGCCCAAGTATCCGACTGCTTGGCTAGTGGAGTGTATCCGCGTCAAGTGCAGCAGGACGGAAATCTCCTGGATGCCGCGGTTTTCCTCCCCGATAATCCAACCACGCATGTCTTCCAGGACGAGCTCTGCCGTTGGGAGAGATTGGGTACCGAGCTTATTCTTTAGACGCTGAATGCGCACGCCATTCAGGCACTGACCATTTGGGTCGGGATTTCCAGATTCACTCAGGGCAGTGGGATCATGCTTTCGAAGTGGCGCAAGAAACGTAGAGAGTTTGCCAGCTGGTGTCCTTGCCAGCAGAATCGTCATGTCGGAATCGGTGGCGGACGAAAACCACTTGAACCCGTTGATACTCCATGGGCCTAGCGGGATGCCCTCTTCTTTGGATGCCATCGTTTCGGCCTCGTTTGGCCGATAAACGGCCGTCGTCTCAGTCAATGATACGTCGCTTCCACCAGGCCTTTCGGTCATCCATTGCCCGCTGGTCCATGAAAATTTGGGATCTCGGCTCGTCAGATGGCGGAACGCGTTCTCAAACACTCGCTTTTCCGTCTCTGATAGTTTGGACGCCAGGCTTGGAGTGGTCAGATGCACCTGTAGCATCCTAGCTGCGCCGTCCTGCATCGCCGTAGGACACGTAACGTTTGCAGATGATCCCTCCCAGAGAAACAAGCGGAGAAATTGTCTGTTTCGTGCAAAAGGTCCATACGGGGTGTCATAGGCATCGGCGACAAAACTGTAACCCCCCATCCCGAAGGCGACATGTTAACGATGCGACTCTGCTACCAAGAAAGATCAACTTGCCCTTTCGCGAAGCCAAATTCCTGCAGCTGGCGCCACCCTTCTGTCATGATGAGTTTTCCCTGCCATTGCCCAAATGCATTTCGGCCAGACCCTTTGAGATATGGTTTGTTTCGCTCTGCGTCTGTGATCCAGGCGAATATTCTGTCGGCCAACACCTCTTGGCCAAGCTTTGCCACTTCTGGTTCAATTTGCTCCCTCAATTCGGCTGGCAGAAATACTGTTCAAGGGTGTGTGTGAGTAATATTCGTCTCCATCGAATAAGAGGTTCTCATCTCTCACGTTTGAAGCAGCGTTGATAAGTGGCATCCTCGTAGAATTGGTTTACCAAGGAGGGAGATTTCTGGAAGAAGCCCTTGTCTGCGCCAGATGACTCCATTGTCGAAACTGTGAGTGAGCAATGGTAGTGTGAATGCAAATGCTGACCTCGAATAGTAAGTTGAGGGGAGACTCAAAGAACAGAAAATGGAGGCTGTTGACAGGTCTTTAACTGTTCTCACAGTCGTCAGCAAACCGACGTGGAGCATCGTGGGGAAAGGGATGACCGTTGCGGTCAGTCGTACTCGGACTACAGAAACAAGCGCAGAGTCTGGACTTTCGGTAAGTGAGAATCATCGTCATTTCATGTCAGATTTAAATGGGACCCAGCGATCCAACTACTCAATAAACGGAGACTCCGAGTCCCCGCCGGCAAGTTCGTCAGCCTTAACATGAAAGGCGACGACTGTGAGCTGAGGTAATTGGACAACTACGGCCACTGACTCTTATTTTGTCTCAAATCTCAGCCAAGTGAGCCGTTCAAAACAGGCTTGAGCTTCTGACATTGTTGAGACATGATATAGAGCACAGGTTAGCTTTTTGCTTCGCGTTTGTCGCATCACTTTTACGTCAGGCATTGATGCGGACGCTTCATGCTAGTACCGTATAACCTCGCAAAATTCGTCGGTGGATCTCTATGATTTTGTCGCTTAATTATATACAGTTAGCATATTACTATCTCTAGTAAATGGTGTCCCAAACGCTGCAGATACCCGCAAACGAGTGTTGCGAGGTTATGCGGTACCTAGTAGGGAGGAAGTAAGGATTAATTGTGGGTGATCATCTACCTACCAATGCCGTGGGAAACTCATGCACGGTTACTGACATGGAGTCGCAGTAGGGAGAAGAACAGCTATCCGCTACGGATCAACCTCTGCTTCTGCTTCATTTGCTCGGCATGTTTCCCCCTTGGAGATGCAGACATATTAAAGCTGGCAGCTCTTTTTCGAAACCCATCGCGAAAGATCAGCACCCAGTTCTAACAACCAGTGCCGAAGTTCGGCCAAACGCTCGACTGACTCTGTCGGCTCTCGGCGGTGACTGCCGAAGTAAATGTGGAGAAGACATACAGAGTCGCGGAGTTCCAAGAGACAAAAGAAGTTCTCGCACTTGACGAAGAATGGGGATGAGGCTTTTACCGTCGCAAACCACGATGCGGTGAAGGACTACCCTTGCTTGTACAAGCATCACAAGCACATTGTGCGCCACATCAAGCAGCTCGGAAAGTCTTTCTTGTTTAGGCCGATGCGCTGGTCACACTCTCACATGTCAATTTGTTCTGCGTAAAGTTGAGAGTTTACAAGACAATTTTAAACTGTGATAACTGACTACACATAGACGAACAATCACGAAGCCCCATTGATCCGACTGTTTCAATTTTACCGCGCATACATCTCAGATACCTCGAGTAACGCCGACCTGGGTCCAGGCATCGCGCACCGTCCTCGCAGCCTCTTCACCAAACAACTCCTCTGCACACTCAACGGTAACGTCGGCAAACTGTCGGAACGTGCAGTTCACCGGTACCTTGCCGCAAATCATGGTCTGCCACCAGATTTTGCCCGCCTTTTCCCACGAGAAGCCCTTGAATGCCGTAGCAACCAGGAAGAATGCCTTGTTGGGTATGCCAGAGTGAATGTGGACGCCGCCATCGTCGTTCTCCATGACTTGGTACTTGGAAAAATTATCTACCTGGGGATCTTTGTTCTTTTTTTGTGTTAGTTGTGCAGTTTAAAAGCCAACTGCTGTATCGCCGTTGTCGAACTTACGAATCGTGGGTCATCATATGCCGTTCCTGGATTTCTCATGCTTCGCAGAGCGACTCCTTTCACACCAGGCAGGAGACAATATTCGCCAATGAGCCAGTCGGCCGTCTCTGCTGTCTCATTCTCAACCCTCTGCTTCACCAGGATTCCAAAGACATCTGATACGTGCTCATTAAGAGCACCGGACTGGCCGTTGTAGTTGAGAGGGCTTGTATAATCCGTGACGGCGTGGGTCAATTCATGCCCAATCACATCAATGCAGCCAGTAAAGTTGCGTAGAAACGTGTTGCCATCGCCAAACACCATTTGCTGCTTGGACGGAAACCAGACTAACGTACCATTTAGCTACAGAGATTGCCTTGAACATTGACAAAACGAGAAAAGTACTCACAAGCATTTTCAAAGTGGTCACCGAAATGAACGGTACTGACGACTTTCATGTTCTTATTGTCGATTGAATTCCAATTGAAGAATTCCTTGTAGAATTTGAGAACATGACCCACGTTGTCATAGGCCTCGTTGACGTCCTCGTCTTCAACTGCAGGTTCTCCTTCGGTACGTTGTTCCTTGCCGGGAAGCCAGGAAGTGTTTTGTGAATGCCTTGCGTCGTACACGGCACGAGAGATTGCCTCTGCAGATTCCCTCCGAGCTCTTTCGCGAGCTGCGAGAGCTAGATTTACTTAGCCTTGACCTCATCATGCGAGGTATACAATATGGGGAGCTATTCTACCTTGCTGTACAGCAGGGATTTTACCCAAGATTTCTTGGAGATGGCACAAGTCCTTCTTGGCACGGGAGCGAGTTTCCTCGTCGACTGAATCCGACGTCGCCAGTTGCTTGAGGAGATGCTCGGGGATGAATGGCGAAGTTTGGACGGGGCGTCCTCCTTCCTTGGCTCCGCGAGGTTGTGTAAGGTATGCTATGTGTTCCTGTCTGGCGCTTCGTACTTCTGTATGAGCGGCGAGGGATTGTGCGGCTGCTTTGCGGACTTGGTCGGGGTTTTGGGAGGATTCTGAGATTGCGCGGAGGAGGTGGGGTGGGACGATGAAGCATGGAGAGGACATTGCGAAGGATCTGGAGTGGGCGGGTATGATTGAGGTGTAGGGCTTGAGGGCTTTTAGGATCATTGATATGGAATGGGGTTGATGGTTTGTTCTTGGAGTATGATTGGAAGTATTGGGGGGTATTGTCTCTTTTTATAGTTGAAGCTTGATACTAACTTCTACCACAGCCAGGATTCTTGATTACAACAGTTTGACCTACAGAGACGTACTATACGATGCGAGACACCTTCTATTTACTGTGGCTTCTACAGCTGTATCATGATACAGATTCACGAATTTGTGTAAAAGTATAAAATACCGCTAACTGCAAGGTGGTGTTGTAAGGATACGTGACAAGTACGTTGGAGGTTGTCTTCTTCCTGCGGATCTTTAGACCTGTAAACATATTCAGTAACTCTAGTAACAGATACACTAAACTTCAGGCTTAAACATTATCAAGGTAGCAGCGCACTACTAAGCTATGTATTTAATACACCCTGGGGTTGTGTTTTAGCCTCTTGTCATAGACTTCTTCTTGTAAATTTATAGAGCTACTTGGTGAGATTCTGGGTAGAGAACTGACTTGGCACCGAATACTCATTGAAACAATCGACCTTGACAAGACTGTTTTCTGTTGTATTAAACTTGGCCTTTTCAGCTTCATCCCAGAACAAGATTCATCATATCAACACTCGATACATGAAATAGAGAAGTTAAATAATTACGTAAATGGCAAGAGCTGAAATGAAGATCAGAGCGGTCGCCTATGAGGCGTCTATTTGGCAGGAATGAAGGCGCCATGAATTCTGAGTATCTACTTTAATTATAACCTTGACTTTAATGCCTTGCACGTCAATCTGACGGGCGTCAAGGTGGTGTTTAGTCGAAAGTGGCTGCCGCCAACGGCTGGCTGAACACACTTGGACGTCCAGCTTTGATGCAAGTTGTCTTTTAGTGCGTCTAAAAATGCTTGTTTCACTGTTTCTGATTTGGTAGCGGGATGAACTTTGACAGGCGACCTTTAACTTGATCAAGTTGCTGCTGGACCCTCATGCAGTATACAAAGCTGGCGTTGCTAGCGTGAGGGAGGATGTTTGGGTATTATTAGGAAGAGGTTGACTGAAAACGAAATGGGTACTGTGTGATATAAGACTCGTGAGGTACAAGAAGCTATATTCACACGTCAGAGGTAATTGTGAAAATGATTGGGTGTTTGCTGGAATGCAGGAGAAGCTGAAACATTATAGCAGGTTGGTTATCCCAATGGTAAATTCGCCTTGTTATGAAAGTTGCGTCTAACAAAAGTCTCTTTACAGGAACGCTCTAATTGATCATTCCCAGCCAAGGCATATTGGACATTGCTTAATTCACATTACATATTTTTGAGATTTCACTCTTGGTTAACCTTGAGGCCTGCCTCGGCCCATTGCGGTGTCACGGGCTCATGATTCCCGGAGAATTTTTGTCCATCAAACCATAGCTCAAATCTGAGGTCTGCGGGCGCAACAATGACACGGAGATCAAACCTGCAAATGTAAAACTTGTATCCTTTGCGGAACCAGATGCCTCGTTTCTGTTTGAGCAGGAGCTGGTGCTGTTCGATGCCCTCCAAGTTGCTCTTTACTATGCACAGTTTGGTCACACCGGCTGTTGCCCAATGGCTCTGTCAGCGACTGCTTCTTTGCGATGAGTGTGGAAGAAACGCACCGTGTTTTAAACTCTTTGGTAGAAACGATGGCTCGTTCTGAGAAACTACTATATCTGCGTTCCAGCGTCTTGTCGTGTCGTCCGGTCCAAGACGGTACTCGAACGATTTCACTAGAGGAATGTTTGGGTCGATCACATCTCCCTGTGACAAGTCTTAATAAAAGTAGACATATGCAGAGGCATTCATAGTTGTTTGCTTACCTTTTTGATAATCCACTGAATCTGATTTACAGCCCATTTCTTCTTGGGATTCCACTGGTCTTGAACGACGTCTTCGTCAAAATGTGACGCCGGTGAGTACATCTCTCTTACAATAATGCCGTAACTGGAGCGAGCGATTCGTGCCGCCAAAACGGGAACGTTTCCTGTGTCCATCCTCTGCTGATGATCGAGAAGAAGGCCTCTCACGACGACAAGCTGCGGGTCGTGACATGGCACTACTGCGACTCTCATGGCGTTTATGTGTGGGTAGGTGATGAGCTGCTGTTGTATTTTGTCGCGTACGTAGGCGGAACTACCGAGGCCACCGGATAGAATCATGTAGTCCTACAAACAAGTTGGCATTTTAACCTCTCACAATTCTTAAATAAAGTGGAAGCACTCACCACTTGCTCCGTGTGTCCATGTTCGGCCAACCAGTTTAATTGCTCCGTTATTCGTTTCATGATGCCATCAATCTGAAGGTCAAATAGAGACTGAATCTCGGCCCTGCTGTTTGTCAGTCCAATTACAAACGCCACTGGAAACAGATTACCAGAGTACCAACATTGTGAAAAGCATTCGGCCGTTTTCGACGCCCAGTCCAGCATGGCTAAACTCATGCGATACGCCTTCTAATTGAAGCTTAAACACGGGCTGCATATAAACTCTTTCGCCAAACTTGTGCTTTAGAATCTTGAAATGATGACTCTTTGACAACCGAACAGCGAAATCATTGGGGAGCTGGGGTCGCATATTGGGATGTCGGGCCAATCTCTCCATGATCAATCGAACAAATGCTCTGTCAATGAGAGTCGACCCAATCCCGACTCCCTTGACAGCAGACATCTGTGCCATCTGGGGAAAATTGGGATCACTTGATGTAACTATCATCAGCGCCAAATCTGTTGTTCCTCCCCCGGCGTCAACCGTCAAAAACAAGCTGCCGCGATGAAATGCCACTGGGCTTGTCTTGAGCGTTGCAACAGCAGCAGCTTCAGCCTCGGTGAGGTCGACCTGGGCCATGTGCCTCGGCCCTTGTACGCCAAAGCCTGCATCTCGTATGATGCCCTTGAAGATGTTGATAATCTCCATACGCGTCCATGTCGTGGGCACGCTGAACAGAAACGTCACAGCCATGTCTGCCCAGCCACCAACGTGTCGTTTGCCAGTCTGCGTCTCGATAGTCTCCTTCACATGGAGATATACCTGGTGGAGATATTCTGTGGCAAACATCTGGGCCTGTCTTGGACTCTCTGGAACATTGGAGAATCCGCGTTGCTGAGCTGCGACGAGTGTCTCTTCATCGATGAAGATTTTGAAAAAATCTCGCCGGGTTTTGCCTGGCAATGTTTCATCGTCATCATCACATAGATAGCCCCAAGATGACAAAGTCCCATCGCTATTGTATATCAGAGTTGTTGGGACTTTGCGCTCTCCTCGATCACCGCTGCCAGGCCAATCATTGACGACCTGGATTGGTGTCTTTGGGGTCATCCATGCGACGCCTTAATGCCATTGTCAGCGCCACGCATCTCTCACAGAGCTGTAGCAGTTGTTTCTTGCCTGTATAAGTAGTGCCCAAGTCAATTGACACGATAATGTCTGGCTTTTCGGCCATCTTGACATCATTCCCGAGACTTTGGTTCGATGCAACTCTCGTCTGAGCACTCATCGCCAGCCCCCAAGCTCTAATCTCGTAACTAAAGTATATGTCACGAGTACACCCATCGGAGTGCCCGTCAATAGATCGATAGTTGCAATTCATCCATTAAGAGCAAAATTACGAGGAGCGACGAGTGCAGCTGCAGTGTTACGCTGTTGGTTGTGCTCTGTTTCAGTCACCCTTGTTCGGTGATGCATTGGCCTCCAAGCAAACAGCAATCCTCAGCTGATCTATCCCAGTGCGGTGGAAAGGGATTCAAACGCTGGCAAAGAACCCTGCAAGCTTGGGGAAACGTGGCACTTTGGCGCCAATGATGTGAGCAAACGGCCTCCGCAATCCGCGAATCTTAGTTGGCCGTTGATCCGCGACTAGCTTGTGGATCGCTCTCTCGTTGTGTTTGTTGATGATATCCGCAGCGGCTCAGGGCATTGAATCCGTTGGATAGGGGTTTCTTGACTGATAATGAATAAGTTTTGGTTTAATGCATGACATTCAAATACGAGATACACGGGAATTCAGCACATGATTGTGCGGCTCTCCATCTCTAAGCCTTTCATTTAGCTGTTCTATACCTAGATGATGACTCTGTTTTGATACATCCTGTATCTCTGTTCATATCGATATTCCAAAATGTCAACAAATACAAGTTTATTTAATTGTTCCAGCCTTGACGGGGGCACAACTACTTGGTTTCCTTGTCCCGCCACAACCGCTACGAAGCAGACAACGACCACTTCGAAGGAGACGACAACCACCACCACTGCTACCACCACCACCACCACCACATCACCAACTTCTACTACGACAACTACGACTCAATCCACTGATACGACTTCTACGAGTCCCACTCCAACCAGCCCAGATGGCACAACGGGCCTTCCTTCTGATACGTCCACCAGTGTGGAGGAAACTTCTACTGCTGTCCCGAACCCAGATACAAGCGTTACCAGCTCTCTTCCTACATCTTCACAGACAACATTGCCCCTTCATCAACATGCATCTATCTCTACAGGTGCCACCGCTGGAATTGCGGTCGGCTGTGCTGCCGCCGGCCTCATCATTGGCCTTCTCGCCGCTCTCTTACTGTTCCGCCGTCGAAAGGCCAGAGGGGCCGCAGACATAACCCACGCACCTATTCTTGTTGAGCCCAAAGAGCCTCCATCGACGGAATACCTTGACGGGATTGGATCTGTTGCTGGTACTCAGCTGGGGCAGTTTCTCCTCGATGGAGCTCCTGACCAAGAAATTGTCAGCGAGTTGCAAGCTCTGGGCGAGCTCATCCGTCAGCATGTGCAAGACTACTACACTCTTCAACCAGTGGACGCCAGTGTCGGAGAATTGTCGCAATCGCTTCAAAATCTCGGATTGGGATCGAGTGGTTCGGGATTGAGTACAGAGGAAATTGTTACTTTATGTTCCAGCAGCTATTCTCGTCAGATTGGCCTGCGTCACGTCATTTCGACAGTCATTTTTGGAAGCATCGACTTTCACACTCGTAGCAGTCTGTCCATGCTTCCCGGACCAGCTGCTGGGTTGCTTCAGTCTATCCCCGGAGCTGAATACGGTGGTAACAACAATCTGGGTATGTATTCTCCGAGAGATAAACACAAAGACAAGACTAATGTAATGCGTAGCATTTTCCCAAGCTCTTCAGACATGGCGTCGCCTCTCTGCTTTTCTCCTCCATCAAAATCGCAGCCAACGAACCTCTTTGCAAGTGGACGCCTTTACAGTTGCACCTCAAGCTCAATTGGTTACCGACTCTCTAAACAGTTTCTTGAACGTCTTTGTTATTCCAGGACAGAACAGTCACCAGACAAGCCATCTCCAAGAAGTTGCGATGGAATGCGCAAAGCTTGGCTACGTCCTGTTCTCTCACCCGGTGGATTGGAAGTTTACTTTTGAAGGGCTTGGGAGCAATACGGCGGATACGCGTGCCGTTGTAATCTGCCCCGGCTTAGAAAAGTGTAGCGATCGTGATGGAAATCCTTGTCGGCCGCCACGAAGGGTTGCAGCCCCGGTTGAGGCAGCTCTCTGATCTAGGGATATACAAGAGGCTTTAGGATTGCAGAGTCTCTTGATACTACAGCACTATTCTTTTGATTAATAATACTCGCATTAATACGCGAGTCGCACATCTAAAATGACTCTTCAGCGTAGAACATTGTGATAGCCGTCGCTAACGAACAAACTGTCGGGGAACTTGTCTACTGGAAGGGCATCCACGGTGCCGAATCACAAGGCAAACTATCAACCCTAGTTCCTCAGCCGCATTTTTTTGCAGACATATCCTTCAATCTTTCTTATCGCCGATTGGGGGCCGTTCGAGTTGCTCGTATACACAAATTAACTCGGGTAGATGCATGTATACAGGGATGCAACTGGAACCTCATTGGTAGCCTCGCGATTGACAAAACTTCGAACCAACATGCATATGCGCGAGCGGAAATATGCAACGTATTCGGAATGCAAAAGGTCGTTTGGAAGAAGATTTGCGTACCTCGGACATTTGCCCCTTTCCAGAAGATCACAAGCAAGGGCTCCTTGAAACTTATCTCGCCCGTCAAATGATGATGAAAGCAAGATCAAGTGTTTCAAAGTCTGAGAGTCACCCATAGCGACAGATCAGAAGCGACGGTTCGACTGCCTAGAAGCCCCTGCCAACACGTTTCTAGCTTTCCTTTTCTCCGAGAACTGATGGAATAGTTGGCCGATCATGTCTGGAAGGAATAGCTCGCTCGTTACACGACTGGCCAATGCACGGTCAGCTTTATTCTCCGTTCCTTATTGTGTCATGGGATTTCCAGTTGGATCCTTTGTCTCTGGCTCGGCTGTTCCCCGCAGTTCTCTCTCGGACGCAGATTTTTCGACGACTTTCCTCTTTGTTGGGAATGATGATCAACGTCTTCTCCTCCATTCGCTCAACCTACCGCGCTGTCAGTGTGGCGATTGATGGAGAGAATATCTCCAATGACATGAGACGCAGTCTTGAGCTTGTGCGCACATGCAACCAAGATTTACAGGAGCTCATTAGGCTCCGCAATGAGCATCTTGGTCTTCTTGAGAAACAACCGCAGACACTTGAGCGTCTCAACTCAATCATCGAAAAGGTACACAATGGACTACTCGAGGCATCTCGTATTGTGGAAAAGTATCGACCAGAGCTGCATTCTGGGAAGAAATCGCTACAAACTCAGATAGCATGGGCTCATAGAGACTCTCGGGAATTTCAGGCCTTGGGACCAACAATGAGCCAGCACAATGCGACAATTCTGGCAGAGATTAGCTTCCTTAGAAGCCTGACCATCATCACCACACAAAGCAAACCTGACGATGCCAAGGAGATTGAGATTCTTGGCTCAGATGACAAGACACTCTTTAACAACTTGGAGCTTCTACAAGACTTCATGGGCGATGTAGCAGGTACTTTGGTAGCCTCGCCAAGTATAGTGTGTGTCAAGTTCTGACGTGTTGTAGGTACTCGAGATCTACTTCCAGCATCATCACCAGCACAGCCGCCACTGCCTGCTGTCAAAGTCAATGCAAGGGCAAGCATGCCTAACCTACTGATGAATCAGGAATACTGTGATCTACCGGAGCCTGTTGTTCCAAACATAATTCCGCATCAGCAACCAATCGCCAGTCTATTCGCGCCTGAACAAGCATCAACTCTGCGAACACTAAGTGGGCAGACACTTGAAGATGGCAACCAGCACAACAGTCGCGTAGTCGTGAACCAGGCTGATCACTCTGGATTGTCTCTTTTATTTGGCGATGAGTTGGATCTAAGCTTTCGTTTGTTGCCCAAAGTTCAGCCTCAACACTCTCGAGCACACTCGAGCGACTCGATGGATAAACCCTTCATACCAATAGTTTCGCCGTCCTCAGTAAACGGAGAGACTGTCAACTCAACTCCATTGACAAGATATTCTCTTGCTTCCAAACCATCTACACTGTCTGTAAGCTCGATTGGGACCTTCAGTCCACAAAGCCCCGAGCCTTCTATGAGTCGGCCGCATGTATTTTCACTCCCGCCAACGTCACCTATCAATACAACACAATTAGCTTCACTATCCACAACTGCTTCAACATCAGAATCTCAACAAGACGCCTGGTCAAGACCACGAACCCTGTCATTTGCAGAACGCTATGCGAATTTGGCCGAAGATTCAGGCCGGGAGGGCCGGCGATACCGTCCATGGCGGCCGTACAAGAATGGGAATGTCTATGAGCTGCAGGGAACGGAAATATCTCCAGAGGCACATTCATCTGCTCAATCCACTACTTCACTATTACATAGATCAACCACTTAGTGCCCGACTACTTGCCTACTTCAATCTGTCACTATTTGTGGTCACAGCCACAAAATCATCGCCGTTGCGAATACATATCTTATACCACTATAATTACTTCAAGCTTAACATTGTCACGTAGCTCTCATTCTTCTACGTCGTCACGTGAAATCTGAGCTGACCCTTTCTCAGGTTTACAGTGAAAAAAAATTTTAATAGACGTTGCTACAGAGCATGACGGATCTATCCATCTAATAACTCAATCCTTTTGCGAAACTCATACATGGTAGCACGTTTAAGCGCCACTGGCAACGTTAAACATGCAGTAGTCAATGTTCTTGTCGTTGTTCGTACCACCATTGTTCAGAGCATACGTGGGAAAGTTGTACGACTTTCCGCTGGCACCCAGAACAGCGAAACTGAGGATAAAGACAATGACCTGTGTGCCACCGTCCATTGCGGCAGAGATTAAGTAGTTGTACTTGATGAAGAGGGCGGGGTGGTAGCGGCGAAGGTAAAACTGGGCAAAGATTCCGAGGCCGAAGAACATGAGCAGCGACGAGTTGACGCCGACGCAAAGCACTCCAGCGTACCAGATAATGATGGACGTATTCACATCGCGAAATATCTCGCGTTTCGTCAGCTTCCAGGCCAGCCAGAACGGTATCGGAGCTGCGAAGCCGAGAAGATATGCCAACGTAACCCATTGGTAGCGGCTACCAACTGAGAACATGTCTTTGGCTAGGGACCAGGCCACGGCAAGAGTGTTGTAGCCTTGGACGTTTTGGCCTGACCAGATGTTGGTTCCATCAATCGACAGAAGCACCTCCGTCTGGTTGTCTACAATGCTCACCATCATCACGTAGTCCATGATGGCGCCAATGACGGTACCAAGCATCTGAGCAAAGAAGGTGGCTTTGGGCGGCAAATGGGCCAGTTGAGCCAACTTTAGATCGCGAAGCAGCCACTGGCCTTGCTGAATACCGTTGAAACCAAAGACGGTGAAGTACATGTTGGCCAATGGCTTTCCCGGCAGCAGATAACCGCCCAGCATCTGGATAACGGGCTGCTGGTTGAACTGGAACCCGGTAAGCCCCATCTGAGCACCAAAGAAGAGGATGAAGAGCGCGGCAAAAATGTTGGACACAATGAATCCCCACCAAGGCAGCGTGGACTTGATCGCGTACAGCGTGGCAATACCAATCACAAAGGACAGGAGGAGAACGACTCCGTACCACCAATTTGGCACTTCGGCATATCCATTTTGCATCATCAGCTTGTAGTGAGGGTCCATCTCTTCGTCTTCCAGAACGAGTTGCCGTCGAACCTCTGCATCGTTTTCATCCTTGTTCCAGAAGGCGTATGTTGATGGCTTGAGAAGGTTCTTGAAATTGGAAGGGTGCAAGAATGCCCAGCCATTCTTGATATCGTCGTAATTCCACAGCAGCATATGAACAATCGCGGCCGTAATGCCGATGTTTGTGGTGAGGAGATAGACCACGTATGTTCCAGAGAGATACGGAAACTCTTGTTGGGCAACAAGAGTGCTGTTGATGGTGTTATCGTGGTTCAGAACAGCCGTGAGATTGTACTCGACAAAATTGGTCGCGTTAGATGAGCCGTCGTAAAGCAACTGCGATAGAAAGGGGAAGTCTCCAGACCGCCAGATGTTTCCGTAGTAAATGCTCATGAATAGCACAATGCACAACAGGTATCCGACAAAGCTGTTGACCAGTGTATATAGAGGAAACCAGAGAGGCGAATTCAGTCCAGCAATGTAGTTCCAGTCAAAGCAGAGGCCAAGAAAACCGAGTCCCTCGTTGTTCTGCGCTCCTCCAAACAGGTTGGTAAACACCAGGCTATCTTGCCGGGCCAGGCACGGGATCGAGATGCCCTGGAAAATGGGCGCGATCCATAGCGGGATAATCTCCCAGAAGAAGGCGCCGCTAAAGACGTACGAGAAATACTTGAGGCGCTGCTTCGTCTCGGCCTTGTCGCGATGCAACGTCTCCAGCAGCGTGTTGACGGGAATATTAATCGGCCAAAGCATCTTGACTGGCTGCACAAGCACCGTTCGGAGGAGGCCCGCGATGCCGTACGCCAGAAACTGCGAGGCGATGACGAGAAAGATGGCGGCACCTTGATTCGGGTTCGATCCGTAGTAGAGTCGCTGTGCTGCGAGGATTTGCGTTGCTACTGCAGAGGTTGAGCCTGCTGATCCCATGATTACCATGAAAGCGTGCTCTTTGGAGTTGAACTCGGCGGGGTTGAGGAAACGGCATATCCGGGATATGATGCCGTTGCCCTCAGGTCGTGGGATAAGTTGGAATGGCATCGCGAGAATGTATGCAATGACAGTGAGGAACACCACGGATACGTAGATTACCTGAGGCTTGAAGTAGAATATCTCCTGCAGTACGGACGAGAAGATGCAGAGGATGAGGCCTGAAAGTAAGAAGCGTTGTTACTTGCAATTCAAACAGTAGAAAGTCTGATGAGAACCTGATGATGGAACTCACCAATAAGAATCGCGCGAAATGTCCATGGGGTATCATTTGGGTTGTCGTCGACATGCAAAACGTGTGTGATCAGATCCTTTGCATTGTCGATGACGGTGACCTCGCCAAAGCGATTCTCCTTCCTAACGTCGTAGTCGCCATCATTTTCATCGTCGATGATGCTAATGGTCCTCTCAATGTCCGAATTCAAGCCAACCTTCTTTTCGTCGTTTTGAATCTCCGTCTTCTCTCGAGTTGCTTCATCCTGCTCCGGACGCCTGCTGTCAGGAGTGATGTGATCCTGTTCGCTGGCCATGTTGCAAGGATTGATCCCCGGCCACTCAACCTTTCACAAGCGACGTGAGGGAAGATGGCACCATGCAAACACTCAAAGCATCTCTGAGAAAAGCAGCCATTACTGGGAAATCAATGTGGCTTTAAACGACTCGACTTACACAACTACACGCAGTATCAACGCACGGGGTAATATGTGGAGTAGCAAAAGTTCCGATGACCAGGACTCATTGCCTGAAATGGTAGGAGGGGTGCAAGAACTAATACGAATTATACGAAGAGGGTCCTTTTTTGCACTCTGCCGGCATCTAAAGTCCGATTGCTAAATTTTCATTCGCTGGATTTTGGAAGAATCGCTGATCCGGCAATAACTAGGGCTTAAGGCGGCCGAATACCCGTTGGAAATGGAGTGTAATAATGCCAGTGGCTAGATAACGGATAGACTACCCGTCCTGAGAAGATCACACAGAAGGAATCAACTGTAGAGCCAAAGTAGAAGACTCAGCAATGAGGGTTGTTTAACAGAGGCCGTTTGTATATCTTATTAGCACTTGAAACAACTTATCCTCTTCAAACTTATTATAGTGCATCAGACCTGGAAATTCTTGAGTTCCTTGCCACAAGCACGCGACCGATCAACTGTTACCAGCTTATCCTCTGTGGAGACGTAGCCACTCGAGAACCGGGCAATGAATTTTCCAAAAGAGAAAGAAGGAGCAAAAGTGCCACTCCTCCACAGGTTCTTTTGATGATTTGCAGAAACTCAGAGTAAACGAGATGCCGATGAGCCGGATATGGTCAGCCTAACATCGATTAGGATATATTAATGCTACTGTACCCTTGGAATTACATGGTCAGTCATGGCCACCCCACTCTTGCTGGACTGGACACTCTGTGTGACAGACTTTGCATGCTTTCCCACGGCCTGGGGCTCTTCGTTCATCATATCTTTGTATTAGAGACCCTAAGGATATAGTTACAAGTAGAAGTATTATGCTTTTTTCATTGAGCAATACGACGGCAAATACTACATGCATTGCATGCATTTAACCTGGTATCTGCATCTCGATCTTCTTAATTAGCCAAAATGGAACGACAGCATCTATACTCCCAAATCTCGACCATGTTGTCTGGTACACCGAGCTCAAACTGGCGACTCTGATTCTCACTGATGCGTAGATATTCTGCATCAGGAGCCTTTTCACCCGCCTCCAGCCTGAAAATGGTTGCAATGTCGGCTTCAACTGTTGACGGTGACGCAGAAAACTCCCGAATCATGGCCTTTGTCTCGTTGAGACCTGCAGCTGGAAACAGAGCGATTCTACCGGCAATCTCATCTACTGCTCTGCGAAGCTTGGTTTCTGACCTGTACATTCTGTTGACCCACCCAATCTCTGCAGCATTCAGAGCATCAATTCCACTGGAAGCAAGCATGTATTCTGCAGTTCTCTGCATCCCGATTAATCTCACAAGATGTTGAATGCCACCGTTCCCGTGGACTCCACCAACTGCAACTTCGGGAGCCCCCAGAATTGTGTTGGGGCCCGAAAAGGCCATGTCGCATTGCACAAGAAACTCATTGCCCGAACCGGTAGCTCGCCCGTTGATTTCAGCGATAAGAATCGTTGGAAGGGATTTCAGCATGCCGACAATGGCCCGATTCTTTGTAAAAAGCTCTTCTGTGTAAGACTCGTTGAACGGAGGGTTGGTACCAAATAGGACTCCATCATAGTGGCCCATCGGAACTCGGGATCAGCGCTAGCGAAGATGATGACCTTGGGCGGAGGAGCAGAAACCGTAATGTTTTCAGGCACAACAGAGGAAAGCAAGGGTGATGAGTTTGTAGTCATAGAGATTGGTCGGGGGGTTGTCTATGAGGACGCGTAGAATTGTGCCATTGTGGGATGTTGTCGTTGTTAATGTTTCGAAACCGGTTGGTTTGGTGCGTTCCCAGGGTAGGCGACGGTTGTCATGTTGCTGAACTGGGTTGCCGTTGATTAATGGTAAGAGACTAGACAAGGCAAAGAGAACAAGGCTTTTGTAGAATGGATATATTTTTGCGATATGATATTTTCTTGATCTTTCGTGTTAGTGTGGAAAGTTGGGTTAAATATTTGAAGACATCGAAGCAAAAGGAAAATCTTTATACTAACAAACTCGGATATTTATATAGAGCATTCTTTCACAAACTCAATCCAAGCTGTATATAAACAAGCTGACATGACTACACAGTATAATGCTGATGTTTGTAATTGCTTTTATTTTTTTATATCCTTTTCCTCTTTTATGAAATATTTTTGTTAGACTACCGGGCATTGAACATGGCGTATAACAGACTTGCCCGGCATCTGAGGACTTGATAAGTCCACACTCCGCTGTGGCTCAACCGATTCCAATAAGCAGCGCCTCTCAACTAATCGATTGCCCATTTCGGAAACTAGATGTGGATATCATAGATTAGTCAATTTTGCTTAGATATCTTGACGATTCGAATACTTGTTTCGGGATAGATATGGAAGCTCTTCGCCGGATGTGAGCACATTTTGAAATACGGATTGCGATACTTTTGCGTAATAAAGGAGCTGATATAGTACCTCTGTTAATGCAATTATTTGGCGAGGTAAAGAGTGTGGGTGGTATTTTGCATGTATCAGTGTCTACGTACTCTCTCAGCCGCTCACCATATATTACCCCCGCCCGTGCCTAAAGAGCCCAACGAGATTGGTGCTCTATCATTGGGCTGGAGGAAGTGACAATGGTTCGCAAGGCGGAAATGGTTCGCATAAGGCAGCGGAGATGGACTTTTGCCCGACCTCCCCCCAGCCTCAATATCTCTCGCTGTCTCATTATGATCCAAAGACCCAACATCAGCTACCAAGGTTTCAGTGTATCCGTTTCAACTCTGCAATAGTCATGACAGATCGGGACTTGTACACGGTTGGATGGATTTGTGCCATCACCGCAGAACTCGTCGCAGCCTTGGCATTTCTGGACGAGGAGCACGACCACCCGACAGACCTGGATCCAAATGACTTCAACAACTATGCGCTTGGCAAGATTTCCGGCCATTACATCGCAATTGCTTGCCTACCCGACGGCGGAAATGGAATAGCTGCTGCTGCTGGCGCTGCGACTAATCTATTGCGAAGCTTTCCAAACATCCGCTTTGGATTAATGGTCGGCACCGGAGGGGGTGCTCCAACAAGCCGTCACGATATCAGGCTCGGCGATGTAGTTGTCAGTACTCCTGGAGAGGGCAAAGGAGGAGTTTTCCAATACGATTTCGGCAAAACCATCCAGAACCAATCTTTTGTTGAAACAGGCTTCTTGGATCAGCCCCCACAGTTGCTACGAACAGCGGTAGCCGGGCTGAAGGCTTACTACGAAACGAATGGCCATAAGCTTACCGAAGAGGTCGACAAGGCTCTTCAAAGGAAGCCGCGACTACAAAAGGCATACAGTCGTCCACAGACTGGCGATATACTGTATAAGTCTGCCTATACACACATATCTGCATCATCAGAAGATTGCGAGGCATGTGACGACGATCCTTGCAACTATATACCACGACGTCCGAGAGATGAGAACGACGACGATCCTGCTATTCATTATGGATTGATTGCTTCCGCCAATCAACGGATGGAAAATGCAATAATTCGTGACAAATTCGCAATGGAAAAGGGCGTCTTATGCTTTGAAATGGAGGCAGCGGGACTGATGAATCATTTCCCATGTCTTGTCATTCGTGGGATATGCGACTATGCCGACACTCACACAAACGATAAATGGAAAGGATACGCATCCATGATGGCGGCGGCGTACGCGCGAGATCTCATCCGCCGACTTATTCCTGGCCAAGTGCAGAAGGGGAAAACAGCAAATGAGATTTTACTCAGTAAGTTTAGCTCGTACACCAAGGCGAGCACCAACCTAACCAGGCTACCTATGTAGGAGGTTTAACGGGCCAAGTGAGCGAGCTTACTCACAACACCGACAAGATCGCCTATAAACTTGATCTCGCGAAACTGTCAATCGCCGACGGCGCAGAGTATGGTTCTTACGCGGACCAGCACGAAGATGAATGCCTTCAAGGAACTCGGACTAAGATTCTTCATGATATTGAAGAGTGGGCAACGTCATTATCGAGCAAATGCATATTCTGGTTAAATGGAATGGCGGGCACTGGAAAATCTACAATATCCAGAACGACAGCGAGAAGCCTCCGAGAAAACAACCTATTGGGTGCCTCGTTCTTCTTCAAAAGGGGTGAGGCGGACCGCGGAAACGCTACACGTTTTTTCTCGACCATCGCATCACAGCTTCAAACTAAAATCCCCGGAATGGCCGATCATTTAAGAAAAGTCATCGAATCTGAACCTCAAATATCGACTAAATCGCTGAAAGAGCAGTTTGAAAGACTGATGCTTGAACCAATATCCTGCTTGAAGCCTGTTAATAGCCAGCCTTCAATCTTGGTGGTGGTGATTGATGCCTTGGATGAGTGTGATGAGAACAAAGATGTCCAAACCATACTTGATCTGATTCCGCGGCTACAAACAAGTAAATGTATATCCTTTCGAGTATTTATCACCAGCCGCCCAGAACTACCAATTCGACTTGGGTTCAAAGCGATGGAAGAGGACGATCATCAGGACCTCATCCTTCATCAGATCCCTGAAGCCGATATTGAATACGACATTCGTTTTTACCTACAACACAGATTTTCTGATATTCGCAAATCCAGGATGCTACCACCAGAATGGCCTGGTGAGACAAACATCAACACTCTTGCCAAGATCTCCATTCCTTTATTCATTTTTGCCGCGACCATGTGTCGTGTGTTTGATGACCATGACCTGGACCCCAAAAAATGTTTGGATGAGTATCTGAAGTATGAGGCGGAAGACTCCAAACTGGACGCGATATACCTGCCAGTGCTGAACCGAATATGTACGAAATACAGTGACAGTGACAGACGCAAAGACCAATTCATCCAGGGTATTAGGGAAGTGGTCAGTGCGATCATTCTTCTTCGAGATCCATTGCCAATTGTCTCGCTCTCGAAACTCATTGATATTCCCACTGCGGAAATCAACTTAAGACTGAATTCATTGCACTCAGTCTTAAATATCCCTAATGATGAAACTTTGCCGATTAGGCTCTTCCATCTGTCATTTCGTGACTTTTTATTAGATCCTCAAACTCCTACAAAAACGGCAATCTGGACAGATGAGGAAGCTACAAACCATAAGCTATTTATTCAGTGTCTCAACATCATGAGCACTTGTTTGAAGCAGAATATCTGCAATCTCTCAAGCTACTCTATCAACCGCAAAGATATAACTAATGAAATCATTAGCCAACATTTATCACAGCCGTTGGAGTATTCGTGCCGTTATTGGGCTGAGCACTTGATCCGAGGTGAAGGCCGAACAGAGAATCTCCAATCTTTTCTGGAAATGCACTTACTCCATTGGATGGAGGCAATCACTATTTTAGATTCCGTACCAGGACTTATTCTAGATTTAAGATATCTGAAGGAGATCGCACAGGTATGTTGTCTTTCGCGGGGCACTACAGTGGCTGGCCCTGTATCATTATTTACTGATGGACTAGGATAATTATGACCATGAACTGTCAGAGCTCGTTCATGACGCTATACGATACATTCTCAGAAATGAAGACATAGTAAAGGAAGAACCCCTTCAACTTTACGTTTCGGGATTACTATTTGCCCCAACATCATCTGCAATTAAACGACACTTCGGCCGAGAATTGCCAGATTTCATCTCGATGACACACAATGTCGATAGTTCCTGGGGCGCAGAATTAGGAGTACTCCCAAGCTCTGAACATCCCACCTGCGGGGCGCTTTCCCCAACTGATTCAATACTTGCAGCTGCGTATAAGGATTTGACGATACGGCTCTGGAGCACTATGACAGGCCAATTCCTAAACTGGTGGAAGACCGGTGAATCGACTGGTGAATCGACTGGTGAATCGACTGGTGAATCGACTGGTGAATCGACTGGTGAATCGACTGGTGAATCGACTGGTGAATTAGGCCCGATCCGAGCCATTGCATTCTCATCAGACGGTAAATTGCTTGTATCCTGCTCTACCGGTCCAGGAAAACTACAGTTCTGGGATACCGAACATGGCACCTTGCATAGCAACTTTGATGAGGATGTAGCTGAGGTTACGTCTCTGGTCTTTACTGATAACAATCGAGTGCTGGCGTCACCATCTGAGAGTTGGGACTTTTTGACTTGGGATCATGCCACAGGTATTCAGCACCACACGCTCGCAAATCCTCTCTCGGAAAATGCGTATACGAAATTTTCGCCCAACGGCTTGATACTAGCATGTCGTGATTCTGGAGCGGTTATAGATCTCTGGGATGTCAACACAAATGATTTGCAACATACACTGGTGGGCCATGCCAGCTTTATTTTATGTTTAAGTTTTTCTACAGACGGTCGATTATTAGCCTCCGGTGACGAAGAGGGCACCGTAATTGTTTGGGATACGACCTCAGGAGTTCAACGGGAGCACATAATGAAGCATATGGGACTGGTTCTTGATATAACTTTCTCACCGGGAGGGCAACTGCTGGCGTCAATTCATGGGCATTTGGATCCGGAAACAGATAAATATGAAGACGAAATTGCTGTTTGGGATCTCAAAGGATACAGTTTGACCCAAATTTTGAGAGACCAATATGGAAGTACTCTTTTTATTCTCTTTTATCGACACGATGAAACCCTGATATCTGCCGGCGGACCTATTAGGCTCTGGGATGCCACTGATGTATCACAAAATCGACAACCACATGATTCTCGTGTCACATCTATCGTCTTTTCACTCGATGGTCAGCTTCTAGCTACTGTGTGCCGTACTGGCAGAATCCTCATCTGGAATGTGGCCAGTGAAAGCTCGATTCAGAATCTAGGGGACCGGTACAACGGTCACGTTTTGGCCTTTTCACCCTGCAATACGATGTTGGCATTCAGTTCGTCCCCTCAAGTCATCGAACTATGGAATATCAACACAGAGGCCCAACAGTCTAGCATTGATGCCTTTGGTGAAGTCTATTGTGTCGCCTTTTCGCCAGATGCTCAACTAGTAGCATGTCTGGTTGGCTATCAAGACATCAAGATTTGGGATATCTCTACTCGTACATTGAGTCTTACTATACGCAATTCATATTTCTATCCGCCTATTAACTCAATTAGCCCCCATGGCGTAGTGGCATACGCCTGGAGGTCTTACGGTATTTCCCCGGGTATTCGTAAGGCAGTCGGTTCAAATCCGGCTGGGGGACCCCACGCTAGCAGACTAACCATCCTGCTTATCAAATGGTCAAAACGCCGCGACACTTGGGTCCTTGGGCCGGACCCAACGGCTGCTGCCCGAAGTCGATATATAATCGGGCCGTACCCTGCACGACAGCAGAGACCTAGCCTAACAGTATTAAACTAAGGCCGTTGTCCAGTACGAGAGCTGGCGCCGCCCGGGGCGTATCCGGGAAGTTAGGCTGGCAGGCCTCCCCCGCGGCAAGGGGCCACTACGAAGATATAGAGCATTAGATACAGCCTACAGCAGCTATAGACTGACTGACGTTACCTATCTAACTAGTAGGCAACCTTCCTTAAAGGGCCGAGAACAGGGCGGATTCGGGCTGCTATAGCCGCGAACTATAGCAGGATATAAACCGCTTTAGCAGTAGAAAGGGAGTATAAAGGTTTTTATCTTAGTAGTAGGTATAGGTTTTCTATAGAGGGTTTTTCCTACTATAAGGAAATACGCAGAGAGATTAGAAATAGCTACTGTTAGTTAACTAGCTATCTAGAGTAATATTATTATTATTATTATTAACTCAATTAGCTTTTCCCCCAACGGCCAGTACCTTGTTTCCTCCACCCTATTCCCTCATCATAACCCACACGAGCGGCTGATTAAGGGGTTTCGTCTCCCCAACACAGACACAGCGGAGTTTGACTTCTGGATTTCTGATATAAAACTTTACTTCGGCCGTGATGACACTAACAAGATTCATGACTTTCCAATATTCGAACTTTGGACTCCACAAGGAGACTTAGACCGAGAGATGGTCCCCAAACGGAATTATGAACGGATAAATGGCTTGCAAACCCGACTTGAAGTAAATGGAGAGTGGCTCTGTTACAAGGACAAAAAAGTGCTCCGGCTTCCTGATAGCCGTCGTGCCGACTGTTGGGCCTCTAATAAAGAAACTATTGCCATTGGGCATGCTTCTGGAGGGGTTACAATTATTAAAATTTCGCCGCAAGCCGATTGCAGTGAGTTTTAATAATATCTGATTATATGACAAGTATACGACGATAGAATCGTCTTGCCTGGTGAGAAGACTGACCTAAAGCACAGACGGGTCATATAAAAGAAAGTGTATGACCTATATACAAGTAATCTAATGGGGTTTTCAGGGCCCTAGCTCAATCCAAAGGTTTTTTAATCAGTCAGGTGAAAGTATCCTGACTTTTTTTGCATTTTGTGGTTGCGGATTAGCAGCTTGTCTTCTCTCGATGCGCTTCCTCTTTCTGTCCTCTTGGAAAGAATGCCACGTTTCATTCTCAAGGATCTCATCTACGTTTGGCCGATCTTGCGGTTTCCATGCCAACATTTTATGTAAGAGACTGGCAAATGGCTCCTTGATGATTCCCTTCATAGTCTTCTCTCGTAGAGTAAAGTCTAACTTACCCCGAAACTCCCCTTTCATCTTTATGTTGTCTGGGAGCACTACGAAAGCAGAGAGCCATGATGCGGCGAGTGCCCATACATCGGCTTTGAAACCGTCCAACACTTCAGGGTCTTTTGTCTTCCAAATCTCTGGAGCGACAGAGACACTCGCCTCACGAAATCCAATCGGCTCAATAGGGAGAGAAAGACATGCCCTCAGAGAAGGAGATTGGTTTGAGGCTGGTATGGCGTCGTCAGTGACTTCTAATAAAAGTAATGACTGCGGTATAATTGTGCCGTGGGTTACTCGTCGCCGGTGTAGCTCTGCCAAGCCCAATAGAGTATGGTAACAATGTAAGAGCTGTTGTCGATAGTTGACTCCTGTCCATTTAAAAGATCGAAAATTATCCTTGGCCAGAGGAGTAGAGTAATGTACTTGGGAACAGCAAACAGGGTCCTTAGCTCCGGTGAGAAAATCCCCAGTCAAGTGCTTATGGTCACACCATACACTGACAACGCCGAGCAGGCCGTTTTGTGGTTTGTCATGATATTGACTGGCTATAAGAAGCTGTTTGCGTTCTGCTTTTGAAAGTTTATCAAGTCGCAAGGTTGTTACCGCAACTGGCTCTCCCGTGTGGATATTGACACCTGAGGTCCTTGATGTGTGTGGTATGGGATGGAGCCAGACGTTGTGAGACGTTCTGCAATACACCATGGGTGCACAGCCAAGAATCTGCAGAGGATCGAGGCCATGATCATCATGCCTGGGTTGTTGGGGTTGCACTTGGCTGTTCTCTTGACCCCCCTCTGCGGTGACGAATTCCAGGAGGAAGCGATATTCCCCAAAACGAAGGAAATTTCGGGCTCGCCGCAGGACACAGGTTTGTCTACCAACTGGCCGTAACTCAATATCTTTATCATGAATGCCGCCTTGCTCGTAGATAATCGGCCGTTCATTGCATCGCGACTTGACAATGAGCGCGCCTGATTTGACAAAGTATAACGACGCTTGAATCGGAGCAATGGATCTGCGCGCCGTCTCGATGCCTAGGGTTTCCCCCGGCGGGCAGAGCAATATTTCGGGTTCGCGACTTGATGCTTCACTTCCCATGGCTGGGCCAGCACCAACTTCCCAGAGCGGTTCGTTTGCGTCATAATTGCTAGGCAGCAGCGAGGGTATCTCCAATTGATATCCAATTCTTCTTTTGTCGCATTTGAGATTCGACGGTGCCGCGGTGGTATACTAAAGACTCTCAAGAAGGTGAATGGCGCTGGTATTGGCTGCGGAGAAGAAGATGGAATGCACGGGTTGTTGGGATGACTGGGATGATGACGCTGAAACTGTTGTCTCCCTTGACATTGTGAGTCACAAGAAGAATGTCTTGGACATGAAGCATGCCAGATACAACAAGAGTCGAGGCAGTAAGGAGTATAACCCAAGTAAACTACAAGGCAAACAAACAGAAGGTAGGTAGCAACTACTCACAACTGGTAGCAACTACGTAGCAAGAATCAGCAACTACTAGCAGGTATTGGCGGCTACTTTGGACGACAGGTAACAATGGGCGGTATGCACATGGGGAAAATAACTCACGAGATATGGTATTACAGGAACCAATATACCAGCTCTACTACATTGTGAATTTCTACACGGGATTTTGCTCCCAAAATGCACGGCAAGACACGCAACGCAACAACCCCGCGCCAGGCATCCATCCCTCCAGATGACCGAACCTGCATACAGCGTGCATATATAACTCAAACAGCGGTGTGTTTCTCACAACTGGTAATAACAATCTTGTTCCGATCGATGTATGTGGCACTGTTTTGTTTATGTGAAAAGCACGAGACGAGATAAACACGGCAAAAGTCTCCAACACAGCGCGTATACTTAGACTGTACAGACCCCTGTCGCTCGAACGTTGGCGCATTATTACTCCGTGAAGTTGGATGATCATTCTTTTGTTATCACGTGACTCAACTCACGTCTGGCTGCCTATTGTGCGGGTTTAGCAGCTTCAACTCCGTCTTGTAAACGACTTCTCCCACGACGGTCACCAACACCAACGTTGTTTACTTCGGTCTCCTACACAACACTCCATTAACCGCAATCACAATCAGCATGGCGAAACGCAAAGCTCAGTACAATGACATCCGCGATCCGCCCCCGCAACCTAAGAGAATCAAGTCATCAGAACCATTCATCCAATGCGGGCACTTTAGGCTCAATCTCGCCAATGGACATTCGCCACCTCTACGACCAGCAAGCCTTTCACGATTCAGCAAACGCAAACTGTCGCAGTTCTCCCTGACCGAGCCATCGAACGGACCATCAACAAAACGAAGAAGGACGACATCACGGGATTCAGCAGGCTGTAATCGCGACTCGAGTCCTACTGATTCACCCGTGGAATCAGACATCGAAACTTCTGAATATGATTCATCCCCGCGTCCGCCCGAGCCAATATCGTCCGGTGTTGAGCATCCTCCCTCAGAGGGGGGTGATGCAATAGACGCAGAAGCGTGGCCTGATCAAGACGGTGCCTCGGGGGAAGATTTCCTTCGTGCTCTAGCGTGGCCAGGCATTGAAGATGCCTCAGCGGAAGATTCCTCAGAGGACGGTGCCTCAAGGAAAGATTTCCCTCGTGCTGAAGCGCGGCTAGGTCTTGAAGATGCCTCAAGGGAAGATGCCTTGAGGGAAGATGCCCCAGGAGTGGTCGCGTGGACAGACCCTGAAGATTCCTCGGAGGAAGATTCCTCGGCGGCAGTACCCCCAGTGATGGAAGCGTGGCCGGATCGAATAGATTCTCCCCCGAGGGAGCCAAATCCAGTGTGGGCCTTTTATGACCGGCTCTTCACAAACTCTCATCGTGCGATGATGATTCGCGAGGAGGAAAGACGCAATGGCCGAGAGCAGATCCGACCACGCCGCAGAGCCCAACTACCAAGCCCAGCACCTTCTGATGGGGGCACAGGCGGAAGCAATCCTACGTCCACTGGTCCTCCTCCAGCGAGCCATACGGCACCAGAGCCCCCTGCATCACCAACAGTGCGTCGTCGTCGCCTCAGCTTGTCACCCGAAGAGACCAAAAGACCCTCGCGTCAAAGCCCAAGAAGACGGCAGCCACGCAGAAAGAGCAGACAGAGTCAAGGCCAACCACAGGAAAAACCCTCTCCAGCCGTCATTGAAGACTTTTTGCAGTCAAAACGGGCTTCTAGGAGAAATGTTGAGTGTACGTTGTGGCAACTAGATGACAAGGGCACGGCACGCTTGGTAACAGTAGCACACGGGCGATAAAGTCACACCCGGGGGGGTTCAGCTTCTGAGCGAGAGTCGACTGGACGGCATACCCGTTAACCTGGCAGGGCCGGGGGCAGCGGGCAGCTTTTTCAGACAAACTGACTACCAGCACATTGTGACTGATTCATCTTCTGGCATGGTCGTCAATCTGACAGGGTCGGAGGCAGCGGCGTAGCTGAAGAGGAATGCAAATCACGATGGAGCTGGTTCCAAGCACATGGTCGTTATCCCGGCAGGGCTGGGTGCAGCGGCGCAGTGTTTGGACAGCTTATGGGCTAAATCTCCCGGCTACTACTAACACCAAGATGGAGGGCAATGCTATTTCTATGTTTATGATACCCCATAGTGATTTTGTATAGATTGATTCGTAACTGTCATGAAAGCCAGCGTATATGAGCATTTGACTTGCAACCTATGCTGCTTCTCCTGACTGCTTCATTATATGTCTGCTTTATATATAACTATCATCAACTATGGCCGGCAACACTAAGTCCATACGCAGTAGTATTACTATTATTAGAGGCAAAAAGGACCAGATGTAAACAGTCTCGATGCAAAGGAGGTTTGAGGATGATGGCTGATCTCGGTCCAGTTGCTGAGACTACTACTCGTAGAATATAGGCGTACTGAGTGAATCAGCATAGAGCTTGAGACAGGGATAACTGACAGCATACTTGACGATGACTTCTTTCAGAAACCCACCAACTCCCAAGGCATCAACACCGCCTCTCCTCTCGATCATCCAGGTAATTGCCGCAAGGTGGGCACGCCAGGCGTCGACATTCCCAATTGTAAACTAGAGAGGAACGAGGGTCAATGAGAAGCTGAAACTAACATATCAAGCCCGGTGTAGTAAGCTAACCTCATCAATTGCCATTATCATGACCTTTGCAATGGTGGCATCACTCATCTGAGTCGCTGTGGTGGCTAATGAGGCATTCGTTGACTGGATGCACTGCAGTCGGTACTTGGTTGACATATCCGCATAATCCTGATGTGGATTCAATACTCCCAGACTATGGCAAGACTGTAGAAATAGTGCAGCCATGAGACCACGGTCCGAAAGAGCCAATGGGATCCAGTGTTTCAGCTGCAGGTCTATAAGCCACCGACTGGAGCTGTTTCTATTCTTGTGACAGCTGCCATTGCTGAACGGTATAACGTAATTGACATCTTTATTCATAGGTTTCTTAGATATGACCAAGATAACTTTGAAAAGGATAGACGTACAGTGAAGAAGGAGGAAGCCTTCCTTTTCAGAGAAGCCTCCACATGGAGCTACAGAAGAGAGACCAATTGCCTGGGGTGAGCGAGACAGTGCCATCGAAGGTACTGTTGATGTGGGCTCTTCGACAGCCTCCTGGCTATTACTAGATGTAATGTTAATTGAGCTGACCGCTGTGTCGCCTCGTTTACCGTCGGTATTCTGTTTCAGCTGCTCGATCCTCTTAGTATCCCCTTTTTTGCCCTGCGGCGGAGCGGCTTTGCGCAACCTGCGTGCACGTAGACGTATTTCTTTTTGTGCATGTGATCGGATCTGACTTAAGCTGCTTGAGGTGGTGGCATCCCCAGGATGAGTGGTGTTGATGAAATGCAGGGCAGCTGGGCGGTCCATCGGCTTCATTGTTTCTCCACGTTAGCCCATCTTCCTCATCTAATCAATGACGTTTATGTTTGACTCTTACGCGTTCTCTGGCAACTCACGGTCGAGACTTTGCTGAATGTAGAATGTGTTGGATTGGGAAAGGATATAATTCAATGAAAGGATGTTGAAAAAGGTTGAGTGCCTGAGATTTGTAATCTGTTAGTGTCGTACAGGATACGACACAATTGAACAAATTCCTAAAGCGGAATTTGTTGACAGGCTAACTGAACGATGGGCTAGTAGAGTTGTGGGGTCTCACCTGCTATACAGACGTGTAAGTTAATGATCCTACTGCTTCTTTGGAACAACTTCCTAACAGGGCGTCTGTCTGGTCATTTAGATACGTAGATATAAAAGGATATAAAGTCAACGTATTTCACGCTGGGACTATACTTTCCAACTATTCATAGGATTGAAGCTCTTTTATAATTTCTAATCACTCGGACTTCCTCACTATGGGAAACAAGCAGGAGTCAGAATTTCCTATCCAACTGAACCTTGGACCTGCCATTCGCCAATGGTTTTACTCGCAACTCTTCATAACTCCCTATTACCCTACAGACTCTTTCGCTGGAAAGACGGTTATAGTCACTGGTTCCAACGTCGGGCTAGGCTTGGAGGCCGCTCGTCACTTTTATCGGCTCAACGCCGCGAAAGTCATTCTCGCGGTTCGCACCGTCTCCAAGGGCCAGGCCGCCAAAGAAGACATTCTCAGGAGTGTCACGTCACGAAACGATGCTGAAGCCATCGAGGTCTGGCCACTTGACCAGACCAGCAACCAATCCACACTCGAGTTTTGCGAGCGTGTTCAGGAACAGCTGCCCCGTCTCGATGCTGCGGTACTCAATGCCGGCATAAACACCAAAGAATTTCGAGTAGTCGATGGATACGAGCAAGTCACACAGGTCAATGTGCTCAATACGTTTTTGTTGGCGCTATCGCTACTCCCCAAGCTTCGGGACACCAAGGCAGAGTTCCCTGATGCAACGCCTCATTTGAGCATTGTCAGCTCAGAGGCGCATCATCTTGCCAAATTCGATGAAATCAATGCTGCGAACCTCTACGAGCACTTAAATAGTGAGGCCTCATACAGCCAACAACCAAGATACCAGGTCACCAAGCTTCTCGAAGTTCTCTTAGTCCGCGAAATCGTCACCCGGCTAAAGCACAACTCCAACTTCACTGCGCATCCCACAACTATCAATTTGGTGAACCCTGGACTCTGTTACAGTGCTATTAATCGCAGCGGTGTTAAGCCTCCGCTTTTGATCCGTCTCATCTACAAGATGCTCGCGCGCACGACTGAAGTGGGCGGTCGGTGCCTTGTGCTCGCTGCCGCTGCGCCAGATAGTTCTCATGGTGAATGCCAGAGTGACGGGAAGAACCAAGATGTTGCGCCTTGGATTTATACTACCGTGGGTGAGAAAGCACAGAAGAAAGCTTGGGAACAAACTGCGGTGATTTTGGAACAGAGGAAACCGGGCATTTTGAAAGCTGCAGGACTGTGAGCAGGACTGTGAAAGTTGGTTTCGTCTATTCTCACGAGCATGGTTCTGTGTATTACTGGATATTGTGCAGGATAGCATTTGTATCATTTCTTTGTGTCTGAGGCTAATTGATCGTGGAATGTTCTCGTTAGACAAAGGCTTCTTTCATTTCCTGCCATTTATCTAGCAAAGTGAAGCTTCTTTGGAGGTGGGCAATAGAGCAGAAGCTTGTCACTACAAAATACAGAGACTTGTTATATTACACATACTTCATGGATAAAACTATGGTCATGCGGAATTCGCGTCGTGACATTTGCACCATTTGTGAACGTTCAACATGGACATATCCAAATCCGATACCCCTTACGCATCGAATGACCCGGATGTGAGTTACCCGCCATCAAATCTCTTAGCAATTTAGTAATTATTACCTTTATGGCCGTGTAGCGGCTGTCCCTATGTGCTGGATAAGGACATATCCCAGATCTTAATAGTCTTGTTGACCGAAGCTGTTGCAAGCGGGTGTGAATCCCTTGGCGCCCAGGACGCAAATGTCACTATCTCTGTTGAGTTACATTTTGGTAATGAGAAAATGCAGGTCGATTCTTGAGTAGTCATTTAACCCTTGATTAAAAGCCAGGGGCAGTGACCTGCACCACCAACTGCACCACCAACCAACCAACCCACTGAACCGCCAACCAACTGCATTAACAACTGTATCACCAACGATATTGCCGGAACCAGATTCGTAAAATTCCAATACAGACGGCGTTACGAGCAGGAGCAGTATTCGCTGAGGAGGGAGTACAGGGTTAGACGAGTATATGGGAAGTACGAATAATTGAGCGTTTCGGCTTCGATAGACGTATATATTTGGAGAGCGCCCAACCCCCTTCGCACTGTCTCCCTTTGTCTCTCCTCACTGCCTCTGTGGGTGACATTCTTTGTCTCTTCCACTCCCTTTATTTCTCGTGGCACTCGCCCATTCTCTCCAACTCCAAGACATTCATTACTCCATGCTACACACGATGAAAACTCCAACACTCGCCGTTCTGGCTGCCCTTGCGAGCCTTCAAGCAGTTGCTGCCCAAGCCATCGCCGGCAAAACGATATGGGTTGATGCGGCAACGTGTGACCCTTGGGCAAAGTCCAACGGCTTTCCGTCTGCTGCCGGTCCGGGTGGCCTCTTCCCTGCTGCCTTCGACATCATTGATAAGATGGTAATTGCCAACTCATATCGTATATACCACCCTAGCACCCAGTCGCCGACGAATATCCCTGCAAGTATTGCCGCTTGGGAGAGATATCGACTCAACTCAACCTACAGCGCCCTTTTCGGCAACAATACAGCTACAACTTCGATTCCGGGCGGGCCCTTGGGCGTTTCTGACATAGCGTGTAAGTTCTACAGCTGGCTACTAAGTCAAAAGGGAAAAGGTCACTGACAAACGTCCACAAGCACACCTTTATGGGGTTCATTTTGTATGGGGGCCCGGGATTGGAAACCCGTTTCTCATCGTGGCCTGTGACGATGCCCCGTATGTGTCGAAGAACAGCAGCAGCGGCAAGTTTGTTTACAGTGAGTGTTTAATGGTTCGCAGACTGATGTGGTTACCAATACTGACCTGCCTCAGCCGACCCTTATCACCATCTCCCTCTCGAGCTCCCCGGCGGGAGTGTTATAAATGACGGAGTCACGACCCCGTGCGCGAGAAACGGTCAGTCGGGATACAACAACGAGAATGAAAAGAACTTTAATCAAAATATCATTCTTTGTACAAAAAACATGAAACTGCCACTCGGTTTCACAAGCAACGGACCTACTACGTTCGCCAGTGGTACGACGCTTGATGTGGCGGGCAAGACTTGGCTCGGCGCCTTTTACACACAAATGTCGTGGACCAGTGGCGGTGTTGGAGTTTTTGGAGGTAAGTCAAGACTCTGAAACTTCTTCAGTGGCCTCTACTAACTTGTTCCATGCAGATTATTCTCTGGCATATGGTTATGCTGCGTCACACGCCATGAGGAACGACCGGCACTCCATCTTCAATCCCGACTCTCACAAGTTTTATAATTTCGCCCAACTGCTCGATGGTCTCTTCTGGGGTTCTGGGGTTGGCCAGACTTCGCAGCAGGAATATGCGAGCTTGCAGAAGACGGCGGCTGGTAGGGCATTGATCGCTGCCTTTGGCCTCACCAACATCGCAGTACCGGCTAGGGGCGTCAATTGGGCGGCTGCATCCGGATGGGTACCACCGTCTTTGGAGAACTCTCCTGGCATAGTGGGAATCCCGAGAGCTTGAGAATCCTATACCATGACTTGTGACATACTGGGTTATGGTATAGAATCCTCCATCGCCTCATCTTGCTTGGTACACGGGCTATTTCTACTTCTTTAGTACATGCAATTATTATCATATTCACTGTATCTCCACTTACACTTAACATGAAACATCATGGAACAACGACTCAAGGCCGCACATCAGAACAGATGCAGTGCATGTACTAGAATGGCCATGTATATGCCAGAGCTCCTCTCGACAACACAGCCACGTTGGGCAATGTTCAACTGCTTATTAATCTTGCAGTCAACAGGCCTCTCAGCTTGCGCGTTTAATCTTGTTTTTCGTTTCCACTCTCATCTCCAACATTGTGTCGTTACCAACATTCTGCGTTGTATAACCATTCCCATTGACGATTTAAAAGCTTTGGCCATATGACTGTCTACACCGTTGGCCATGGACGAGACGTTGGTTCTTTCAAAGTTTGACAAGCTGGTCAACTCTGGCTTGGTACTTTATGATCAAAACCAAGAGACCGTTCAACATGTGGATGGCGAATTTGAGGTTAGCTCCGGATTGTCTGAGGAAGCTGGGCTGCTACTAAATGAGTCAACTCAGTTTCATTTCCTGCTTACTTCGGCACTTGCAAAGAAACCTATGCTGCGACCGCCATCATCGCACAAGAATCCGGGACTAAACGGCGACAGAGTCGATGGCAGCGATATATCCACCAAAGGCTTCGAGATTGGTCCAATAGGCAATGCCCATTTTGTTATTGCCAACAAATTCTGCTACGCACGTCCACATCTCATGCTTCTAACGTGCGATGGATACCGAAGACAGTACGAGCCGTTGGACGAAGCCGGCTTGGAGGCTGCGCAAACGCTTCTCCTTTCCATGAGCCAGGATTTCGTCGTTTTCTTCAACTGTGGTCAAGATGGAGGCTGCAGTCGACTGCACAAACATATGCAACTTATCCCCAAACCACCTAACACTTTTGCGGACTTTCTGGATAACGAGGCTTCTAGCAATAGCCCTCCCCAGGTTCCATTCCACTGGTTCTATCAACGGGTTGATGTTGCGAATACCGACGCAAGGGAGCTTACCAAAGTCTACGCAAGTCTCCTCCAGCAGGCCACAGCCGTAGGTCAGGGGTTGGCTGAACATGCAAATTCGGCGCTACCAGGTGCGGCATGCCCTCACAACTTTATCATGAGTAAACGATGGATGATTGTCATTCCAAGGCGTCGAGCGGGTATCAACAAAGAAGCCGGGGCAAATGCGCTGGGAATGCTCGGAGTAATTGCTGTTGCTACGAGAGCAGAGATGGACAATTGGATCCGTCTTGGGTTGTCGGAATCCCTCAGAAAATTGGGAGTGCCAAAATAGACGCTCAGCTTTTCGTTTGTTTATAGTTAGTATGTTAGACAAATTGCAACCGTTTGCCTATTTTTTGATGCATCCTGACGCCACGTCATTCAAGGCGCAGTCAGGAAAGGGATGAAGGTTCTGTGGTAAATCAACAACTCCACCATCAAAACACATTTCCCAGGACCGATATGGTGCACAGCGTTTGCGGTAATTAACATGACAAATGACAACATTCTGCTCTCCGTATCGCGAAATTGGCTCATATCCCCTTCTCTGCATAGTGCGATGCAGCAGAATATGTTGGTCAGCCAAAATCGACAAAAGCGATCATGATTGGACCAATTGCAAAAGAGGAGGGTAGTAATCCCGCGTTTGTCAAACGTCACTTGGATCCAACGGCATGAAATCGTCAAGGGCAGATCCAACGGCATGAAACGGCTGAGCATGTTTCCCCTGGACAGGGGTCGGAAGGATTTAGTGAAGGATGTCACTCACTATACGAACTGTATTCGCCCTCAACAGATAGCATGTGTCATCGCGTTTTGCGAAGGTGACTCGAGGTAGGACAATTTCTCAAAGGCCTGCTTGGCTAATTGCGGGTCAGCCACTGCCAGTTCGTCTGTCGGACATTCAAAACCCTGTAAAACTTGATTAACCATAACGAATGTCATAACTCACACCCCTTTAGGTATGGAATCACCAAGACTTTTCGGATAGCCCAAGGTACACGTCCACACCTATGCTTATCAGTCTGGCGTTATGACGGGATCTGAAAGGAGTGATAAGATGGTAGAGGAGACCAAAAGGACCCAAGTCTAGTGATATGCAACATTCGCCGATGGCTGAATTGCAGAAAATGATACACAGACCTTGGTCTCTGCATCACAGTCCCGACAATATAAAGAAGTAACTTGGTGTGTCTTTCCCCATGAACTCGGTGAATCGTAATATGATCTCAGGGTAATGATAGGCGTCCATAGCATTCAACTCGGTCGTCTGCATACTCCTCGGCCCGATCGTATGGAAGGACCGTATCCATTGATGCAAACATTCAGCCTCAAAGTTGGGTCTACAGCCAGAATATCTTGGGCGTTCTTCAGAATGAAGATGGTGATGGCCATTGTTCCAATCTTTGGCGACTTTTATGAACCTCTGAAGTCGCCGCCTATTCGTGCTGTTCCTCGCTGCAACCTGAACGAGGAAGGTTGCTGATCCGGCATCCGGTGATCCTCACATATGCACGTGGTTGACAGTTCGCGCTGCTTGCATCACCCATCTCGACCAATCGCCACTCCAGATTTGGAGCTGAATTGGCTCCTCGGTTCGTCGGATGTTGCCGCCGCCATTGAGACAAAACAAAAGCCATGTTTCATCTCACTCCGATTGCCCGCATTCCGATCCGCCGACTAGTTGCAGTGGTCGGTGACCTAGAGCAGCCCATTCTCCTGGTAAATAGTTCCACGTGTCGTAAATCTGGGCAGAGGCATCACCAAGGCGAAGAGCCAAGCAACAGTTCGCAACTTGACAAGATCAACCACCACGGACTCGAGCTTTTACTGTGGATAAGATCCCACTGCTAGAATTCTGCACCAACCCACACAAATAGTGCAGATCGCAGCACAACGCAGTGGTAATCGACAACGGCGGAGCTGGTTGGTTAATACCCCCGGATGGTCAACCAACTCCAAGATCCCACGGCGTCAGCAGGATTTGTTAATTCTCTCCGCAACTACCACCACTTCATCAGCGCATTTATCACGTGACGACTGAAATCAGCTCATCAGTCGATTCTCCAAGGTGAAATCACGCACCTCATCACATTCGGGTCCTGTCTGCTTCATTCATCGTCAAATCAAGTCAGACACGCAAAACGAAGATTTTGAGGCCATGGCTTCCAGAGCCTTTTTCGACCCCGTCGTTGCACTGCGGGCGGCGCCCCTGCTTACGTCCACCTGCTCGCTTTGGTTTGCGTGGGACCAGCACTTCTTCCTGCATCTCTTCAACAAGCCCGAGATCCGAAGCAAATCCAACGAGCTGCTGCCCACGTACTTTGGCTACTTTTTCCGCGGAGGAGTGACTCGCGTCCTGGTTTTGCTCTCCCTGACAGTGTCGTCCACGCTCGCAACCTGCCTCGTTAACCATGACTCGCATTGGGCCAATAATTCTCTGCGCTGGTACACGGCCGGCATGGTCCTGGCGGCTAGTCATCTTGCATTCGTCCCTGCCATAGCTCCCAAAGTGCAGGCTGTGATTGAAGACACTTCCAAGGGACAGAGCACCAATGATTTGGACGGCTGGCTAACGATTCACGCCTGGAGAGGTCTGACTGTTGATTTGGCGGCTTGGGCTTGTTTTGTTGTTGCTACCGTGCGCAACATCCAATCGTCGTAAAATTAAAGTTGGACGTATTCCATAGCCCTATGGATGTTTCCCTTGGTTTCGTCTTATTGAAGCTAAAATGAGCGATCAGTTGTCAGTGGGATGTCACCTTCCAAAATAGAGATTCGGATGGAGTTATCATGTATGATTAGTGATGGAATCAAATTCCACAATCCTTCTTTACATACCTCAGATTCATTATAAATGCAGACTTTTGATGTCACATCTGGCAGGTGAAAAAAAACGTGGCGGTATGCAGGTCGACAACCACTACGGCTGAGCCTTCTTCTCCGACTTCAAACGCCTGCTGCGTGGCAGTGGGTGATCGATTCTCATCATTTGCCTCTTCAATCTGCAGCATTCCTTCTGCTCAGGCGCATACGCAGTCTGCAAACCTTTCAGCCTCGTCATCTGTTCGTTGTGCCTGAAATATGACTTGTACTCTCTCTTGGCCCATGGGCACGACTGATTAGAGAACGGGGTGTCCAGAAAAGCCTGCTGGATTGACGTGAAACGTCAGGTACGAACTATGCCCGGTGCGCGTCCATACAGGCACAATTTGGGTGACCATGTCTGGGCTCTCATCACCCTCATATACGGATATACGCAAAATCCCCGCATCTTTCGCTCCCCTACTGGCGGTCCCAGTTTTGAGCATGTATGCCAGAAAGCCTTGCAGCCCGGGATGGTTGCTTCGAAGAATGAGTGCTTTCTCCGTGAAAGGCCAATTTGGCCACTTTGAACGTGTCCCGTTTTCCGTGAGTAGGACCGAAGTAGAAACCCCGGGCCCGGCGCAGCGTCTCAAGCTGGAGGTCGCTCGAGAATGTATTGCCGACGCTGGAGATGTCAACTTCAAAGGCGAGCCCATCGGCTGCTACGTGAGCTGTTTTGGTGAAGCATACCCTGACATTCTGAATAAAGCTCACCATCAAGCTGGAACAAAAAATCTAGATGGTTTTGGCGATTTTATGCCATTCAATTGAATTTCGTATGAAATGGTCTTGCGCGAACCTTGGTATGTCATTTTTCTCCTACATCTCTCTCTTCAATTCGAGGGCAATCTTACCTGCTGTTTCGTTCCAATGTTTTCCAATTGGTGTCTACACTCCAACATTTTATGGCGCTAATTAAATGATGTTAGCATGACCATTCACACCGTTTGCTCCTCTGCATTTGTCGGTCTGAATAAGCCGCAAAGGCTATGCAAAGATGAGATTGCGAAAGCTATCGTCGGTGGAGTCAGTTCAATGCTCGCACCAGGGAACACAGCTACCATGCTTCAGTCGGGCGTTCTATCCCGTGGAGGCTCGTGTAAAAGTCTCTCGGCAGATGTCGACGGATATGCCAGAGCCGAAGCCATCAACGCCATCTTTGTCAAGCCCTTGAGCGCTGCCATTCGGCACGGCAATCCCATCCGAACCATCATAGGGTCACTGCGACTAATTTTGATGGAAAGACAGCCGGACTGACGCACCTTGGATCAGATGAAAAGTGCCCAGGAGGCACTCATACGGAAGGCGTATCAAACTGCTGGTATCAGCGACTTTTCGCGAACTGCGACGGTCGAGTGCTATTGTATGGGACGACCAGTCGATGATGCCATCGAAACCACAGCAATTGCCCGTGTCTTTGGAGACTTTGGGGTACACATTACCTCAGTCAAGCATAATCTGGGCCAAGGCGGAGTTGCTTCCGGTATCACTTCTCTTATCAAGTCAGTTCTTGCTTTGGGGTACCAAACCATTCCTACCAACATCAAATTCTCAAAGCGCAACCCCAACATTCCTTTCAAAGAACACAGCTTGACAGTACACGTCAAGCTAACGCCATGGCCGCAATTCAAGAATCGGTCGAAGCAAAAGTGTATAAGCATCAGCTTCTCTGGTGTGGGAGGAACCAAAGCTCATGTAACCGCCGACTCTGCTGCCAGCTTCCTCGGCAACGCTCCCACATCAAATAGTGCCCAGTCTGAGGCGACAGAGTTTATTTGCCTGTCAGCTCTGCGACGGCCTTACATAAGATGACGGCGCGCTTACGAGAATGGTGCGCTCAACCCGAGGGATCTCGCACATACTTTGGCGTTGTGATGAGAGTATCTTCCACATAATGCCTTCGTAATTGCTCTAGGTGACCATCTCGGCCTAGCATCACAGGGCGATCTTCTCTCTTCAGTCAGTGTGTCGGACGCAGTAGCTGGTCACAGCGGCGGTGAGATTGTCGCTGCATATGCAACTGGTGCACTCACAGCTAAGGGAGCTATTATCACATCGTGGAAGCGAGGGCTGGCGGCTGAGAAGCAGAAACAGGCTGGTATCATGGCGGCTATTGGTCTGAGTGCGGAGAAAGCGTCCCCGCTGTTACCTGCCAACGTCGTCGTGGCTTGCGAGAATTCTCCAACGAGCACAACAACTTCGGCAAATGGAAAGGAAGTTCAAGAGATCGCAGCCCATATTCGAGAGAGTCACCCTAATTGGTAGCGCGTCTGCTCAAAAGTCGACAAGCCTGCTACTCTCATCATATGCGGGAGATCGGCAGCGAGTATCACGCCATGAATCCGCCAGAGCTGGAGGGCAAGTAGCCTCTCAAGCCATTCTTTTCCAGCGTAACGGGAGACAGGATAAAAGAACACCTAGGTATGGGTACTAGCAAAAGAACCTCGAATCTCCTGTACTCTTCAGATCAGCTGTTGCCTGCATCACCAAACATTATGATAACGTTACGTTCCTCGGAGTTGGAGCCCACGGGGCGTTGGCTGGCCCTATTAGGCAAATTCTGACTGACAGGTCGATTTCTGTCCCTTATGTGTTGGTGAACTGCGTCAACTCATATCGCGAGGCACTTGGAAGCCTTGTCGGGATGAACATTGTCGCGGACTTGGCCAGTTGGTACCCAATAGTGCTTGTCTTGCTGGATCTACCCAGATACCCCCGGGATCACGAGGGCGAGTAGCAGCGAGAGTCCAGAATCTCGCGCGAATTGTAGGCAACGGGAGTTCCACGAGCACCCATTGCTGCGAGTCCACTGGATTGAAAGCTCTGATTTGGAACCCAGCTGGCGCCAAATGATCCACGTAGACAGCATTCCCGGGTCCGAGACCACAGGACTGAGGAGAACATCATATTTCCCGCTGCTAGTCACACATCCGTGGTGGGTGAAGCTGCTGCACAGAATGGCGGCTATAGAAGCGGTTGTGACCGTCTGCAAATGTTGATCAATGTGGCCATATTTTTCAACGAATGGGGCGAGGCCTCCAAATTTGTGACCAAGCTCTGGTCGCATCGTTCGACGTACTCTTTAGACCCCAAACAGTGGGACTTGGCATCTCTTCTTACAACGGCAATATATGGATGAAACACCGTGGCGGACAGGTCATATTCGAACTGGACGAACCTGAGCCGTCGAAGGTGTACAGCTGCTGACACGAAGGCTAATCATGTGAATCCTGTACAATGACATGGACAAGGCTGGTCTGCACATCGGTCCGCTGTTCCAGCGTCTGAGCGACGCCCGAACTGGCACTGTCCAAGCGTTAGCATCAGGAAATTCAGCGGACCTTGAACTTGATGACGACGATGATTATCACCTACACTCAACTGTAATTGATGCAGCCCTCCAATTGGCGCCATAGCTTCGTTCAAAGGTGATATCAAACCCAGTCTCTATAGAAGGGTACCAACCCATATCAACAGCCTAATAGTACACTGACCAGTCTCAAGAAGCGACATTACCTTTTGGGCCTCGACCGAGAACGCTGGGGTGCACTGGTGAGGTTGTCAGCCGAAAACAACAGATCGTTGTTTCCACTAAGAACCGTCAGAACGCGACGCGCTTCGTTTGGAGCTCTCATCCCGACTTTTTGGATAAAACTAACCTCATAAAGCCGGTCATCGACTGGAAATTGTACAGCCCTACCCTCGACGAAAACATGTATCTATGCGTGGTCCTCAACTTGAGATAGTCATCGAGAATTTAGCCCGCGCTGCCCCATTTGATCAAGTATCGAGCTTAAGTCGGCGATCAGCTAAAGACTTTGAGGTGTGGGGTATGCTCACATTGTTAGCATGGAGCATGAGCGCCTTCAAGCAAGACTTAACGCTTTGATAGAAGGGCTGTATGGTTCTCCTGTTGAGGTCATTGGTCAACACATGCGACAAATTGCAAACAACATTGCGGACATCTGCTCGGGCAAGACAGATACCCTTGAGGTTCTCAAAACAGACGATATCCTCGATAAGATGTACGTACCTGATGATGTCAGCGATAGGTCGGGTTCATCCAACTTCGTGGCGGCAAAGGAGAGATTTCGGGGACGAGCGTAGCACGGAATACCTAAGATTGGACATCAGTAGAGACCCTGCAGAGCAAGGGTTTGTGGGTGGAAGTATCACCCCATCATTGCTACCAATGGCATTCACGTAACATCAAGTCTCTCGCAGACCTTGGCCAACGTCCACAAGTCGCTGGATGCGGGAGGGCGATTCTTGCTTCAAGAACTTCAATCGGTGAACAATTGGCCGAACCACGTCGCTGATATTGTTCCAGGATGGTGGTGGTACGGTGCAGCAGAGGACCCGCGGGATCAACCATGTGCCTCCCTGGTCCGATGGAAATTGGAGGTAAAAGCAGTTGGGTTCGCTGGCTTGAGGAGTGTCCCCTTCAACAGCGAAGAGCCCAATCGGCTGAACGCCATCATAGTAGAAAACCGCAGCGTCGAGCCTGTTTGATCGGCGAAGAAGACAATCGCGCTGTTCTGCAACGACGACGCGAGTCAAAGGGGGCGCCGGTCCAGTAACTTGAGCGCAAGGGCTATGCAGCCCGCAATCATAAGCTCAGAGATCATCTTCCCCCGGCCCCAGGATAGTGTTTCTCTCTTGGACTGCGACTGACCTTTTTGAAGGACATTGGTGAAGCACACGACTGTACAGTGCAGCGACTGCTGGGCGGACTCGACGAAGCAGCTCTCTTTTGGATCGCACACAGTGGTCAGGCCAGCCGCCAGAACCCAGATTATGCGCAGCTCGTCGGGTTAGCTAAGACGATTCGCACCGAGGCCCTGTCAAACTTTGCAGTCTGTGAGGCCGACGACTGTGAGAAATCGGTGAATGTTGCTCTGTACGTGTTAGCAAGTGCCAGGGGCGTCAAGGAGACGGTGTGCTAAATACCCACTACGACTTTACAGTCATCAATGGTGCCGTCCATGCACCAAGGGCGTATTCCTTTGTGCCGCAAGACGAGTTGAAGATCGAGGCGAGAGTAGAGGATCAGCTAGTGCTCGAGGCAAGCAAGCCCAGCCGCTTGGCTTCTCTAAATTGGGTCCGGCGTGAGCCAAGACATTTGAGAGAAGAGGTTGAGATTGAGTTGCACGCGATGGTTCTGAACTTCATGGTAAGCACTAGACCGCCACCACAGTTAACTCGGAACGACCCGACACTAAGTCATACCTTATCCAGATGAAGGCGTAGGTACTGAAGGTGCTGCAGGTACAATTCGTCGTGTTGGCTCTGGCGCCCAGGCCCCTAAACCAGGTGATCATGTCGTGGTCCTCAAGGCTGGTATCTTCACCACGCAAGACGCCGTCTCTGAGAAGCTATGCCTCCAGATCCCTGACAACCACACGTTTGACGGCGCCGCAACAATGGTGACTGTTTTTTCATCGGCCGTTGAATCATTCTTCAATGTTGTTCGCCTGGAGAAAGGACAGGTTAGTAAACGACTCGCCAGCAGATTCATGTATGGCCGATGTGAAGGGAAGCTAACCATTCTTCTCGTCGCTCTTGACTCACAGCGCGACGGGAGGCGTGGGCATCACTGCGATTCAGCTAGCCAAGAAGGTCGAGGTAGAGATATACGCCACCGTCAGAAAAGAAGAAAAGTCAAGTTCCTGATGGATGGGTTGAACATCCCTAGGAATCGCACTCACCAGCCTCATGACACCAGTCGAGGGCGCCACGCGTGAAACTAACAGTCGAGGCGTCAATGTCGCTCCCAACTCTCTGTTTGGTGAGGTACTCTACGCGACGCGGCGTTGTCCCATCGAACTTGGCACCATGGTTGGGATTGGCAAACGAGATTAACCTAGCGGTAGTCAGCCAGAGATGGACGCTTTCCTTGCTGGCTGAACGTATGCTGGCGTGTACCTTGGCTTGATGGTAATCAAGCGGATGGACAGGATGAAAAAGTCAGCAATTTGACATCAAACCTCCATATGTTGGCAACTGAAATACTGACTGGGAGGAATACAGGAATCTCGAGTCGATTGTGGTGATCCATGACGAGGGCCACATCGCGCCCATCCGACCTATTCAGACATCCGATGTAGAGTCAGCTCAGCAGGCGTTCGAGATGTGCATCAGAGGGCTTACTTGGGCAACTTGGGCAAGATTGTGAATTCTCTCCGCCATTTGGACGGCTGCCTTGAGATGGACACCCAGGCCACTGTTGCAATTAGGGAGCCGGAGCTGGAGCACTCCGCTTCGTACGTCTTGGCTAGAGGTCTCGGTGGTCTTGGACGCTCAATCGCCCGATACCAAGTCGAGAACAATGCACGATGGCCCGTCCCCCTCCCCCGTAGTGCCGGCGACAGTCTTGAGGATGCAGATTTCGTCCACGAGCTGGAGAGCCTGGGCTATGCTGCTGAATTTGTCAAGGTCAGCGTGGTAAACAAAGAAGACGTGGCTCGCGCCATGCAGCTTGTGCCAAACCTGAAGCGTATCGTCCATGCCTCCGTGGTGCTTTGCGACGAGGCCTTTCCCCCATGACCTACGAAGGCTGAGACACGGCAGCCTTCTCCGAGGTCAAAGGCACGTGGAACATCCACGAGGCTACGTGCCAGTCAGGCATCAAACTTGACTTCTTCATTCTGCTCTCCGCCATGTAAGGTACCACAGACTTAGCTGGTCAAGGCAACGATGCAGACGCCACACTTTTCTCGATATCTTCGTGCAATACCGGAATGGTCTTGGGCTGCGAGAATTGTGTATCGATCTAGAAGCGGTTCAAGACGCGGACAATGTCGCCAACGATGATGCACTTCTAAACAGAATGAATCTAGCAAACACCAACGGAGACTTTGAGCGCGAGCTCCTCAAAGCTGTCGAAAGGGGCATCTTGTCGCTCCCCGCCACGTAGAAACAGGAGTCAAACTTGTCGACAACAACGCCCTTGTGCTTGGGGTACTCACCACTGTGCCCTTGGGTAGCCAGGAAAACAGCGTCGTTTGGGGAAAAAAGACAGGCTTATTGCCGTGTATCACAACGCATCCATAGAGTCTGATGACGGCTCTGGGGCCAGCAGTGATGTTCTGAAGTCCTGATTAGCCAAGGCCAAGGCTGAACTCAAATCGGATGATGATCCAGAGGTGTCAACGTCCCTTGCATTTCTTGGCCTTGACTCACTGGTGAGAGTCGAGATGCAAATCCGGTGCGCCAGACCACTGGGCTTGACATTACCGTGATCGAGGGGCTGGTCATGGGAACTCTTGAGGGTCTTGGAAAGCAGACGGCGCGAGGGCTGTTGAAGTTGCACGGTGAAGAAACCTGGTGATCTGTCACGGATTGTCAGAGAGAATGTCAAAATGATGGAGAATGAAGATGGTAGACAAGCAAACCTGTGGATAGAAGAAAAGAGACGAGAATGCACAATCACACACGAAACAGAGGAAACAGAGGCGAAGCGATGCACCGTCAATGTCAGTCAATATCGCTCGAACGGCATCATTTCGCAGTGGCTTTTTTCTGGCAATACTCACAGCATTTCAGGGAGAAGATGATGAAAGAAAACTGACAAACAAAAGTCGATGAAGAAGACACGATGAGCGAAAGATGTTGAAGTTGTAAAGGCAGGTAGGTAGTGAATGCCTGAGGTGCGAATGATTCCTGAGGCTGCAACTTTGGGGGTCGTTTGACCTTACATAAGCACACTGAAACTTGAATGGGGGACGATGTATCGATGTCGCACAACGGCCACATTACGGCTACTCTTTATATGATTGAAAGTGGTTGGAGATGGGAGTTGTTGAATTTATTGTTATGTAGAGTCAAAATAAAATCATGTCGTCAAATGCATATGGGAGATGTGACATGTGTACTCGCTGATGCTATCCCATACGAATACCCAGTAGTCTTACATCTCGACGGAATATACATGTACGTGATGCATGTAAAGTGCACAACAACAGCGTCAAAATAATGGCATTTGCTTGATTGAGATTCTTTCTTGTTTCCTGCATGGTAAAGTGCTGGTCATACTTTTCTTGTTTAGTCTCCAAGATATTGCTGCCAGCATACGATGTTGGAGATCCTCAAAGTATCTATATCGCATGTCCTAACCTATACTCACGCACAATCTTGATACTTCGACTTCGACACCTCTGATTAACAAAAAATGCATACAGTTAGTAAGCACTCTGTTGGATAAGACCATTCTCCATTGAGATTTCATATTGTCCGAAATACTCCGTATTGTCATCTCTCATCTCTAATATGGTGAAGCCACATGGTTGGCTCAGGCAATCTAAAGCCGACGGGTGACATCCCGTCCCGACGGAACAAGATCCCCTTTATCCCTTGGAGACTTCCTTCATTTTCTCACATTGATATCATTCTTGATTCCCCTATGAGGCTATACAGTGAGGAAGAACTGGCATCGTAGATTCATGAGGCTATCGCTTGACCGAGCGGAAGTATCGTGTAGCACCGGCCACTATACACATATCAACCATTAACACCAACAACCCTGATTCCATAGCTCAGCTTTCCGTATCTGGCATGATTCATCATGTATGACTCTTGAAACCCTGCCGTTACATCACTGATGACTACGCATCCTGCTGGGTTTGCCGTGTGGTGCTGTGGAAGGGTCCCTCTGGCCAGGAATTACATATCCGCGTATCTGGACAATGCTACACACCATATTTGACAAATCAGCCCGTTCAAGCGTCCACTGTCTCAGTACTGAGCGTATCCAACCAATAAGAGAGCTGACCAGCGCGGTGGTTCGGGTGAAATCCGACCAACGTCGTTATCGGAACACCAGCTGCAGGGCGAGCCCGAGCTTTTCGGAATTAAGGTTAGTTCTGCTGAGTTTTGGGAGGGTGGCCTCTCCACCAAGAAATGTGAGATGCTATGTACGAAAGTTGAATTATAGGGATTCAATTTTGTGGATCGCGGATGAAGCATCTCGACAGCCGCCTAGTGAAAAGGAGGGGGAATGTGAAAGACACAAGAACCCCCCGTTACCGATGTTGATTTTGATGAAACACTGTCAGAAATGCCTCGGGCTCAATAAATGGTAGTAGTTCAATTCATTGTCGGTCTTTCATCTCCTTTGATCAACTACGCAGATGATGGGCGCTGTTGTCCAATCGGGATGGAATTCCAAACCTTGAAGAATTTCCACAGGCAGTCGATATGGATTGAAGATATGTTACAGTAGCTTTGTTAGAAGACTATTGACAATTTAATCCATGGCCATGAACTGAACAGTCTAGGCGTAATGCATCAAGATTTGATGATGATATCGGAGCTGGGATTATTGTCTTCTCTACCATATATCGGCTCACCAACGACAAACAGATGAGTCGTCATCTAGTGGCAAGAATGCATCGAATTTTGACAAATGCCTTTACTTGAATTGATTTTTTGACGACAAATAGGACATGGAGTGTTCTGTTTGTTGACATCATGGTAGATCATCGAGTCCTATTGGGACTCTTACCCGGCAACAAAGGAGATGAAATTTCTCCACGTTAAACCACAATGGGTTGAAGATGTATTTGAACCATCTCATCCGAGTTTGAACATTGACTGTTTATTCGTTCAAACTCAGTCTATATATGTCTTTGTATATATGGTGATTCTACTGGATGTTGGCATAGCATGATACATATGCAAGGAAGAAAACATACAAACAAACCCAGACCGCCCATCCACGAATGCATGGGACAACTCATCGCACGGCTCACCTAGGATAATCTCTGCCTTGACTCAACTTCACGCCAAACGCATATTCAGCCGGTTAATCCAGACCACTCCCCAGCACTCGGCGTCAGCAGCTGAGCCCATGGAACCCAAAAGAAAGAAGCCGTGCACCCATGTCGACATACAGGCACAAAAGTACACAATACCCGTCTCCACGAGCCGACATCCTCGCACGTAACGCAGCCGCTACACGTTACACTAATGTACACTCTACCTTGCCGGCAAGGATTTGCGAACCCAGACAGATCTCGCAACGTTAGGACCGACCGAAGCCGCAAATTTGCACCGGCTTGGCCAATCGGCGGAATGACGATGGCGGGTGCCAACAAAAAGCCTTGCTCCACGCTTCCCCAAAAAGCCCCCCAGGAACCAATTCAGCCGGCTCCAGATCTTGCACAGAAGCGGCAAGGCGTCGTCAAATGCGGTTATTCGGCCCGGCGGGGAGGTCAAGCCACCGATCCGCGTCTTAATGTGGGTTCCCACAAAAGAATCAGATGAATAATAAACATGGGGTTGAAAAAAGAGGGCGGCTGAGACTCTCCCTTCTGTCCGTTGTCAGGCACGATTTGGAGAAACAAGACACAGGAACGAGCTACTGCAAATTACGGGTTTAGGAAACGAGGGGGGACGGGAAAAACTTGCTTACCTTGTTTAGCTTGGTTTACAGAATAAAAACACTTTCATTATTAACCATGTAATTATCCCGGAGGCAAATCCTCCACAGACACGCAAGAAGGCGTGAAGAGGGGAACCTCGTTCAGAAGCCTTTGCTCAACGACGGAAACATGGAGAAGTGTGGAGAAGTCTCTGGTGGTCTGTGAGGGCCTGGACAAGGAGGGCCATGACAATTTCGCCTGGTTGCGTTGCTGCTCAGCGGCACGTCATGTCGAAGAGTAGAAGGATCTGGGATTCTACGGAAATGGGGACCGAGCCGAGTGCTGACCGCAAGTAGGATTATTCCGCCTTGGTATAATAACGTGAATTACTTTAGCCAGCGAATGAAAAGGACTGGGGCAATTGCTTGACATGCTTCGGGTACGGATACGGCGCAACATGGACGGAGCAGGCCGTGTAATACATATGCATGCCTGTGAAGCGTACTTGTATTTCCGGATACTGCGGAACCGCTGGGGGTTTTGGAGTGGAAAGCTGAGCTACTCGAGCTCCCCAACTTCCCTCTCTGTATTCTCAGCTACTGTTTCGTATGCCTGAAATGATCGTCGTTTCTCAGGCTCGGGAAGCTCTCAGCTGGCCGTTGAGGTAATGCAATAAGGGTGCATTGTATGAAACCATGGCACGTTTTTCCCCACCCTTGGAAAACTTTGAATCTATTTATGAATCGGCGACGACGGAGAAATACATGAGTTTGGAATGTTGTATCGTCAGAATACGACTCCATGAATCTATAGTTAAAAAGAGAGTTGTCGCAAATTGTATTGGTAGAAGAATGATGCTGTAGTCTGACTGTTTACTGTACATCATCTCTTGGCATCACAGCATACTCCGTACATGGACTATTGGATTGATGTGGTGTAGTTGTCCGGCAGTATCACCTCCCTCCGCTCCCCCAATCCGCTGTTTACCAGACAAATCCCGTGCAAAGAATTGCCCCCAGCTTTCTTGTTTTTCTTTCTACTGTTACTCCGCACTTTTGACCAGGCTCTGCTGGCAAGCACGGATACTCGCTTCGGGTCTCATGATGATCCTGGCCAGTTCCTCTCCGAATGGTAGTAACCTGCAGCTGCTGCTCCGCTTTTCCACTTAGCCGGCGACAACGAGATGGATTGCGTCCTGTCGGGAGTAATGGCTAAAAGAGAAATGGGGAAAAAGAAGAAGAAGCAAAAAAAAAAAAAAGAATACCAAAAGGTCCGGCTATTCATGGCGAGTCCGAGGTTGTTACTCAAGCTAATCGGCAACAAGCCGTGCAGCTGTCAACTGTTCATTGACTAAGGCCAAGCTAAAACCAAATAGCTTACAATAGGAGATTTCGATGGACAAAAAAGAAAAGCCCTGGCTGTCAATGACTGCCATCAACCGTCATTCGACTAGCCGCTGGCAAATGCATTTGCTGGTTATTCAGGCTAAATGTCTTGAGATGCCGGTAAATCCTGGGTGGGGATGATTGGACTTTGTGGAGAGTCTTGATGCAGGTCGAACCACACCCATGAACTGGGGTTCCGTATGGGGTATGGGGTAATAAGCTGCAAGCAGAGAGATGCATATGAGGATGTAACATCGTCATAGTCATACCGCCCAGTTTAAATATCGGCCGTTCCTGAAGCCTGAGATGGAAAAAATGAAGAAGGAAGAGTCAAGGAAGACCACGGAGCCATTGAAGGACAACAATTCCTCAGCTGGGCCACAATGGTGAACAACGCAGCCCTCGTCGCCGCTCTGTCGGCTCTGCTGTCTCCAGCTCTGGCACAGAACAATCAGACATATGCCAACTACTCTGCCCAGGGACAGCCCGACCTGTACCCTCAGACTCTTGCCACCCTCGAGCTCTCGTTCCCCGACTGCGACCACGGCCCCCTGAAGAACAACCTCGTCTGTGACTCTTCGGCCGGATATGTCGAGCGAGCCCAGGCCCTCATCTCGCTCTTCACCCTCGAGGAGCTGATTCTCAACACCCAGAACTCGGGGCCCGGCGTGCCTCGCCTGGGTCTCCCCAACTACCAAGTCTGGAACGAGGCTCTGCACGGCTTGGACCGCGCCAACTTTGCCACAAAGGGCGGCCAATACGAATGGGCAACCTCCTTCCCCATGCCCATCCTGTCAATGGCAGCCCTCAACCGCACCCTGATCCACCAGATTGCGGACATCATCTCGACCCAGGCTCGAGCGTTCAGCAACATTGGCCGCTACGGCCTCGACGTCTACGCCCCCAACATCAACGGCTTCCGCAGCCCGCTCTGGGGCCGCGGACAGGAGACTCCCGGCGAGGATGCCAACGTGCTGACCTCTGCCTACACGTACGAGTACATCACCGGTATCCAGGGCGGCGTCGACCCCGAGAACCTCAAGATTGCCGCCACGGCCAAGCACTTTGCCGGATACGACCTCGAGAACTGGAACAACCAGTCTCGCCTGGGCTTCGACGCCATCATCACCCAGCAGGACCTCGCCGAGTACTACACCCCCCAGTTCCTGGCCGCCTCGCGCTACGCAAAGTCTCACAGCTTCATGTGCGCGTACAACTCGGTCAACGGCGTACCCAGCTGCGCCAACAGCTTCTTCCTGCAGACGCTGCTGAGAGAGAGCTGGGGCTTCCCCGAATGGGGCTACGTCTCGTCCGATTGCGATGCCGTCTACAACGTCTGGAACCCTCACGACTACGCCAGCAACCAGTCCTCGGCCGCCGCCAGCTCCCTGAGGGCCGGCACCGACATTGACTGCGGCCAGACATACCCGTGGCACTTGAACGAGTCCTTTGTGGCTGGCGAGGTCTCCCGCGGCGAGATCGAGCGCTCCGTGACCCGTCTGTACGCCAACCTCGTCCAGCTCGGATACTTTGACAAGAAGAATCAGTACCGCTCGCTCGGCTGGAAGGACGTCGTCAAGACTGATGCTTGGAACATCTCGTACGAGGCTGCTGTTGAGGGCATTGTCCTGCTCAAGAACGACGGCACCCTCCCACTGTCCAACAAGGTCAAGAGCATCGCCCTGATCGGACCGTGGGCCAATGCCACCACCCAGATGCAAGGCAACTACTTTGGTCCTGCTCCGTATCTCATCAGCCCTCTGGAGGCTGCTAAGAAGGCTGGCTACAAGGTCAACTTTGCGCTCGGAACAGACACTGCCAGCACCAGCACCGCCGGCTTTGCCAAGGCTATTGCTGCCGCCGAAAAGTCCGATGCCATCATCTTCGCCGGTGGTATCGACAACACGGTTGAGCAGGAGGGCGCTGACCGTACGGACATTGCTTGGCCCGGCAACCAGCTCGACCTCATCAAGTCGCTCAGCAAGCTCGGCAAGCCCCTTGTCGTCCTGCAGATGGGCGGTGGCCAGGTTGATTCATCTTCTCTCAAGAGCAACAAGAACGTCAACTCCCTTGTCTGGGGTGGATATCCCGGCCAGTCTGGAGGTGTCGCCCTCATCGACATCTTGTCCGGCAAGCGTGCACCTGCTGGCCGACTGGTCTCGACTCAGTACCCGGCCGACTACGTTCACAAGTTCCCCCAGAACGACATGAACCTCCGCCCTGATGGAAAGAAGAACCCCGGCCAGACTTACATCTGGTACACTGGCAAGCCTGTCTACCAGTTTGGCGACGGCATCTTCTACACCACCTTCAAGGAGAGCCTGTCTGGCAAGTCCAAGAGCCTCAAGTTTGACGTTTCTGAGATCATTGCCGGCGCCCACCCTGGATACACATACAGTGAACAGGTTCCAGTCTTTACCTTTACTGCCGACATTAAGAACTCTGGCAAGACCGAGTCGCCGTACTCGGCCATGCTCTTTGTCCGCACTGCCAACGCTGGCCCTGCGCCCTATCCCAACAAGTGGCTGGTTGGATTCGACAGGCTTGCCACCATCAAGCCTGGTCACTCCTCCACGCTCAGCATCCCCATCCCCATCAGCGCGCTTGCCCGTACCGACTCTCTTGGAAACAAGATTGTCTACCCTGGCAAGTATGAGCTGGCGCTGAACACTGACGAGTCCGTCAAGCTGGAGTTTGAGCTTACGGGCGAGGAGGTGATTCTCGAGCACTGGCCGCTGGAGCAGCAGCAGATTGAGGATGCCACTCCATAGATGTATGATTTTGTCATGATGGGACGGTAGTAATAATGAATGAAAAGAGTCGTATTTTGTTTCACTTGAAATAGAATGTCCGTTGCGCCTGTGAATTCTGGCCAAGGTGCTGTATAATCTGCCAATTGAAAAATATCACGCCTCTGACTGCCGGAATTTCGGTGTCACTATCTCGGCTGTGGCTGTTCTCGATGCAGATACCCATGTAAATTGTGCCAACGGCTATTGGATACAAGCCACAAGGGTAGATGAAAAGCTTATGTGCTCGAGTTCCACTTCGCAGTCTTGTCCCGTGAGGTGAAAAAGTCCTTGTGGATTGGCAACCTTGATCATGCCATGGACTCCTTGGCAGATCGACATTGTCAAGAGGAGCTGATTCGCCGCCAGTTTATGCTGATGACGGCTCATTATGCCAACACAGAAGTTATTCATGCTAATAAGGCAATTTGCCAGCTCGTCAACTTTACCCATACTCACACAGGCGGCTATTCACGCGCTTACAACCCTAGGGCTCGCTGCAATTGGCCAATCCACGGGAAGCAAAGTTGTACCGCGACGATCATCTGCGAGTCTCGTTATTGACACTTTGGAAGAATCCAAGCCAAGGACCTCGGCTGGCTTTACCCTAACGTGCTGTGTGCCTGTTACTTGTTGTTGCGTTTTAAAGTGGCAGATCACCTTCTTGTTCGGTCATGGCGTCCATCTACTGAAGAGAACACTTGCCTTTTGCGGTTTCCCCGGAATCGCGTCATGCATTTTAATTGTCAAGTTGTCAAATTCTCAAACTGTCAGAACCATCGTTTGCCCAGAAGCTACTTCATTCACGTCGCTGATAACTCTCCGCAAGTGAGGCGCAAAGTGAATATCGACACAGAAAGCATAAAACAGTCATTGGCTTCAGTACTCCAGTACCGCGTATCCTGCATTCTAATTTGATACACGAATCGAAGTCTAGCTATACCATGGGAACGGCCAGCGAACAGTGAGAAATAGCTGGACTGGCAAAATAAATCGGACGACATATTCAAGACCCCGGAAAACTGTCGCCATCGCGGCCTTGTCCCGGCCAAGAAAACATGTAACCTTCCGTAGTAGCCCAGAGATGTAGCCTATTGTGGCATCGTGGCAGAAACAGAACCCGCACTAATGCGTGCTTGTGGAAAAAATGACTGTCGATTCCAAGGTTCCCCTGCTTGTATATCTCCGTGTGGGTGGTATTGCAACGATTGAGTTTGCCCGCAATCTTGCCGAGCCCACGGCATCTCTGTAACGTTATTCAGGCTCATTGAAACCTTGAACAAGGGCTTGGAGCTGGGTTTAAGCAGCTCAGAGAGAGTTAGCCAACGCCCCATGACTATGGAGGCACGTATAAATGGAGGGCATGCGGCTGCTCTTCTGGTCCTTGTCTCCCGGGTCCCTTGAGCTCATCTTCATTCTGTAGATTGTCACCCAAAATGCGTTACGGAACCGCAGCAGCGCTGGCCATTGCCGCCGCGCCCTTTGTGAGGGCAGACAGTTAGTATCCCAAAACTCTATATAATGATACCGCAAACTTGTCGAAAGTATCATGCTGAAAAGTGGACTATAGATAACTCAAAGGCTGGAGCCGCAGTTGTACCCCCTGCGGGTACTCCTTGGGGTGTCGCGTACGACAAGGCAAAGACGGCACTGGCAAAGCTCACCCTCCAAGACAAGGTCGGCATCGTGTCCGGCGTCGGCTGGAACGGCGGGCCTTGCGTTGGAAATACATCTCCCGTCTCAAAGATTGGCTATCCCTCGCTATGTCTTCAAGATGGACCTCTCGGTGTTCGGTTTTCGTCCGGCAGCACGGCTTTCACACCAGGCGTCCAAGCCGCCTCAACGTGGGATCTGAACCTCATCCGCGAGCGTGGACAGTTCATCGGACAAGAGGTTAGAGATGCGGGAATTCACGTCACTCTCGGTCCCGTGGCTGGACCTCTAGGAAAGACGCCTCAAGGAGGTCGCAACTGGGAAGGCTTCAGCGTTGATCCATATCTCACGGGATTGGCCATGGCTCAGACGATCAGCGGCATCCAGTCGGTGGGAGTGCAGGCCACAGCCAAGCATTACATCCTGAATGAACAAGAACGCAACCGAGAGTCCATGTCGAGCAATGCCGACGACCGCACCCTTCACGAGCTTTATGCTTGGCCCTTTGCCGACGCTGTGCAGGCAAACGTCGCCTCTGTCATGTGCTCTTACAACAAGATCAACACGACCTGGGCGTGCGAGGATCAGTACACGCTGCAAACTCTGCTGAAAGATCAGTTGGGATTCCCGGGATATGTCATGACCGACTGGAACGCCCAACACTCGACGGTGCAGAGCGCTGCTGCTGGGCTCGACATGTCAATGCCCGGCACCGATTTCAACGGTAACAACAGGTTCTGGGGTCCAGCCCTCACCAATGCCGTCAACAGCAACCAGGTGCCCTCCACCAGAGTTGATGATATGGTGACGCGAATCCTCGCTGCGTGGTATCTAACAGGCCAAGATGCGTCGGGCTATCCGTCGTTGAGCCTCAGCAGGAATGTTCAAGGAAGCCACAAGACCAATGTGAGGTCAATTGCGAGAGACGGCATTGTTCTCCTCAAGAACGACGGCAACATCTTGCCGTTGAAGAAGCCCTCGACCATTGCCGTCATCGGATCTGCCGCCATCATTGGTGCCCACGCCAGCAATTCAGGTTCATGCGGCGACAAGGGATGCGATAACGGCGCCTTGGGCATGGGTTGGGGCTCTGGTGCCGTCAACTACCCATATTTTGTAGCGCCCTACGATGCCATCAATACCAGAGCCGCTTCGCAAGGCGCCAGAGTTACCTTGAGCAACACGGACAACACGTCCTCGGGAGCATCCGCAGCAAGCGGCAAGGACGTCGCCATTGTCTTCATCACTGCCGACTCGGGCGAGGGCTACATCACCGTGGAGGGCAACGCTGGTGACCGCAACGACTTGAATGCCTGGCACAACGGGAACGCCCTGGTTCAGGCAGTGGCAGGTTCCAACAGCAATGTCATTGTTGTCGTTCACTCTGTGGGGGCCATCAATCTGGAGACGATCATTGCTTTGCCCCAGGTCAAGGCTATTGTATGGGCAGGTCTCCCGTCTCAGGAGAGCGGCAATGCTCTTGTCGACATTCTGTGGGGAGATGTCAACCCCTCTGGTAAGCTGGTGTACACCATTGCAAAGAGTCCAAACGACTACAACACGCGTGTTGTGTCCGGCGACGACAACTTCAGCGAAGGGCTGTTTATCGACTACAAGCACTTTGACGATGCGGGCATCACGCCTCGGTATGAGTTTGGCTTTGGACTGTGTAAGTTACCATTGTTCCCAATGCGCTGCCCCATGAAGTATTGGACGCGATGAACTAATCAGATGGACCCCATCACAGCTTACACAAAGTTCAACTACTCCCGTCTCTCCGTCTTGTCCACTGCAAAGTCTGGCCCCGCGACTGGTGCGGTCGTACCTGGAGGCCCAAGTGATTTGTTCCAGAACGTCGCAACCGTGACCGTGGACATAACAAATTCCGGCCAAGTCACTGGAGCTGAAGTTCCTCAGTTGTATCTGACTTATCCGTCTTCAGCGCCCAGAACACCGCCTAAGCAGCTGCGTGGCTTCGCAAAGCTGAGCCTCACGGCAGGCCAGACTGGAACAGCGACATTTAACATTCGAAGACGGGATCTGAGCTACTGGGATACCAGCTCGCAGAAGTGGGTAGTTCCATCGGGATCGTTTGGTATCAGCGTGGGAGCGAGCAGCAGGGATATCCGGCTGACAGGCAGTCTGTCGGTATCATAAGAGTCAGACATTTCTATTGTAGTAGCAGATGGTGTATATATATAGTGAGAAGAGAGTTTCTACATGTGCTCAACGTAATTGGGAGATGAGTGCCACAATGTCACATTGACAATACTCGTGAGAGCTGAGAAGCACTTCATTTATTTGACTCAGAAGCAAGTTTGTACATCTCACCTACACAGTAACAATAGCCCGGGATATCATTTCTACCTTAACACAACTACAATCAATCAAAAAAGCAAAACCAAAACGTCCATCAACTAAACTACCTTTTGCACCGAGTACGCCGGCGGCAACTCTCCTCCCCCACCGTTGAGCGTCCTCTCAAACGCCATCTCCCTCGCCGTCTGCAGCGCCGCCCGCGCATCTTTCAGGTGTCTCTCCCACTCCTTGACCTCGGCCTCGGTGCCCTGATGCCGCTGTTGTGCTCCTTGAATCTCCTGCTTGAGCACCTTGGCGCAGTGCTCCACCTCGGCGTTTGACCGCTTGATCTTGTCGTGAAAGTCCATGTCCGAGAAGATGTTGTCAAACAGCACATCGCCCATCAAGCTGCCGTGGGAGATTTTCACGCCGGGCAAGTCTTTGATTGCGGCGTCCATCCGCTGGGCGTTCATCATGTCCATGCGGGCTTGGGAGAGTTGCACTTCGGCCCGGGAGAGGGCATTTCGCTCCATCACATCCGCCATGGTGCCGCCGCCAAACATGTCGAGGCGAGACGCCGATAGCGCATCCTGCATGGCCTTGAGCGCGTTGCCCATGCGCTGCTTTGCCTGCTCCAGCATCTTGATGGCCTGGAACTGGCTCTCCGCTCGCATACGGGCTTCTTGGTAGTTTGTCTGCGCTGACGTACAGGCCTGCTCCCGCTCGTCCTCCTCGGGGAACTGAGGCGTGGGCCCCGAGAAGATGTCGTTGTAGAGACTGTCGAGCTCTTGCTGTGCAGTATTGTGTCGCTCGACGACGGCTTCGAGCTCTGCTGACGCTTTACGCGCCTGGGCAAGCGCAGACTCGAGGTTCTTCTTCGCCTCCGTCTCGCGATGCTCTTCTTGCAACACGTCAAAATATTCGCGCTCTTCTTTGGCGGCGCGAGCCTCAAACTTGTCCTTTTGGCCACCAATCTTGTACACGAAGCGCCGGACGACGCTGTCGCGGTAGTTCTCGTGGTCCCTCAGCTCGACTGCGTGTTTGCTTTTGAGAATCGTGAGTTTGTTTGCGTTCTTTTTGACCTGGCTTTCCAAGTCGGCAATGTAGCTTTTCTGGTTCTTGAGGTCGGGTACGGCATGGTCTGTGACAGAGAGGACGCCGAGCAGCTCGTGGTTGCGAGTTGCGGCAGAGCGAATCTTGTCTTCGACTGAGGCCATGGTGGTGAGACTGTTGTTAATGTTGATGGTGCTTGAACACTTTCGCCGTCTTGCGGGTGTTTCAAGGTGTAACCTCGCGCTGCCTCTTATACTCTTCTCGAATCTGCCTTATACGGCTAATCAAGTCGATTGCTGGGTTGCCTCCTTGCGCCTCAACTATGACATGCAGCGCCACGCTCTAAAGGGGATCGACCGTTGATGGTGTTGGGTCCGTTTGTTTCTTGGCGCTGCGCCTCACACCCATGTTCCATTCGCTTAGAACAAGCTTCCGCTGGAACGAGCATCCGGGCTGGCGATCGGATCTCAGTCTGGTCTGAAAATAAGCTTAACATGAGACACTAACGCCGGTATTTGGAAATGACTGTGTGAAACAAAGGTTGATACATGTAATTCTCTCACCAGAGCTGTAAATACATTACAAGTTATATGAGAAAGTGAAGCTCATTCGAAGAGAGCGCCTATTGTTCAGCCTTTGCTCCGTTGAGTCGAGACTGACATTGCCCAAAGAGGCAATTTCCGAGAAGGGTTGCATGCGGCTGAGGGAACTAACAAGAGTGCCTAGAGGTGAGGTCATTCGCAACTTCCCTTTGTAGGCGATGCGTATTCTGAATGTGTAAATTGAGCGTATTATTGGTATTCATACAAGGTCTGGGTTGTCTACTGTGAAATTGAGGGCAGGGCTTTGGGATCCGCAGATGGATGATGGGTTGTCAGGGATTACCCTGCAGCCAACAAAATAACGAGGCAGAATGCAAAATTGAAAGACAAATTAAAGGCCTTGTGAAACTTCAAAGGAGTTGAGAAAAGAAAAGATAAATAGTTGATATTTCCACCAAATTGATAAGTCTCGCTTTGCTAATTCTATGGGTAGCATTGCTAGGTTGTTTTACACCAAAGTCAAATTTCCTTGATTGATACTTGAAATGATGACGTCATCTAGGTTAAAATCCAAAAACAAAAATCTTCCCAAAAGCTATCAAGGTTCATATTTCAATATTGGATGATGTTACAAGGGCCATCGAAATTAGTCTCAAGTTTTCTCAGCGTCGTCGAGGTCGCGTCCTAACCAATATAGACAAGATAGTATCAATATCACAGCATTTCATAACCTAGATAACGGTACAAATCTTGGATGAAGAAGCAATAAGTTGTCTGGATTGTTGCCGCTATTTGCTCCAACGTCTATAAACGACCTCTGCAGGTGAAGCCTCGCCGTCTAACATACAGCGAGATGATATCTAAACGACGCTAGTTAATTCCTTTGCCTTTTGTAAATCCGCTGCGAGCGCTGCCAAATGCAGCACGTCGGCCGACATTGTGATGAATGACATTCGCTTTGCTGCCTCTTTAATAGCCTCGGAGCTTCCGAATGGGGGTTCGGCGAAAGCAAAGCCTCCGTATGGCTTGTCGTGCTTATCCATGATGGAAAAGAACTTTTCCTTCGCGTCGAGCCACTCCTTCTCCTGGCCGGCCATGTCGCCAGAGAGGTTCATGCTGATACGAGCATCCAGAGAACCGAGCCAGACTATATCGATATCGGGGACTTCGGTGAGGATTGCGTCGAGGTTGTTGATGCCTAAGACAGTCGTTAGCATTCCAATAAAGACAAAGACAAAGACAACGTGGTATTCGAGCACATACCTTCTAGACTCTCGATTTGAATCATAATGGCAGCCTGGTCATTGAGGTTCTTGTGGAGATCGCGAGTGCCGTCAAATGCTTGATCCGTGATTCCAGGGACCAGACGAAACGGAGGAGCCGATCGAGTGCCTCTCTGCTTGGAACCGAACTTGGCTGCCGACACAACGTGTTGGGCTTGTTCTACAGTATCCACCTTGATTGGTGATATCATTTAGTTTCTGGAATAGCTCTGTGGATGGCTGCACATACCTGGGGCACAACAATGCTGGCACCAGCATCCAGAGCATATCCAATGGCAGCGTGATCGTGGCCCGGCACTCGGACAAATGGAATCGTGGCGCCCTGGCTCATAAAGATTGCCTCGTGCACCATGCTTGTCATTGTCTCGACATTGCAAGAGCTGTGTTCCCAATCAATCCAGACGGCGTCATAGTTCATTGGTGCTAGGAATCGAGTAATGGGCAGGGAGCTGAGTCCCGCATAGTAGCAGAGGAGGGGGCGAATCTTCTTCTGGTGGGCATCTCGAATGGCATCACGAGCCCGATGAGGTTGGAAGAGAGAGAGGGCAGCATATGCTTGCATACCTTGGGAGGAGGTGGTGGAAGTAGCCGCGGGAGCCATTGGGGAATTTTCAGATGGTAACTGAGTCTATGATGGGCTGAGGAGTAGCGATGAGTTGAAGACAAGTAGTCTTAAGGATTTGGGAGTTGAGAGCTCTTAAATCCAAAACAACCGGCTCCATAATATCATGTTGTGAATACGCAACACCTCCTGAGCGAGCTTTGAAAAAGTGGGAATAATCCTACGTTACTGTAATAGCAACATGTTGACGTTGACACGAGTTGGACCCTTTGGTACTAGGTAGCCAACTGTTGACTCATGTCGTCCCGTTATCGCATTTCTTATTCAAAAGGGGAAACGAGGCTCGTCACGTACGCATCTGTACCCTTGACTGGTGAGGTGAGCGACTGCATATTCTCTCAACATGTAAGCCAATCAGCGCCGGCCTTTGATGCCAATGGAACACTGCGAGAGACGCACGTCGATCGGACATAGGAGAGATGCTGACGTATCCCCGCGCTGAGCGTGAATGATTATTGCCTCGTAGGATTCGCCCTATTTGATCCTAAGCTTTCAATTTCTTGTTCTTGTTCTTTCTAGTCCATCTGACGTCAGATTTTGATTCAACTGTATTTATGCTATTGTATGGCTTTCAACTCTTGTTTGAATCGAGAGCTGTTTCGAAGCACAACGCGTTTGATGCGTCAACAGATGTAGCAAATTCTTTTCGCAATGCGCTCAATCTTGTTATTCACTCTGTCCATTGTTATCCCGCTTTCACCACTCTGTCCGGCTCATGTGGCACTGGATGGTACCGTATTTGCATAAAGTTGTTGCATCCGATATCAACGCCGTCACTTACCGCATCCAGAGTGATTGGTCATCTCTTTCAGACCTGAGCGGTGAATTACCAGGTTGCATTTTGAGTGTTGCCTGCTGCGGAACGCTTTCCAGAAACACTATCCCAACCGGTGTGGAGTTAAGATTCCTTGCGGTTTTAGCAGCCCTATGAAGTTGTCATCATCCCTGTCGAGACTCGCAACCGAGCTCCCGATGCGGTCTGTGGATGAGGCTATTCGCTGGCGCCGCATTATGGTCTGAATGTAGCCTTATGCGCCGCTAGCTAGGCCATCAGTTAGCCAGATGAGTTCTAGATTATCAGTTAGCTAGGTGAGCTAGACACTGCCTCATCCTTCACACGCTTCATGACACAGTTGTCTGGATATTGTACCAATAATGATGTAGCATGTGATTTTACCGCTCCTTCAATGTGGATAAAAGGGCCAGTTCCCCTCATCTCCGATGATGATGAAGGATTGCGGAGATTGTAGAGTTTCTTTAATCCATTTCACATTATACTACCCAAATCTAGAATCCAGATTACTGATACAAAAATTCCAACGATTCCCCATCACGGACTGTAAAGCAACAACTCGAGTATGCAATGAATTCCAAGTTCCAGGTCCAACTAAATTCCAAGACGTGCGAATCCCTCTCGACATCACCCACATTTCTAAGATTGGTATACCGTTCCATCATCGGGCATCTCTCCAGTCAGCAGATAGTTGTTCACCATCTTGGCCAACTCTCCCGGCGCATCATAGGTTATATGACCAGTCCAATTCTTGAATACGAGCACCGCCTCTGGCATAATTGAACGCAGGTTTATTGCGTTCTGAGCGCTGGTTATAGGATCCAAAAACGAGCTAATCATCAGTACCGGATGTAGTTTGTGAACTAACTCGGGAGTTATTGGCTGATTGCCAAAAAGCACTCCCTCTTTCGGCAGTGGCCATGAAATGCATCTGGAAAAGAAGCTGTAGCTCTGAGAGAATCCGCGCGTGAGTGGCGAGAGCAGCCTCAACGTACGCTGGGCGGCTTGAAGCTCGAGATAGTCGCGGGCGTGTTGCCAATCCAGACAGCCAGTAGCAAGCGTAGCCCATGTTCCCGAAGGATCGGTATTGTTGATGAACCAGGGCATCGAAAACGCAGATGCATCGCCTTGAGATGCTGCCAACAGGTGAGTAGCCAAGGAACCCCATCCGGCCTGCCCTGGAGCCAAATCTTGCTGTAAAGCCGTCATCATCTCTTCCAAGCTGACGTCGGATCGACATGCTTCTTTGCCAGTTTGTTTGCACTTTGGTGCTGGGATTGGTGCAGCTTCAAACTTGGCAACCAACTGCTTGAAGAAACCCTCAACATCGTTCTGGTCATGCAGTGCACAAGACGCATCTTCTTGACACCACTTGAAGAAATGCCTGAGCGTCATTTCGAAAGAAGCAGATTCTGCTTGCATGATTGCCATTGGATCATGTGTATGATCTACAACGCCGTCTAGTACAATATGGCCGGCAAAGGGCAGAGCCTTTTCCAGGTTGGTGATGCCAATATGCGACCCGTAGGAATGCCCAATCAAGTGCATGGGCGTATCGTCAAACCGCATGTTGTATCGTATGCTGTCCATGTCCAGAGAAATCGACTTGGTGTCCATATTGTCGAACATCCGTCCCGTCATCTTTTTGCAGGCTTCTCCAACCTCCATCCAGTGGTAGTACATTTCAACATATTCCACCTCGTTCTTGACCATGGAGGGCGCTCGGCGATTCCATAGAGTTGCGTTGCATTTGATGGGAGGGCTCAGTCCTGAACCTCGAGGATCCATGCCCATTATATCGTACTGGCTGAGGAGCTCGTGCACATGATGCGATGGGTCGTCGAGGTATTGCTTTAGAAGGTTGATTCCGGACCGTTTAGGCCCGCTGGGGAGGAATAAAACAGCCTTGGGCTTCTTCAGCTTTGAGCGGATGCGCATGACGGCGACTTTGGTGAACATTCCCCATGGCCTGGCATAGTCGAGGATGTCACTGTGCATGGCGCATTGTGTGTTCTCTCGAGGAGGATCACATTCTTCCCACCAGAGTGGTCGATTCTGGGCCAAGACTGGAAGTACCGCGCCCAGCAGAAGCAATACGGATTGAAGTGTTGATGGTAGCATGGTGGAAGTTGTAGCCAAAAGGGCGTGAATTGACGATTGTTTGAGCGATCGCTCGAATTCGAAAATATCGTACGAGAATATGGCAGTATTTGTTATAAAGGGGTTTGGTATGGTGAAAAGAGTATCTGGAAGAAGGGAAACATCGAACGGAGTAAGTGGATGCAGAGGAAGATCGAAAATTTGTCAGATCTCATCCACAAATCTAGGTTCTGATAAGTTAAATCATAGTCAACTAGGTTTCGCTATAGCCATCATTCATAAAGTGTAGGGGAAACGTAGATAACGATATATAGTTTGGGCGGCGCACTTACACGCCAAAGTACCTATACCTAGGTACTCAGTGATGTTGGACTTGAGCTATTTTGCGCCCGTGTATTCCGAAAGTCTCTTTGTTTGAACTTTTACGATGGCTTGAATATCGTTTCTAGGATATGGATATTCTCCTCATATACCCCCATTACCACAAAATCAAGTAGCCGTTCCGCAGCCTTTCAAACCTATCCCACACTATATCAATACCCAGGCATTATTATTCTCCCACGGGATAAGGCATGGATCCTCTACATTGTTAGCGCATCATATGATAGATGGCTCTTAGTTTCGAGCTTCTAAAGTATAATGATATGACACATGGTACGTCATTCATTGTATTACACCTTTTTACAAGTTGAAAGATGGCCTCGTTCGCATACATTTTGGCTCTAGCACTACCAACATGGGCCACCACTCCCTGGCAAAAAGCACCACCTGACCTAAATCGGTCTTCTTGCAATTTGGATAGCTGTAACCGATATGTGTGCATGATCCGGAACTATTATGAGGAGTTGCGTGGATAGGCACGACTCTGTACAAAATTGGTGAGCTATGAAGAATCGAGGTTCAAAACATACAATCAGTCGTGAGGCATACATGATGCGATCAGCTGCCCTAAAATCGAGATACGACAAGTCCAGCTTGTTGCCAAACCCGTAGCCAATGAATCTGGGAGATGACGCATCTGCCAAAGTAGCAATAATGGGAAAATTGGCTGTGGGACAAGCAGTTGTCCACTTAAAGTACATCCAGTCACTGGCGTGGATGAATCCGAGATGCTAATATCCCGTACCTGCATACTGTATGCGCGTCTCCCTCGATCTCTAATAATCTTAGTTCAACCAAGACCCAACGCCTCCATTTTCCTACAATTGATAACAAATATATAAAAAAAACAGCCAAAGATTTACTAGCAAAGCGCGTGAACAAACCGACTTGTCATACTCAGAAACCTTGCCAACCGTGCGTATCACGCCAAAGGTCATCAACGGCCGTCCGCGGCCGCCAGATCATTTACCGCTATATACCTTGCTACATCATCGCCACAAAACGGGTATTCTCCGTCTGACTCAAGGCTCCCTCAACATTAGCAATGCTTAATAAATTCAGGTTTTATCAAGTTAACTCCCGGAGTTAACAAGTAACTCCAGGTCTGCCAATGTCCACCCTTGCTTGTTCACAACTTAAAGTGCCATTCGTGCAAATGTCTCCGCCCGCATTGATCAGGCCTGTTGAAATCTTGGCCACCAGTGTCACTATCATCTACTATAATGGTTTTGACTTTATTTCCATTGCAGATACCCTTATTTACAGGAGCTATTTGTTTAATAGATCCATTCTTGGGAGCCAGAATCACAATTCACCGAAAATTTTTTGACAGCATATCATTTCGTGTCTCTATTTCACTGACATAATGAAGGATGCCACGGGGCAATACAGACTTGTCAGTCACCATTCATGACAACGTGCCTTTACCTTGTCCATCACCAACTCAAGTATTAATCAGAATTGTATGCTCTGGCTTTAACCCCAAGGATTGGAAAGAGCCCTGCTTTAATAAAAGCGCGAACAACTCTGGAGACGATATGGCGGGCCACGTGGAAAGTGTTGGTAAAGACGTGGTTGGCTTTCAAATTGGTGACAGGGTATCTGCTTTCCACACCGTACGGACTTTGGGTGGCCCTTTTGCGGAATTCCGACTTGCGGAGAGCAGCACTACTTGATAAATCGCAAGGTGATTCTATTGTGGATTATCGCAACGGCAACATCCTTCAAGACGTTCAGCATGCCTTGGATGCTGCGGGTACGCCGGACGTTTACCACGCCTTAGACGCGATATGCGAGAATGATAGTTGCCTCATTGTTTCCCGTGCCTTATCGACTGGAGGAAGCATTGCACTCGTACACCCGGGGCTGGATTACTCCGACATACGAAACGACATTAGTACAGGCATTGTTTATGCGGCAGTTGTCAACGAAAATGTTGAGAATAATGAGTGGCTTGCAGGGATGGGGAAAAGAGACCCGATCCCGCACCGTCGCGATTTCGGCTTGGTCTGGTCGACTCTCTTCAGCCGTGGGCTTTTTGATGGTTGGCTTACTGCCCATCCTTGTGAGTTGGTGCCAGGTGGCTTGGAGGGAGTTTCAACAGCGTTAAACAATCTCAAGCCTGGAAAGGCGAGTGCGAAGAAATATGCTGTGAGGGTTGCCGACAATTGAATGGTACATATGCAAAACGGCTACTTGCAATGGGGATCTATTGACATCTTCTTGTCTGTTGTGCATTTTGTTGACTACTGATACGTAGTCGGCCGGGCTGAGGGGAATGCACCGACACAACAAACGCGCTGTTGTAGCCACCTGTAGTCATGATCCAGTTAGTTTTACCGGGATCGAACCTACAGCACAAGGCAAAGCTACCAGTAAGATGACAATTCTTGTCAGCCATCTATGAGCTGGATGAGAATTATGCCTCTACCGTCATGATACGTACACCCAGGTCTACGGCGGTGGCAGTGATCTCCGACTGAATGTGGGCGCTGGTGATTTGATGGACGACACTTGGCGAGACTGAGAAGTGCGAGTTCAACTCGTGGGGCGTTGTTGGATCATGTATCTAACGAAACGGAAAGTGGGTTACAATAATAGAACTATTTCGATATCAATATAGTTGAATGGGAATTTATATTTCCATCATTTACCATTATTCATCAAGGAACTCATAGTGAGATGTCAGTATACAACAAGACTATAGAAGTGTTTACGTATAATAATTAGATACTAGTATTATAAGATTAGGCCTCTCAACTGCGTAATACATGTATTGCCATCATTTTCTCTTTTCCCTAGTCCGTATCAGCAAATACTTTATCCAACTTCAGCCATTCCCCATAGCTTAGATATATTTCCATTACAACTATTCTGCATATTCTTAATCTAAATCTAAGCTCTGCGCATCTTATTCGATCAACTACAAAGTCTGGCCGCTCTTGCTCGCCGTATATAGTCCGTAATAACTGCCCTTCAATGCCATCAACTGCGGGTGTGTGCCTGACTCGACAATATTACCCTCGCTTAGGACATAAATCTTGTCTGCCTTGACAATGGTACTAAGTCTGTGAGCAATGGTGATTGTTGTGCGGTTCTTCTTCACCTTCTCGAGGGTCTGCTGAATGAGAGACTCTGACTGTGAATCGAGAGCTGATGTGGCCTCGTCGAGAAGAAGAATCTTGGGCTGGCGGAGGAGTGCGCGGGCAAGGACAATACGTTGCTTTTGGCCAACGCTCAATTGGTTGCCTCCACTTCCGACTTCCGTGTTCAAACCATCACTGTATTGTATTAGTGAATCTGACAAGAATGATTCTCGTAGCAACGAAAGAAGCATTGTACTTACGGTAAACTGGAAATGAACTCGTAGATATTTGCCTCCTTGCAAGCTGCCTCAATCGCTGCGTCCGAAGGCTTCACATCCTCGTCGTCCAATCCGACGGTCAAGTTCATTTTGATAGTGCCACTGTACAGATTTGGCTCCTGACTTACAAGACCAATGCTCTTTCTATACTCTGACATTTTGTAAGAATGAATCGGCTTCGAATCCACAAGCACTGATCCACTAGTCGGGTCATAGAACCGCTCAATCAGAGAGACAATAGTACTCTTTCCAGAGCCAGTAGTACCGACGAAGGCGACATTTGCTCCAGAGGGGATTTTAAAGCTGAGATTCTTCAAGGCAGGATGGTCAGGGCGCGAGGGATAAGCAAAGCTCACTGAGTTGAACTCGATCTGGCCTTGTATCGCGTCTGCCTTGGCTCCATTGGGGGATGATGGATCGATGGCAGACTTTTGAGCGAGGAGACGTTGAAGAGAGGCCGCGGCTTGTTTTGCGCTGCCGATATTCGGGGTCCAGGAGAATATCATTCCCGCAGAGTAGCCACTCAGAAGCATAGCAGACTGAACAGCAATGACCTGGAAAAGAGAATATTCACCTCTCAAGATGAGCCGACCGCCATACCAGAAGCTCAGAGCCATACAAGCATAATACGCAGTTTGCGTCAAAGCGTACATCAACGATGCCTGAAGATTTGCTGCCAAGGCTTTCGTCTTACTCGCCTGAAGAGTTTCGTGGAACTCATCCAAGGCTGTCTGTTCCCTCGTCAAGGCAGCAATCGTCTGGATACCGTGCAGCGTTTCGCCTGCAAACTCAGCTGTTCTGTTTGCAAACAGCTCATTCTTCTTTTCAAAATCTCCCACTAGCCAAACGCCGAAGTATCCGCCACCCATCATGAGGGGGATTACAGACAGACATACAAGCGCCAGTTTCCACCCCAGCGCAAGTGAAACAACAATACCGGAGATGAGCGTCGAGATACAGATGAGAATTATGCCGAGTGCGCTACCGCTGAGCCCAGTAAGATCTCTAGTCGCGCCTGATAAGAAACCGGATAATGCGGCTGCAGAGTTTTCCTTTTTATCAAAATAGGCTACATCCATCCGGAGATACTGTTGTAAAGCCAAGCTGCGAACTCGGGTGGTGAGATGCTCAGAGCTGAAGGCGAAGGCGATGCCTTGAGCGGCGCATGCAATGAGCATCACGAATGCGAGAAGGAAGAACATCCATGAGTAAAAGCCTGCTTGGGAGCGGATGGTGTCCGCCGAATTGCCCGAAGACTGAGAGATGGCAGAAATGGCCTTACCAAACAGGACAGCCGAGGCAGGTTCTTCGCCTCCGGCGATGACGCAGAATATCAGGCCAAGGATCAACCAGTGCCATTCGCCTTTGTTGAGTTTGAAGATGAACACCATCATGGAGAAGACTGATGATGAAACTGCATCGTCCTTGGTCTCAGCATCTGAAGAAGCACCTGTCTGTCCTTCGTCGTCGTTCTGATCCTTCTCGACATCGACCTTGGCAACTGAGGAGGATAATGAATCTCGCTTTTCATCAAGAATCTCATCGTCAGTCGGCTGCTCATCATGATCCAAATCCTGAGCCTTGACCAGCTCGTAATAGAATGATTGTGCTGCCATCAAATCGTCATGTTTACCACTCTCCACCACGCGTCCAGCGTTCAAGACAACAATATTGTCAGCCTCTCGGATAGTAGAAAGACGATGAGCAATAACAATCGTGGTGCGTTGGCGGTTTTCCCCTGTCATCGCGGATAACAACTTGGCTTCTGTTTTACCATCTAATGCTGATGTCGCCTCGTCTAAAATGAGAATATTAGGGTCGTTGACAAGAGCTCTCGCAATAGCGATTCGTTGCAATTGGCCGCCGGAAAGTCTAGAGCCCCTTGTGCCCACGATAGTTTCATATCCCTGGGGAAGTTTTCTAACGAAATCGTCGGCTTGTGCTATTTCCGCGGCCTTGTAGATTGCCTTGTCTTTGTCGTCGTCGGAGACGGTAGCCCACCGGGGACCTGTAAGCCCGATCTTGATGTTGTCATAAACAGACTTGTTAAACATGAACGACTCTTGTTTCACAACCGCGATTTGCTGTCGCAGCCAGCGAGTCTGATATGTAGACAGATCTTTACCGTCCAGAAGGATGCGACCAGCTAGAGGATCATAGAATCGCAAAAGCATATTCGAGATGGAGCTCTTGCCAGAGCCTGAATGTCCAACAATGGCTGTAGTTCTTCCTGACGGGAAGACAACGCTAACGTCGTCCAAAACGACAGTATTTGGGCGACAAGGGTAGACGTGTTTGACGTTTCGCAGCTCCATGGTGCTGTTGAACTGGTCGGGTGATAGCCCTTTCTCATCAGATGAGTCGATTGGGGACACGCGATGGGTCATCCGTGCCAAACGGCGGGTTCCTGCAACGGCCATGGCGAAGATTTCCATGTTTGAACCGACACTCAGGACGCAGAATGCCGCTGCCTTGGTGACCATGGCGATGGTCACCACCGCGGTAAAGCTGGTCTTTGCATCCGTGAGACGCCTGGAGCCTTGCCAGAAAGCCAAGGCAACGTTGAAGTAGCCGCTGGCAACGCATACGGCAAGCATGCCAGCATTCATTGATCCGAGAATGAAGCCATTCTTGGATGCCTTGCCCAGAAAAGCCATGTAAGTGCTGTGTATGTGGTTCTGCATCCCCAGCGCTGTGGTGGTCTTGATGGAGCTGAGTGCTTCCTCAACAACGGCTGAGCCGGCACTGGACGCCTCCATACTGCGGCTACTATAACGGACGGTAACTTTCCCGCCAAGGTAAAGAACCGCATAACCCAGTATGAGGGACCAAATCAATTCAAAGGTCAAGAGCCAGTCGAGGGAGAAGCAGACGGCGACGGTTCCCACAAGAGTGCCGCCGGCGCTGATGGTTTGCGATAGCTTGGATGAAATGGCGTTCTGGATGGCCATTGTATCATCTGTGAGATGAGACAGAATCTCCCCTGCGCCCTTGTCGTCAAAGACGGCCATGTTCTGGCGCAGAACAGCGGCGAAGTAGGTCTTCTTAATCGTCCGCGTGATTCTTGCTCCGGTGAAATTGAAGCCGGCCGTCGAGACAAACCATGTCACCAGCGCAGCGATCATGATGTAGACATAGTAGAGCGTATATTGGTCGACGAGGGGCCTCAAATCGGAACCTTGTGCTTCAGCTTTGGAAAAGGCGAGAATGATTCGGGAGCTAATAATCTATATGGTGTGAGAATGAAATCCGTTCATCGAGGCTCGGCAATCGGAACCTACAGGAGTCACGGGGATAATTGCACCCGCAATAACAGCGCAAATCGAGCAGATAATCACAATGATTATATCTATCCATGAGGCATAGCTGTAAATACCGAAAAAGGACAATTTGACATCGTCGAAACGCAGCTGCTCGCTCAGAAAAGTTTGCTCGGCCGTCGTAATGGTGTTGGAAGAGTCGTCTCCATCACTTCTCTTTTCCGTCTCTGTACTGCCATCTTGAGGGACGGTCGCATCAGCCACGGTATGGTCCGTCTTCTCGCCGTTGCGAGCCTCAGGTGGCGAACCAGCCATTGCGACGATGGCTGGAGTCACCAGACGAACCCTTTGAGTTCAAAGGCGTCTCGTTGCACCTCGAGCCGTGAATTAGGAGGCAGCCTGGAAATGGAATTGGTGAAGATGGGAAAGGTAGGGAGGCAGTCAATCTAACCACAGTCCCATTGCTGCTCAGGCCAACAAACGCTCCGTAGACCACAGCACAAGAGAGAGCAGAAGGCAAAGGGTGCGTGAGTCGTACAAATAAGACAGGTCTCAGGGGAAAACGCCTTGTGTAATAAACAAGCAGGCAGGTCGTGTAACCCTACTGATCAAGAGCCTAACTTGAACAGGAGAACAGCAAAGGGGTTTGATGCCGTACTAGTTGATATTCGCTCACAGCCCCGGTCCGGATTTTGGGGAGAAATCCGCTAAGCTCTATGAAATCATATGTAAAAGCAGAGTCCTCCTTCGCCACCGGCAACTTGAACACGTAGGGCGCCAAAGAGGCCTTGGTGTTGGACGCAGCAAGCCAGTGAGCCGCCATGTGTCTCACACTACAGCAGATGAATCGCCTTGGGATACAATGCAACTACACCCCTCGGGCACCAAAGTTGTTAATCCGGTACTCATCATCATCAGATGGCCATACGCATCCCGGAAAGTACCAAGCTTAACAACTGAGAAGCCTGAGGGGTGTACTCGTATACAGCTATTCATGTCTGGGTTACATTTCGGCGAGCCAGTTTTGGCAAAGCGTCGTTGAGCGTGCCGTTGAGCTACCATGTGTCTCACACCATGGGTTGCAATATACAACTACAACGTATAAACCATTTGTCCAATAAGACATGTCTGGGTTACATTCGGCGAGCCAGTTATGGCAAAGCGCCCGCGGTCCCACCACAGTGGCGGTCATGCTGAGTGTGCATTGCATGATGGCAAATTGGCCCATCGTGGGGAGTCGGAGGTGGGTTTACGTTGTTGCATGTCATTCATACGCTGACTGTGCTCCTTCATAGCAGGTGTATGAATAGGCCGTACACGATGCTATTCATTGATAATGGGAGTATGCGCTTGGCCAGCATCATTGGCCGCTGCTGTTGTCAAGTAAGCTGGAGATCAAGCACAGAGAGCTACAATGGTATCCCCGGCTGAAACCACCCCCACTTGCCAGGGCTGGAATAGCAGCTTTATTTTTACCAACGAAGAACGCATGGTGGTGGAAAGAGGACCATTCAGTGTAAAGTCGGTTGTACTCGATGGTGCTTTTGATTATGCGGCCATTACAGTGTTCTGTGACTTGAATAGTATTCCACCGGATTTGCTTTTCAAGGTTGTATGGAGCATCATCGTTGGGTTTTATGCAGGCACCAACGATGTGTGCTTCCAGGTAGAGCTTTTAACGGCGAGAACTGCATTACGGTGCCGGTTAGATGCAGCCAAGTCGATCAAGAGCCTTGCAGAGTCTTTAGAGGAAGTGGTACATGATGAAGCTTCTGCAGCACCGTCAGACAAGACTTTATCAAACGGCATCTTTGACACAAGTCTGCGAATATCAAGACAAGATGGACCCTCTCAGACAAGCAGTATCAAACCAGAGGCAGCAACCTCAAATGTGAATGAGTGACTGCCCTTCTTGGAGTGTGGCAATAGCTAATCTTGTATAGAGTACTCAAGGCATTCTACTTTCCGCACACGTAGACGTCAATAAAGCGACCTTTGCTGTCGACTACCCAGAAACGATCTGGACAGAGCAGCAGGCAACAAGAACAATCAAATTATTTTCACACATACTTGCAGAGATTCTGGCGAATTCAACATTGCCGCTCAAAGACCTCGGCTTGCTGCCCCCCGACGACTTGGTCGAAATCAACTGTTGGAACGCCAATCAACTGGAGCACTCCCAGGTTTCCATTCATCAAGCGGTGGCGGACCAGACTGCCATATCACCAGACAGTCAGGCAATATACGGCTGGGACGGAAGCCTTACATACCGCGAACTCGACACACTATCTTCGCGGCTGGCATGGAAACTGCGCAAGCTCGGCGTGGAACCGGCATCGACCGTAACGTTCCTGTTCCCCAAATCAAAGTGGACAATCGTCGCTCTGTTGGCAATTCTCAAGGCAGGCGGGGTGGCTGTGGCTTTCAGTTCGGAATATCCCGTCGAGAGGATGAGGCACATTGCTGAAATGTCCAATGCAAAGTTGCTTCTTGTCGGCAAGGGCTTGGAGGACGTGTTTGAGCTCCCCGGAGTAACCAAGTTCACTGTCGACGACCAGTCTCTTCTCTCGCTGAAGGACACCGCAGACGAAGCAGCCCACTGTTCCTTGCCGGAAATGAAACCCAGTGACGCAGCTTACATTCAATTCACCTCGGGAAGCACCGGCCAGCCAAAGGGTATTGTAATTGAACACGGCAGTTTCTTGGCGAATGCCCTGGCTCATCTGGGCCCCATTCAGCTCAACAACAACTCGCGGACGCTGGAATTTGCAGCACACACCTTTGATGCGTTTCTCACAGAAGTTCTGATGACACTGCTGGCCGGCGGTTGTATTTGCATCCCTTCGGAGGAGGCCCGTGTGAACGACTTGACCAGTGTGATCAACGAGCTCAGTGTCAATTGGATTGGAATGACGCCTACTCTCGCAAGGGTGCTGAGCCCTGCAGATGTTCCTGGCCTAAAGACTGTATGCCTATGGGGCGAAATGGCACCTCGTGAACTAATCGCGACATGGGCCGATTCGGTCGAGCTGATCAACTGCTACGGCCCTTCAGAGAACTCGGTTGGCGCTACGATACATTCATTTTCGTCTGGTAGTCGAAACCCCTCATGCATCGGAAGAGCTGTAAAAAATGCCAACGCGTGGATTGTGCGGGTGGACAACAGAAACAAACTGGCGCCAATAGGGGCAGTTGGTGAACTTGTGCTTCAAGGACCAACTGTTGCGAGGGGATATCTTTCAGACCCTTCACGAACCAATGACAAATTCGTGACAAGCGTGCCCTGGCTAGATTCCAAGGACTCCTCTCCAAGTCAGCGGGGCTATTTCACTGGTGATCTGGTGAGATACACGTCTGATGGACAAATGGAATTCTGTGGACGTCGCGACACAGCAGTCAAGATCCGCGGACAACGCGTGGAGCTGGGAGAAATTGAGCATCACATCATCCACAGTGATCAAGGATACGCAGCATCATCCGTCATGGTTATTGGCACACCTCACATGTCAACGGAAACACTCGTGGCCTTCATTAGTGAGACGGGGGCAAATTCGGAACCGGCAAGCAAACCTGGCTCTATTCTCCAGAGCAGCTCGTCACAAGTACGCAGCCGAGCCGCTCTTCTCGAAAGCCATCTCTCCAATGTTCTGACTCGTGCGGCAGTTCCCATGCTATACTTGCCGCTGCATTGGATACCTTCGCTCCCTTCTGGGAAAGTAGATCGCCAGAGGCTGTTGGCTCTGGTTGCAAGCTTGACGGATACTGAACTGGCGGAATATTCAGCTCATTCAAACTCAATCAAGGAGGCACCCCGTGGAGAGATGGAAAGCCTCTTTGCTCAACTATGGAACGAGATCCTGGGTGTTGATGCCCACGTTGTTAGTCGCAACGACAACTTCTTCTACCTGGGCGGCAACTCCATCCTCGCTATGCGGTTGACGGTTGCGGCTCGCAAGAGGAACATTTCCATTTCGGTGGATCAAGTGCTGAAGAATCCCCGCCTAGCAGATATTGCGTCTCTCGCTTCGAGTATCAAGTTGGACAGCCCAGAGACATCAGGGTCTGGCTACCTCCCGCTTTCAACCTTGTCCAAAGTCCTTGCAGAAGACTTTGTCAATGATGTAGTAGCGTCGAAACTTTCTGTTTCAGCCACTGACATTGAGGATGTCGGGCTGGCGACTGACTACCAGATTGAAAATTTGGCATGGTCTTCGCTGAAAAAGCGAGGAGGCACAAACTATGTCACGTTGGATTTCTCCGACAGCCTTGATCCGCAAAGGCTACACCAAGCATGCGAGCGGCTTGTAGCTCATCATGCCATTCTCCGCACTGTATATCTGGTTCACAGGCGACGCGTCTATCAGGTAGCCCTCAAGCAGTTGCCTTTCGATATCATCCACAGCAACGCTCAGGATGTAGTGGAGGCGACATCTACCATCATGGATGCTGATCTACGCCAGCCACTAGACATAGGCAAAGCTCTGATTAAATTTTGGTTCATCATTGTTGATGGCAATGTCAAACGACTTGTACTACGTGCTTCGCATTTACAATACGACGGCGTGGCACTGATCAGGTGGTGCAAGGAGCTCAACTTGGCCTACGCTGCACAGGAGCTGGGACCGACTCCGTCCTTTGCCGAATATTCTTATTATGCCGCAAACCACGACCCCGAGGGAGCTCGCAACTTTTGGACAAGGCTGCTTGCCGGGTCGTCAATGACAAGAGTCTTTAACCACAAAGAGATTCCTTGGAAGAACGTTCTCGACGGACAGGTTGACGGCATGATTGACTCCAGCCTCCTTCAATGTAGCCCTGATATAACCGTCGGTACTGTCATCAAGGCTGCCTGGGCTCTTGTATTAGCCGAGATGGCGAGAACAAGCGACGTCGTCTTCGGTTCAGTCGTTTGGGGTCGCAATGCAGCTTTCCCTGGTGTTGAAGACGTCAGCGGTGCCTGCATCGACAACATTCCTGTGCGAGTGCGGATAACCAAGGACATGTCTCGACTGTCCCTGCTGCAGCAGGTTCAAGAGCAGTATTTCGAGGCCATCAACTTTGAATCATTCCAGTTCAAGCGGATAGTCCAAGAGTGCACAGACTGGAAGCCTTGGGAACGTCTCAGTACGCTAGTCGAATACGAAAACTTGGGTCAAGACACGTCGCGATTCCCCATTGATGGCAACAAGCATTTTACGGTGGATGAAATTCGGCCTCCAGCCGACCGCCATGATATCACCATCTATAGTATGCCCCTAGAGGATAAGACCTTTATTGCTCTAGACTTTTGCAAGGCAATCGTTGACGAGTCCCTGGCGCAAGTCATGTTCGATCGCTTACTAGCCCAGATAAAAGAGTTCAAGCAAGATATCAATGGCATTGTGGAACTGAAGAGTTCCGTTGCTCCTATACCGATCTCTCAAGGAGTCTCGGATAGCGTAGACAACTTGGAGAGCTGCAGGACAAACGGTGCAGGGGACGCCAACAGCAGGATTGGCACAAGCACAGAGCTCAGATGGCTCAGACGAATAGTTGAGAATGCATGGACTTCTATCTTGTCAAGTCGGGAGGAGCAACTGTCTCAATACTGGGCAACGAAGAAGCCATTCTTTGAAGTCTGGGGGAACCTCATTGCAGCCACTGGCCTGAGTAAGTGGTATACAGCCGAGGGGTTCAATATCAGCATGGAAGATGTATTGGAGAATCCAGACATGGCAAGTCAGGTGGAACTGCTGCGTTTAGCCGGGAATGGGTATGGCGTTTAGTGCGCATTTACAAGGATGCTTGGAAATGGTGAATGGCCTCACTTACATGTAGTGTTTTTGATGGGAATCGTAGGCCAATGAATCTGATTTTGCAGCGAACTCACCGGCTGTAACCTAGAGCTCGCGTGATTTTGAATGTTAGTATGTAGCTTTGCATTTAGTTCAAGTCACTACCGTTCAACTTTCGTCGCTGTGGTGTGTAACGAGGCCCCGAAAAGTATGGCATGAACCTGGAATGGGTTTTAGGGGTCGATTGATCTAGTTAAAGATGCCGCCGTCTAATAATCTATTACTCCCATCTTCTTACAGTAGCCCTTGAAAGTCATTCCGAGGTCCCCCCATCACAAGTTGGCTCTATTGATAAACTGTATCCGGCCCTCTGTGGATGGGCCAATTACGGGCAGTTTCGTGATGGGATGCCATCTTCGAATAACCGCCTTCTTCGCTCTCTGAATACCCTCCGTATTGCTGTCGACTATGCCACCATCGTTTTGCTGCGACGGCGCGGCGTCAAAGATCTGTAACAAAAGGCTTGTGTCCGTCATTGCCCCTTCAGCGTCAACCAAGGTCTCGGTATCCCGAAAGCAGGAATAGCCGTCGAACCCCGAGGCTATGAAGTCTATCATGGCGACGGTATACATTCTATCCGACGCCAGAGCCTGCGAGGAACCGTCTCGGGGCAGATACGTAATGGCGCTGACTCGCTGCCCTTCCCGGCAGCTCCAATCTGCCATCACCTTCAGCCCCGATACCTGTAAGAAGCGTCCGTCCATATGAGCATCCGAGACGGAATTCTCAAAGGCCTCTGTGAGAACGCGGCCACTAATACGTTTGACGACAAAGGCATTGTCAAAGGGGCTGATATCGACAACATCACGGATGCGCAAGGGAGTATTTTGCTGCGCCTGGATGATCCTATCGCAGCGAATCGCGCCACTATTGACAACGGCAATGTCGGTGTTGTAAAACTCACGCACCGCATCTGCAAGCATGTTGCCGAGGTTTGCTTCCTGGCTGCGCACGACCTGCGATCTGCCTTCGAGAGGAACATCCGTCATAAGGAGGGGCCTCTGAACCATCTTTTCAATCTTACTGTGTATGTCTGAGATGATTTTCAGGACTCTAGGGCACTCCGGAATCTTGTTGTAGTTTGACATCCGCTTCAGATTCTCAACTTGCCGCACTAAGAAACCAGTTGGTGAGCTACAGACTCTTCTCGGTAGTAGATGTGCACAGTCCTCACGTTTGACTCCCTGTATTGATACACTGTCATCATTGTGCCTCGCAACTCTGAGGCGTACTACGGACAGACCGCGCCAGTCGGTGCCGCTCTTTACGATTCGCACATCGCCTTCGTAGTCTGTAACCGCTGATTCACTAGGAGGGACGCCTTGCTGAGTGATATTCGCATCGATATCGTCATCTCCCGGTGCCCTTCGAACGACATTGTGATCATGTCCACCCAGTAGAAGATCGACTTTCTCGTCCCGGTCAGCCGTAGCCTGCGATACGGCGATATCCTCGGCGAGGCGCATGTGCGTCAGTGCAATGACGAGGTCGCAACGCTCCTTTTGGCGGAGATGTCGTGCTGTACATTTGGAAACCGTCACGGGATCAAGGATGTCACAGCTTGGCAAGTGCTGGCAATTGGATGGCCAGTCGCTGAAAACGAATGAATGTTGATAAGCCCAAGCGATCACGTACACACCCAAGGTAGAGGTATTTCAATATTACGTACGTGCCAGCAAGGCCAAAGAAGCCTATTCTATATCCCGCGACATTCTGGATGACATATTCCTTAGCTTGGGCCAAGAGAGAATCATTACCGCTGCTCCGGGGATTGCGGACCGCGTTGGCGAGAGTCCACGGGAAGATGGTTTGTTTAGACAGTTGGACGAGGCGGTCATCGCCAAAGTCAAAATCATGATTACCATAGCAGGCAACATCTATGTTCAACGAGTTAAGGAGCGCCGGCATATGCTCTCCACGAAGAACCGATGCTTCAAGGGAAGGCGAAAACGCATCGCCGCTGAAGATTCTAAGCAGATGCTCCGGCACGGCGGCCTCGCCGGTCACATGGCGGGGATCAGTGAACACGGAGGCGAAACGTGCAACTAGGGTGGCATCTGAGATGTGGTACTACATAGTATAGGTTCAGTCATCTAATTTCACAAGTCTTTGCTGGTATGCCGAGTGCTGGGACATACCACATCGTTGAAATGTAGGATGGTGAGGTCCTCAGTTGCAACCATGGTTGAGGAAAAGATGTGTGGGGGCGACAGATATCAGCGTTACTCTGTGCCGTCTCCTCTGGACCTTGGTCTCTCTCCTCTGAGCGGTATTCGATGCCTTTCCACAATCAACGTCAATTGATGTTTTGAGCTCTCAGTTTCCGTTTGAAATGACGCTATACGAAATCTCGTAAATCTCCATCCACAGCTCGGCCAGCCAAAAGGGGAATAATTACCGGTAGGCTAAGAGATGGCACATTCTCCACATGATACCGACGGAAAACCCCAACCTTTGTTGCCTTGAGCGGGGTTAGGATCATCTCGGGTACCTGATTATGGAGGTCAGCCTTGACCCGGGACTTGATGCCTGTTGCTGACTCACGATCGGCCGTATATCCCTGCACAGGATTGCATGATTGGACGCTAGAAGAAGAAGATACGAACGCCCGCAAGGTTATCTGCACACTCAGCATCGATGTTACGGTCCTAATGCAACTCCCCTCATAAAGGATCAGCCAGCTGACCTGATTGACTTGCCGAGAATGAATAAAAGTGGATGTTGTACTCTTTAACCTTAATTTCCTAGCTGTTATAATGCAAGGCTACCTAATAATAATAATAATAATAATGAGAATAAGCAGAAGAGTTAATGTTAGCATGTAATAGCTTGAAGCAGTCTATGAAATTTATAGCAGCCTATAAACGCTAATAGCAGTTTATAATAATACATCATGGCTTTTACATTGGCCAGCGGTAAACATAGCGGCAGCTGCTGATTGTGTTTAACAAAAGCGCTCGCTTACAACAGATATAGACTGCTGCTGCCCAAACTTAGTCAAGTGTTATGGGGGCAACTAATAGCTGTGCCTGTCGTGGGCATTTATGCTGCCCTTGCTAGTGCGGTACATATTTGACCAGGATTGTAAACAATTATCAGTACCTGACTTGGCTTTTTTGAGTAGTAAGATAAGCTGCATATAGGTAACCCCTGTAACCTATATATATAAGTTAGCTTTTACGCTAAAAAAAAAGCTATATCTTATATAGCTGTTAGTTTTTTTTAAAAAAAATATATCATTTTAGTTATTATTATTATTATTATCATTTTTTGGTATTTTAGAAATTAATTTCAATCAAGTTTAGTGTCCAGTTGAGTGTGTCTTGATCCCAGGACATTACGACAACTCATGTCTGCCGTCATACAACTCACTCTTGACAGATCACATGAGGATCGGATGATGTGTCAACTCTGGACTCTCCCGCGTATGCTGTCACTCGTATGGATCTGACAGGCAATGAGTGTTGCTCTGCATCTCGGATCGAGGTTTCCAAGTGAAGCAATGCCGCAGCCCGTCAGCCGGCACAACTTCTGTCATCGTCAACCTGGTACCGCTTCATGGCAGCGAAAGAAATGCATGGTCAATCTCAACGAACAAGGTGCTGTCCAGGCATTCAGTCCCAACTGTGCATCTTGACTATGCTTTCAGCGGTACTACATATCGGTCTAAGCTCAATAGTCATGGGCGGTGCAATAATGGTGACGTCCGAAACCATCAGCCAACAACGATGTAGATCAGGATTCTGTAAGGCCTAGTGTCGGCAAAATATGGCTGATGAGCCTTTTTCTTAATGAGTTTAGTTGACACCGCCGCCTCTTTGGGCTCCTTCAGATAGATTATTGGAAGCTGGAAGGCCTCATACTGAACCCCAGTTCTCAGCAAGACCTCAACTGGGATTAACACAAAAAAAAAGGCGCATGATAAGGTGCCGCCTGCTCAGTTGTTTCAGCGTATCCAAGTCTTGGGAATAATATCACTTCTTCTTTTGCAATTTGACATCATGACAAAACACCAAACAACCCAGAATGGCTGGTCATCCGGTCACTCCAATGGCCATTCAACCGGCCAGACTCCCGCTGACTATGAGGAGATGGGTAGAGAGCTGTTGCAAAACATGAAGACCTATGGAGACTATCTGAAATTGGAAGGCAGCGACATGCCTTCTTTATCACCCAGCGCATTGGATAATGTTCATTGCACGAGCGAGCCAGGTGAAGTGGCGAGGATAAGGGTGGTTGAGCTTGCCCAGCAGATCCTAGCAACTACAATGGATCCAGGCATGAACCTTTTGATCAATTCTCTGCAGGTAAATCAAAGAATTTGTATCCCAAGTCAATGCCCGATAAGCTAAAGAGACGCTGATTGTCTTAGTTCCACTTCTGTTCATGCTTGAAAGTAGCCGTAGACCTGAGAATTGCTGATAGCATTCCTAAGGATGGCTCAGTGTCAGTGAAAGAGCTGGCAGCTGCCACCGGAGCACATGAGGCGCTTCTCGGTAAGGTCATATTCTAGAGAAGACTCTTGGAGACGATTGTCGATTGATTGCATTGCTTACCGCTGACGGTACCTCCAACTTGACAGTCCGCATAATGCGAGTTCTCACTACCAAATATGTATTTGCTGAGCCTGATCGCCATCGTTACAGCCACACAGCCATGTCATGGATGATGCGCGGAACAGATCAAAAATACCTCCTCAACCACAGGTAAGTCAATCCTTTTTTGAAACACCTTGTTGGCTATTTCGCCGAGGTTCTTTCACGAGGTAAGCTGACAGCAGACAAAACAAGACTAGACGAAGGCTTCCGTTCTGCCAGCAGACAAGCCGACGCTCTCAAGCTCAGTGGCTATCGCGAACCAGTTGTTGGTGATGAGTTTGGATTCAACTTGGCGTTCGGAAGTGACGGTAACTTCTGGGAATACATTACAAATGTCGAACCCAAGCGCGGAGCCGACTTTAACCATGCCATGAAGGCAGTCAACATCAACAGCCTGAGCATCATCCCTGAGCTGTATCCCTTCGACAAGCTCGCTGCTACTGGAGGCCTAATTGTCGACGTTGGCGGCGGCTTGGGCCAAGTAGGCCGCGAGATTCTTCAACACTATCCCGGCAAGGGTCTGCGGTGTGTGGTCCAAGACCAATTCGCGCCCGTCAACTCAACCAACGGGCACGCCAACGGTAAATCCAACGGTGTCAATGTCGACATCTCAGCGACCTCTGACGACGACGTCACCCTACAAAGGCACAACTTCTTCGATCCACAACCGATCAAAGGTACACTGCGCTGCCCTACCTCATTCCCCTCCGTCTCGACAAATAGAGGCGGAGGCATCAAATTGTTCAGAATGCGGCTAACGATGAATCTGAGCCTAACATAGGTGCCTCGGCATACTTCCTCCGTCACATCTTCCACGACTGGCCCGACCACGCCTGCATGGACATTCTGAGACAGATTGTCCCTGCCATGGACAAAGATAGAAGCCGAATCTTGATCTGCGATCAAGTCATGAACGAGCAAACGCCCACGATTCCATCCATATTGTACGATATTGATATGATGAGCATGTTTGGAGGCAAGGAGCGGCAGCTGTCGGAGTGGGAGATCCTCATAGCGAAGACGGACAACCGCCTCCGCATTGCGGATGTCTGGAAGTCAACTACGTCTCCTACTGCGATTATAGAGGTTAGACTTTGCTAGACAGGATAGTGCAAAGAACCTGGCAGCGAGAGAACGGGAGCGCAGTGCAAATTAGGGTCTCATGATTATTGCGTGAGATGCACTCCGTAAGATGCTCTCAATTGTTTTTTTTTTAAGTTGTTTGAAAGGGTGTGCACAACGCCACTGCAAATTCACTTTTGTTACGGAACATTTACCAAATTCACTTGATCTGTGAGGCAAAAATATCTGACACTGAGAAAAAGTTGGCAGATCTTCGTAGGAGTGCAACACGTAGCATGCTCACTAGCAGACATCAATTATGGGGCAGTAAGGCGAAGTTAACGGGGATTTTTTTACTATCATCTTTTATTATAGCTGCAATCCTCAAAAATATACTACTTTTACTTGAGAGGGAATTTTATAAAAATATTATCTTAATGTTTTTTTCTCCACTCGTTTCCTTATTCTTATAGAATCCAAATTACAATTTCTCTCGGTCTCTTATCGAACGGGGTTTTGCTAGCCCCCGGTCTTAACAGTACCAGAACCACCATCTGTAGTCATCTTAAGTAAGGGAGTGAGATTACTGGCTTCTATATCACTTGTGATTAAGCTGACTAGACTGGGTGTGTCATAATAGACAGCCGAACAAATTTATTCAGCCACACTGCCAGTATAAAGTATTCAAACAGTCCCAATACTCGGACAGAAACCACTCAGATTGTCCCCTCTTCAGAACGGCGATTGAACCAATTACTTTTCCGTACATCAATCCCAGAGATCATGACGCGAGCTAAACCGAATGCAAGGCACCCCGCTACGCACCAGCTGCAAGACCATCCCATTGATGGCGGTTTCTCTCAAGTAGAAGTCGTGGTCGTTGGAGCGGGGATCGCAGGTATCTTGGCTGGAGTTCTTCTCCCTGCCAAAGTGCCAGGTATTAAGTTGCGCATTCTAGAGCGAAACAACGACGTGGTGAGTACAAACGCGCTCAATCGCCTCCCACAATGGGACCATGTCATTTCACTAACATGGAACACGCGCTCGATCCAAGGGGGGCGTCTGGCTTACAAACATTTACCCCGGAGTGAAGAGTGACATCCCAGCAGATGTGTACCAGAGCACTTTCGCTCCCTCCCAACACTGGACATGCAATTATCCTCCAGGTGCAGAGATCCAAAGCTATTGGAAAGGCATAGCCGAGAGATACGGCGTGACCAAACACATCACTTACAATACAACTGTGCGAAAGGCCGTATGGTGCAACGACCGCAACAGATGGGCAGTTCATACTGTAACCGGTTCAGACAATCACGAGGCCGTTCTGTATGCGGATGTCATCATCACGGCAACGGGTACATTCAGCGAGCCCGAGATGCCAAACATCTCCGGAATGGACGTCTACAGAGGGCGCATCATGCACAGCTCCCTATGGGACCCCTCTGTAGACATCACTGGCAAACGGCTCGCGCTGATCGGCAACGGAGCGGCGGGCCTGCAGATTCTCCCCGAGCTGCACAACAAGGCCGCTCATGTCGACCACTATATTCGCAGCCCGACCTGGATCTCTCCATCTTTTGGTGGGGAGGAGAAGTTACTCAGCCAAGGACGTCAGACGGTCCCGCACGAGCCAGACGAGTATAACCAGTATAGAAAAGGACTGGAGAGCAGGACGTACTCGCGCTTCAGCATGTTGTTTAAAGATCAGGAGCGCAGTAAACAGGCTACCGATGTTCTCACAGCGTATATGCGTCGCCGTCTTGGCTCCAACGCTACAGAAGACGTTTTTGCCAGAACGTTGATACCGTCATTCGCGCCAAACTGCCGGCGTCTTACTCCTGCACCTGGTTATCTCGAGGCCCTCAAGGAGCCCAACGTGTCGCTCATCACGGAGCCGATTTCACGGTTCTCAGACGCTGGCGTAGTCACTTCGGACGGCACAGACCGAGCCTGTGATGTAATTATATGTAGTACCGGCGCCGACGTCTCCTATCGACCGACCTTCTCCGTCCTGAACGGCAAGGGGGTGGACTTGCGCCAAGCCTGGTCCGAGGGCTTCGAGCCCGGCTTTCCAGACACGTACCTGGGCATGGCAGCGGCCGAGTTCCCAAACCTCTTCTTCGTCACAGGCCCCAACGCCATCGGCCAGCCGGGGCCACTGGTGTACATGATCGAGAGGCAGATTGTCTATCTGGCCAAAGTGCTCCGTAAGATGGTCACCCAGGGCATTCTAACCATGTGCCCGACGCAGGCTGCCGTGGATGACTTTCGCGAGTACTGCGACGCCTATTTTCCGCTAACGGTGATGAGCGATGCGTGCAGCTCTTGGTACAACGGTCGCGTGCCCAACGGTCGCATTATGGTGAGTCTTTGAGCAGGATAATCTTGCTGGTCATGTGTGTGTATATATTAACGTGGACGCAGGCACTCTGGCCAGGCAGCGCGAGCCATGCCGACGCGGCACGAAGTCACGTCCGCTGGGAGGATTTTGAGTACACGTACCGAGGGGCTGCTGGAAACAGGTTTGGATATTTTGGGAATGGCTGGACAGAAAAGGATGTTGAGGCAGCCGCCGATCCTGGTAATGTTCCCGACTTTGCGTCCTATTTGAGTGCGAGTGCTGTGATGGGTGATTTGGACTTGTCAAGCTATCTTGAGTAACATGGGAAGAACTCTCTAGATGTGTTCTTAAAAGTTTGGGTTAGACGTTCGTCTGTAGCCAGATTCCTCGCGGGGAAAGCGAAGACCAACCAGCATTGTTAGAATCATCCATTGTCAGCGGACTGAGTAAGTCTGCAGGACGGTAACCAGATTTTTTTCCGTAATCTTCAACGGCAGGGTTCTTGCAAGGAGATCTTCGGCGTTTGGCCGATGACTACAACTACCGTATTACCTCGCAAAAATTCCCTAATAGGTCTCTCCAGCTTTTGGGCCACCATTTTCCTAGGGTAGTAATCTGCTAACTGTTTTCCTATAAATAAGCGAAAAACACATAAAGACCCATTTACGAATTTTGCGAGGTAATACGGTAATAGACATAGTCTCACTTCATGTGGCAAAACGTGAGAAAGGCATGTCAGCCCCAACTTTAAGCTAAAGGTGTCAACTAATTAACCCGTTGGTTCCACCTTTTAGTGACCAACTCAGAGTCTTGGCGAAGACTCTGAAAGACTCTGAGTTGGTCACTAAAAGTGGAACAAACGGGTATCAGTCCCGAGTCCTCTGCCATAAACACAAAAGTACACAGACACCTACGCCTCATGTACAGTTAACTGCTGCCTCATGAACCCATTCCTTGAAACTTTTTTTATTAAGTCCCATTGATATTGCGTGTAGGCGTTGCCAACGCATCGCTTTCGACATGGACGGACATCATGAGCAACAGCCTCTGCTTGGGCAAACCCGACAGCCACTTACACCACAATTGGGCTCACATTCTCTCCTGCCGATTATCCAGTCTCCTATCCGTCAGCCCGCTAAACCCTGCAATTCCTTATTTGCGTTAGGTAGGCGGTTCAACATTACGACTAGACTCTTGCACGGTGGGCCACGATCTTTTGGGTCGGTGACATGTGCATTTATCAGCGTGTTTGGGATACTAAGAAGACTGGCGAAAAGCTTGAGTAAGTATTGAGGAAGGCGGCCAAGTATTGATAATAAGAAGTCTTTATCAGTGAAAAGAGAGAATGGAATTCCTTAATTAGCGTGGGCTTTTATAGCAAAATCGTATTCTTAGTTTATGGAGGGTATATTTATTATCAAGAGGTTTAGTAAAACTGCAACAGCTAGGTCAGACACGCCCCAGCCTTTGTATAATAACACTGTATATGGACACACTATTGCGGTGGCCTAGCGGTACTTTTTTCCCACCGCATACTGGGGTATGACACCCCCGTTTGATCCCGTCTATAGGATGCGGTCCTTTGGTGGGTAATATCACTTTTTCGCCCCCTTTTGCTGTAGCAGTACGCCCGCAGCATCCACATGGCCGAGAGAAGCTGCAATCTGCAGGGCTGTCATACCTGACCCATCCACAGCGCTAACATCGGCTCCATTATCAAGCAGTAGCTCAACCATCTTGGCGTCGTTTTCTGCTACGGCATCGTGTAAGGACGTCCGGCCGAGTTCACCTACGGGGGCGTTGATGTCGGCTCCGTGTTCGATTAGCAGGCGGACCATGGAGACATGGCCGTTGGCGACAGCAATGCGCAGTGCTTCGTGTCGTCCATCGCTAGAATTTGCTTTGATAGCGCTGGGATTGGGAATGTTGTTGTTGTTCTGGTTGTTGTTGTTGTTGTTGTTGTTTTTATCCTTGGTTTTATTGTTTTTGCTGTTTTTGCTGCTGTTCTTGTCGTTGTTGTTATTGTTGTTTTTATTATGATTGTTGCTGCTGCTGTTGTTGCTGCCCTCTTTGGAACTTGCCGATTCTCGAGGCATGTTGAGCGACTCGACTCCGCTCCCCCATTGCGTAGGGCTCTCTGCGTCTTTGCCCAAGTGCTCTGAATTCCCTATGCTGTGCGGTGTCTTGCTGTAGCTTGGAGGGCTCATTGGGGATAGCATCTGAACGTGGTCTGCATGTGGCATCTCCATCTCCAAAATGCCAAAGCCGCTCACAAATCGCTCCGCAGCCTTCATATCGGCAAGGTATTGGTTATCGCCGCATGAGAAATACGAACTCGCATCTGACAGCATGCCGGTGTTCTGGCCATAGTAGTCGTGAGACCGTCCGGTTGCTGTAAGGAGATCAACCGGGTCCCATACGGCGGACCTAGTCTGCGTGGCTCGAACAATGTTTTCCTTGAACGCCCGGAGCTCCATGTTGTCCGCCTCCAGCTCCTGCAACTGCGTTTTGACTGTGTCACCTACTGACGTGTCAGCACCCCAGGTCTCTCGAGATGTGGAGAGTGTATTTGCTTCTGCCTCACGTCTTTTTCGCTGTGCCAGCCTGTTCTGCCGCCGTCGGCGCTCAACGGCATCAATCTCAAACTGGTCGGGCATTTGTATCCTTATAGCGTGACAAAAGGCCGATAAAGGAAACCGGAGAGAAAAAAGAAATAAAAGAAGGTGAGGTGGTTGGTAAGTTCGGGTTGGGTGTTGAACCTCAACTCCAACGAAGCCAGTTTTGATTACTGACGACGAATGGCTCTCTTTTATAATTTTATATAAACATACCGATTATAATAGCTAACGAATTGCCCCCGCTCTCCGCTCCCGCTCCCGCTGGCTTTTTCTTTTTTTTTTTTAGTTGCCTTTCACGTGTAATATAATCCTCTAAAACCAGGCTGCTGCAGGAATTTAATCGCCAAGTGGGGAGATCGGTGTACGTGTACTGCGTTAAGCGGAAAGCCCCTGCATTTTACCGAAGGCAGTGGGATATAACAATTGAAATTAAAATAGACTTGCTAACAAATTCGCTGTATTAAGGATGATATAGACCCTAAGCCTCGTTAATAAAATATATTATATTTATGGCCGGGTGGCCCTAGTCCCAACCCTGAGCCTTTCTACGAGTATTGCAACCAACTCCTGTATATGATTAGGTGCCTTACCTGCTTCACAGGGATACGATCCAAGTTTATGTCAGCACTAAGAATACAGGCTATACTAGCTTAGCTGCCACCGGCCCCTAAAATATTTATATTTTAGCTTTATGCTTAAATCGTACAACACCTGCCAGAGATATCTTCCACCAATATGGATTGGGAAAGACATGGTTGTATCGAAACTGCACTAGGCTAGACAGGGTTGCATCGAAATAACACCAGGCTGGACATTATCGTTGGAGACAGGTGCACCGCAGCGGGCACACAAATACATGCTACTCCTTAAGGAATACATGAATCATCGTGCAACCCTTGTTCCACCTATACTGTATCAAATAAGTGCCCGGAAGATTGGCCATATTCACCGTTTATGGACGAATCAACGTCTCATCCCGGCTTCCTTGCTTCGTGGGCCAGAGGTGAGAAACAATGAGTATACATATAAGGTGAACATTAGGTAGGTGACCAATGTAATCTGTACACGTACAATATACAGCCTGGCTTTTGCGCTAAAAAAAAAACAAGCTGTACATTATACAGCTTATCTTTTACAATAGAGGTTTAAGTATATAATCCTGTTGATTAGTATCCTGTTGATTAGTATAATAGCACACAAAAACCCGGCTGCAAAAGCCCGGCTGCAAAAACCAGCTGTAAAGATCAGCTGCAAAAGCCCGGCTGCAAAAGCCCGGCCGCAAAGATCAGCTGCAAAAGCCCGGCTGCAAAAGCCCGGCTGCCAAAATCAGCTGTAAAAGCTACTGTAAGGGCTATTGCAAAAGCCTGGCTGCAAAGGTTTAGCTGCAAAAGGCTCCAGAGAAGTGTTATTATGCCATAGTTGTGTCAGATACACCGGTCTGGACTCATGTATACTAGGATAATGCCTCCCCCCTTCTCCTGTATACCTAAACAGTCTATTCGGCCCAGGGACAGTGCCCGAGTACATTAGACTGCTTTGTTGCTAAGTGTGCCCAATTTGAAAAGCGTGCGTTAACCCTGGGGCTGCTTCTATTAACTTTATTTTGTTATTTCCAATTGGTAAAATTAAATTAGCTAAGAATACTTTATGGGGCGGATTATTAAGTATTACCCCTAGAGTAATAAGTATTACTAAAGCGGGGCGAATTAGTAACTATAGTTAAAATAAGAAATAATATAAAATTTAGCTATATATTATAAAGTATAATTTCTACTATAATTATAATAAGCTAAGCTTCTACAGTGTTATATAATGAACTGGGTGTAATAAGCTAAGCTCCTATAGGTTAATATAAAAGGGATTTCCTAAGGGATAAACTTTATATTAGGCCCACACTAGCAAATAGGCCAGGCTAAATTAGTAAGCAATTAATAAGGAATTAATAATAAGTATTTATATAATTATAGAAGATATTTTATAATATAATTAAGTATTATTTTATATTTATAATTAATTATTTAACTATTTTAAATAAATATAAAAAATAGAACTTATATATCTAGCTGTGCTAAACTAAATTAATAAATAGTTTATTAATTTATTTATAAATTAATATTTATTTTATTAATTTTATATTAAATTAAGGGAATATTTCTTAATTCTTCTTTAATTAGTTAAAAGAATTAATTTTAATTTAGTTATACTTAATATATAGGCTCCTTAGTTATAACTATAAGTATTAAGTTATAATAGAATATTCCCTTTTTATTAATTTTATCCTTAAAACTTTATTTTATTTAATATAAGTAATTACTTCCCTTTATTACCCTAGGTTAATTAATTATTTTTTTAGTAAGCGTGTGTTTTATTAATAATTATATTAGGTATTTATAAAAAGCCTTATCCTAAGATTAAAAATAAAAATATTTTATTAAAATTATTTTATTTTATTTTATTAAAATAAAAAATTATATTTATTATATAAATAAGAAAAAATATTAATTTCTTAAGTATTAAATATTTAAAAAGGATTTTATTTATTATATTAAGTTTATAAAAAATAATAAGTTTTTTTATAATATTTACCTTTTATTAATAATTTAATTTTATAAAATTACTTTTTTTTATATTTAATATAAAAAAGCTTTTAAAAAAGCTAAAGAAAAATATAAGGTTATTAATATAAAAATAAAATATTTTTATAAATTAAAATATTTTTAGCTAAAGAAAATAACTTATATTATTATATAAAGTATTAATAATTTAAAAAGGTTAAATTAATTTAAGTATATAAAAGCAAAGGCTTTATATTAGTTTAAAATATTATTATTTAATTTATTTAATTTTATAATTTTAAATTTTTAAAAAGTATTTATAGATTTTTTTTTTTTAATATTTATTTAAGGTTCTTAAATTTTAATTTTTTTACCTTAATAAAAAATATTTTTTTAATATTTTTTTAAAAATTTAAAAAATATAAATTCTTTTATTATATATTTTTATTATATTTATAAATATTTATAAAGTTTATTTTAAAAAATTTTTAAAGTAATATTAATATATTTAAAATTACTTTTTAATTTTTAGTTATTTATATTTTTATTATATTTTTTTTATTTTACTAAATAATAAAGTTTATTAATTATTTTATTTATTTTTAATAATATTATTTTATTAATTTTATATTTAAGTTTTTTATTTTTAATAATAATTTTATCCTTAATAAATTCTTTTATATTTTTATTTATTAATACTTTTTTAATAGTAAAATATAAAAAATTAAGTATATTAGCTTTTTTTATTTATTAAGTTATTTTAAAAAATCTAATTTATAATTAACTTTATTAATTATTTTTAAAATTCTATAAAGCTTAATTTTTTTATAATTTAGCTTATTACTTAGCTTATTTATTTTAATATTAGTTTATTTTTCTCCTTAAATATATTAAAATAAATAAATTATATTTTTTTTTAAAAAGTTAATTTTTTAAGCCTTTTTTTATTTATATATTTTTTTATAATAATTAATAAAGGGGTATAATATTTTTATTATATAGGCATAATCTTATATAAATATAACTTTTCTCCCTTTATTATTAATTAAAAAAAAATATTAACTTAAATAATATTTTACTACTTTTACTTTAAGTACTAATACTTTATTTTTATTATTTTTTTAATTTATAAATTAAAAAAATATATTAATATATTTAACTTTTTACTTTATAAATTAAAATAATACTATTACTTCTTTAATTTATAAATTAAAAATACTTATAATAGCTTTTCTTTTATTAATTATATTATTATTTTTATTATAATAATTAAACTTTTATATATTAGCTTTAAATAAGCTAAATAATAATATAGCTTAAGTTTTAGTAATTAATTATAATAAAAGTTAAAATTATAAAAACTATTTTTAAAATATTAATAATACCTAAGGATAATATAATAAATTATAAGCTTAAGTTATTAAAATAAGCCTTAAAAGTAATTATATTAAACTTATAAATAATTAGTTTTTATTAATAATTTAGCTTTAAGTATTAGCTAATTTTATAAATTTAATAATTATAATATACTTAATAATTTTTTTATTATATATTTATAATAATTTTTAATTTTATTATTTTTTTATAATTTATAAAATATTTATAAGCTTTTTTAAAACTTTTATTTTAATTATAATATATATTTTAATAATAATTTTTTTTATAAATAATTATAAAATTAATAAATAAAAGTATTTATACTAAGCCTAAAGCTTAATATATTTTTTTTTTTTCTTAAGTTAAAATTACTACTTTTTATTAATTAATTATTAATAAAAATAATAAAAAAGTTTAAATTTATTATAAATATTATATAAAAAATAATTAATAAAAGTTAAAAATTAATTATAAACTTTACTTAATAATATAAATATATATAAATATAATAAAAAAAATAAAATTAATTACTTTTAAGTTTAAAAATATATAATTTTTTTTATTATATTTATTATTATATTTACTATATATATAATTACCTTAAGTATTATTAATATTAATTAATATAAATTTATTTTTTATTTAGTAATTTATATTATTAATTATTAAAGTAATTTTAAACTTACTTATTTTTAATAAATTAGTTTTATAAACTAAAGTTTTATATAATATAATAAATATATTTATAAAAAAAAATTTATAATTATTTAATAAAATATATATTTTTATAAAAATTAATAACTAAAGTATTTTTTTTAATATAATTAATTTAAATAGCTTTAGGCTTTTAAAAATATTAATTTTTAAACTTAGAAATTATAAAAATATAAATATAAGTAAATAATTATTACTAAAGTTTTAAAAAAAAGTAAGTAATTTCTTAAGTAATATAATAATTTAAAATATAATTAATATAATTATAAATATAACTTTATTATATTAATATATTTATTATATTAATAATTTATAATATTAATAAAAGTAATAATTAAGTTAATTAATTATTAAATAAGTATTTAAGTATAAAATATTTATATTATTATAAAA